AAGGATTTAATATACTTTACGCCTATATTTCTTTGTATATATAAATAAGGTTAAAAGAGGAATGCTAGCTGGAATTCAATAAAAAGACTAATAAGCTATAAAGGCTAATCTACTTTATAGCAGGAAAGTAGCTACAAGAGTTATTTTTAGCCTCTAAGGTTATTTTAAGCTACTATTTATGCTTAATCTAGCAGCTCTACTATAGAATTTACCTATAAATAACCCTCTTTCCCTCTAACTAGATAGAGAGAAAATTAAGCCTCTACAACTATATTCTTTAATACATACTATTACATACAATTTTATACTATATCTAAAGTTACTTCTATTATACCTTAAGAATCCCTATTATCTTATGCTTAGTAATCAACTAGATTACATAAGCTCTATCCATTATACCTATACTATATATAAAGAGTCCCTCAATTAGCCGACAATATTATTATAGAGTTGCAAAAAGGCCGCCTAGGCAGCTGCACCCTATTTTTTTTGTTGTTATAGGGCATTTTCGTAAGACTCTATAGTTGCCAGGGCAATATATATAAAATTATATAGCAGGGCGTGGCGGGTTAGGGTGTAGGCCTAAAATCGGGGTGGAGCGGTAGCACGAATAGATAGGGTTGGTAGCACGAATAGCACAGCCCGTCACTGGTTAGTGGTGGCAGCTTGCAAGAACTAAGAAGCTTTCGTGATGGAGCTCCAAGCTGAAGAGACACACAAAACCTTATATGAAGCCACCTCGCTCGCAGCCCATGAGAAAAGTCTCTTTCGCCACGAGCAAAAAGGGCCGGTCAACATGCTCGGGCGTTCGCGGCACACAGTCGACGTGCAGCATGTACCCAACAACTTGCCCGTCCCGCGCTGCACGAGCCCCAAAGCGGCCGGAATGATGGTGTTGGGCAGAAACATTGGTCACGGGAAGACAGAGTCCCAACGAATCACTTTACTGCATTCTGGAGAAAAAAAAAAAAGGAGTAACAGCCGGCTGGATTAATATCGCTAAAATCGTGACCATATCAACCCCACAAGTTCTGGACACAAACGCGCCGTCTGACCAGACAGGACGTCGTGAAATGTTTTCTTCTCTTGGCCCCAAGGCTGCCGAATAATTGACAGCAAACCCCAGATCGACTACCTTTTGCCGTTGCCCTGGGCAGCAGGCTGCGAGATTGCCTCGACAGGAAAAGAAAAGAGAGCCAAAGACTGCCGCGCACGAGGGTTAGGAGCTCCCAATTTCCGAGCACGGCTTGTGTTTGACTGTCGCCTGATTCTCCCCTCGAAACGCGGCCGGTTGGCCAACTTCTCCTTCTGCTTGTGTACTCGCCTGCTTGCTCAACTCGTCCCTGGTGCTGTCGGAAGCAAGTAGTCATGCCTGAAATTGTGAGTTCTCTCTCCCGGTGTCCCTATCTCTTGGCCGTGATGAGCCCGTCTGAATGTCCGACTGACCCATGACGTAAATGTCAAAATCCTCAGGTTCACCTTCAAGTCGGCCAGTGTGTAAGCTGAAGCCTTCAAACCACCACGACCATCTTGTTCCGCATCGTCTAACGCCATGTAGGGCAACCAAGTTGGCACCGCGTTCTGGCAGACGATCCTAGGCGAACATGGCCTGGACAACAATGGACTGTGTGTGGATTGCAGACATGACCGTGGGATCCTGTTGACCGGCTGACCTTTCGTGACCCGTCTAGGTACACGGGTGACTCTCACGTTCAGCTTGACCGTATAAATGTCTACTTTAACGAAGTATGCCATACGACAGTTGCCCCTCGTCCTCCTTCAAAAGTGCCCCAGCTGACGCGCCTTCTTTTCTTGTATTAGGCCTCGGAGAAGAAATATGTTCCGCGCGCCGTACTCGTCGACCTGGAGCCCGGCACCATGGATGCAGTGCGAGCCGGGCCGCTGGGCAGGCTCTTCCGCCCGGATAACATTGTTTTCGGACAGTCGTCCGCTGCCAACAACTGGGCCAAGGGCCACTACACCGAGGGCGCAGAGCTGGTTGAGGAGGTGGTTGACGTCGTTCGCCGCGAGTCCGAGAACTGCGACTGTCTCCAGGGCTTCCAAATCACCCACTCGCTCGGCGGAGGCACCGGCTCTGGAATGGGCACCCTGTTACTGTCCAAGATTCGAGAAGGTATTGACCCGTGTCCCGATGAACCACATCGCTCCATGCATCGCGAGTGTCCGCTAACAAGCCTGGTTGTGCAGAGTTCCCTGATCGTATGATGGCCACATTCAGCGTGGTGCCCTCTGCTCAAACGTCCGATACCGTCGTGGAGCCGTACAACACCACTCTGTCGATTCACCAACTGGTTGAGAACTCGGACGCTACGTTTTGTATCGACAACCAGGCCCTGTACGATATATGCCGGCGAACCCTCAAACTCCCCAACCCGTCTACCGGCGACCTCAACCATCTCATTTCGACAGTCATGTCTGGCATTTCTACCTCTTTGCGCTTCCCTGGTCAGCTGAACTCTGATTTGAGAAAGATCTGTGTCAACTTGGTAAGTGCCGTCTGCGTTCATCTGTAACATGCTCAGGCACACGATATCGACATCCCGCGCGGAAGATCCTCCATGACAGCCTGGACTGTTCGTCTGAACTCTCAGAATTGCAAAAAACTGACGCTTTCGTTACGCCATATAGGTTCCGTTTCCGCGTCTTCACTTTTTTATGGTTGGCTTTGCCCCCCTGACAGCCCGCGGCAGCCACGCATTCCGATCTGTCACGGTTCCCGACCTCACGCAGCAGATGCTCGACCCTCGAAACATGATGGCGCAGTCCGACTTTCGTAATGGCCGTTTCTTGACATGCTCGGCCATGTTCCGCGGCAAGCTCTCCGGCAAGGAGGTGGAAGAGCAGATGCGCAAAGCCCAGGACAAGAACTCTGCCTACTTTGTGGACTGGATCCCCAACAATGTTCAGACATCACTGTGTACCGTCCCGCCAAAGGGACTGAAGATGGCTTCCACGTTTATAGGCAACTCTACTGCTATCCAGGACATCTTCAAGCGCGTCGGGGACCAGTTTGCCGCCATGTTCCGCCGCAAGGCATATATCCACTGGTATATTGGCGAAGGCATGGACGAAATGGAGTTTACCGAGGCCGAGTCTAATATGAATGACTTGATTTCCGAGTATCAGCAGTATCAGGATGCTACTGCGGCTGATGACCAAGAGCAAGAACAAGAACAAGCTGAAGGTTGGGATGAAGCGCCACCGGCTGAGCATTCGCATCAAGAGTGAGCTCAAGGGACGGATGACGAACAAACTGTAGGAAAAACAGACGACTGGTGTCGTCGGCCTAATCGCGGTAGCCATGTCGATCATATTACAAGGTTGCTCTCATTTTCTGACGACGGAAGATATTCTGGAATCCAATAGTAAATTGTTGCTGGCTTTGTCGGAGTGATCAAATCACATGAGACTTGGGTACTGGGAGGAACTTGTCTTGCGGTGTACGACTCTACAAAAGTTGATAAAATAAGCCAGTGTGCCATGTTGATTGTGAGTCTGGTCAGATGATTTGGCATAGCTGGTCAATGCTAAACTTGCCCGAACATGTATCCTTTCAACTGCGTTGGTGATGTAGAAATACCCCTCTTCCTCCTTGTTGAGCAACGCCCCTTTCCGGACTGTTGGTTTCTGCCATGGTACTTGTGCTGCGAAATCTGTCGTCAGATTCCTCGTCAGCTTGTTCTGGGCTTTCAATCGCAGTTTCCCACGTAGTCGAGCGGAGGCCAAACACGGCCATTGAATGCCCTGCTTCCAGGACGGCTTCTGGCTGTTGTGCCATATAAGGAGCATGTTTTAATATAACCAACAGTTCTTCGAATGCAATCAACTTGTCCGTCAAATTGGGGCGCCCATAGCTTTACTGAAATCACCTAGCGCATATTTCTCGTCGTATTTCAGGCGAAAGTGGTTTGTGTTCCCTAGTATGCCCATGGTTTCTGCAATTTCGAAAAGACGCGGTGGCCCTTTGCGAGGGCAAGCCGACTGGTGGTGCCACCTCTCGAGAAGAAAGTCTCAGGCCGTGGTGACTGTTGTGCGTGATTGCAATGGTTTTGGGGGCGTATATCCAGTGACGGTAGTCTTGTTCATCTCCGCACCATGGCCTACAAGAAGTATGGCTAGAGGGCATCATTTCTGCGCACCTTGGCAAAGGGCCGTCTTGCCGTATACGCCCGCCTGATCAGCCTGGCACCAGAGTCCGAGAGAAGTGAACAAGGACAGGATCGCCCGATCTTCGGGCAGCAACTTTCATGGTACGCCCTTGCTGATACTATCAGGAAGTGGAGGGACTGGCTTTGCACCTGCATCGAGCAGGAGCTTCGCACGCGCTGGATGGCCCTGGGCCGAGGCATTGGACAAGGGACACGATATATTTTCATTCACCTAGAATTAACGCACTGTGCATGTTCGAGACCTCTCGTCAACGTACGAAGTTGCAAGGAAGGGCCCAAGATTTGGTGGTACCATAGTTCGGCATGTGAAACATTGGACCAAAAGTCGGCTGGAAACCAGGATTCCGGGGTCCAGACACTGACCTTGTTGATCGAGAGGCCTGGCAAGCGTTGATGTCACGTTTTGGGCTCATGACGGGTAGCCCGGCGTACCCAGCAAGTTGTTCGAAAATGCTGGCGACGAGGAGCTCCTCGAAAGGTGGCAAGTGTTGACGGAGTGACACAAACACCAAGGCCAATGTGGCAGATGTCGTCTGAGTGTCCAGCGAATACTGCACATGACCTCGCTATTCTGCAGTTAGTTCAGAATTACAAAGAAGAGGAAGACAAGATATGACATCGAATCTGCGGCGCCTAGCGTGATAATGAGGCTACTCTTAACAGTTCGTATATTATCGCGTAGCTCCTTTAGACGCTGCCGATGCCCTCGCCAAGCGTGCCTCAAGCAAAGTGTAAACGCGAGTTAATTTGTTGATAATGTCTTCAAGTCGGCAACCTGCAAAAGCACAAGGTCGAGAAGAGGGGGCGGTTCTCCCAGGTACACACGGAAAGAGGACGCGCCTTCCTCCCCTTTCTGAAATCGGAACGTTGAACCGAACCTGGTTTGAACTTTGTATTACCATTCATACAGCACGTGACTGGCATTTTTTTCCGCAACAAGACCCTTCGAGAAATTCAGTTTGCCACTTTCTTCCTGGACACTCACTCTCACTGCCAGCGAAAAGCTAGAGAGAATCTCAGTCGTACGTTGGATGCAATGGCTTGTGCCAGAGAATCAGAAAGTATATCTGGAGCTGGCGCATTTGACACGTCACGTAAGTGTACCCAATCCAGATGCTCATACGTGTTCTGATTCTCGCAATCCAGAGGTGTTTGGATACCTTCCGGCAAGCGTCATCTGTTGAGACATATGCGTCGACATTATTGCCGGCAATTCTTTCTCGTGAAAGCAAACTGTGCTCCAAATTTGGTCTGCCTTTGAGCCCGACTCCTTACCCAGCATTGACAGCGTCCACGGGCTGGAACTTGGGACTGTTGGAGTGACTGGAGAATGACCAGCCACATGACCTCTTGCGGAGAAACAAGTCTTTGCAGAAACAACCACAAAGGGCGCCGCAGTGTGACCGTTGGCCACGTCTTCCTTATCTCTATAATATTCTCGGTATATAATCGCTTGGCTCACACTTGATTACCAAGAAGGTATCTTCGGGTTCTATTGATATTATCAAATCTTTTTCGTCTTCAATAATTTTTACTGTAGGCTACACATATTTCATAAACTTGGAACGCATATATCAACAGGAGGTTTTTACAAGATGAAGTAATCTTCGCTAGTCTTGTGCTACATGAAGCAATATTCCTCTGATGCCGGCAACGTCTTCAGATGCTGCAATATATCAGGCAGTGAGTCTAAACGAACCAAATCATACCTGTTGACACGTTCCAAGTATATGCCCCTTCACATCGTCAGAAAACCGCCAATTACTGCCCCCGTGCAGACCACAAACCCGCCCACACCAAAACTAACACCCCAATCGTAAACGCCATCAAGCAGACTGCGGCGGGACTCAATTCCTCAATGATCAAAACGCCAAAGCCGCGGGGAACATCCTTTGCGCCCCGAAAAGCCGGATCAAACTGGAGCCTCGGGGCCCTCTCCTGCGACAGCAGCCTCAACATGACGTCCAGCGGAGGAGAGCAAGACGGCGTCGAGTTCTCGAACATGTACATGAAAATGCTCGGCAGCACCGGAAACGGAAACGAGGCGGTGGCATACGCCAACGAATATTGGTGCCGGAACAGACGCTCCTCTACGGGCGAGTTCGTGTACTCTGCGAAGTGTACGATCTCGTCGTCGGCACTGGTGAGATGGAACTAACACGGGAGGAAGGGGGGGAGGAGGGTTAGGACAAGACCCACGGAGAGTGTGTAGAGCGCAGCACCTTACCGTGATGAACTGGACTTTCTTTGGCCTGAGCAGGGCGACGGACCGGGACAGTCTGTCCATGCATTCCGCGCCGGTCAGTTCGTGCAGCCGCCGGAAAGGCTGGGCGCCGCGCTCACGATAGTACGCGTCGCGGAGTCTTCTGAAGACGCTCTGGTCAGAGGTGGCGCTGGAGACGTCGACGCGGAGAAGCTTGAGAGACGCGGGCGACTTGCGGACGCAGAGGTGGACAAACCTCTCCTCCGTGTCCCAGGGCAGTCGCCGCGACGTCGGGGAGGGAGTCTTGAGCGGGCGAGGAGGCATGCCGGCGCTGGCTCGGCGTCGTGCGACGCGAGGTTTCGCCCCGGGCAGCCGGCCGCATGTGCATGTGCGGTTCCTTCCGGACTGCGGCGGAATGCCTGCCCAGCGCTTGCCGGCTCCGTCACGGATCTCGACAATCATGGTTGTTTCGCGGCGTAAGGAGGGCTGGCCCCTGAGACAAGACATGGCGGCTTTGCTTTTATACATACCTCTGTTTGCCACTCATTTCTGAGGCGCAAGTCCGTGTTTCCTACCATGCTGCGACTAGAGAACCTTGGTGCGGCGCCTGTGTTTTCGACCACACCAAGCCTCGGGCTGCAGGACAGCAAGAAATGTCCTACGCCGGCGCTGGAAAAGTCTAATGAGCCAGAGTATCTTGCGACGGCGGATCAAGCGAGGCCACAGACTACAGTCACCGGGATGCCGCTTAGCGCGCGTAGATACAGACACGGTCGAAGCCCGAGGGCTCAACACTTGCTATCAGCTCATGGCACACTTTATGCGCAAAGGTCCGTGGCGCCCTGGCGACGCGGGCAGACTCTGGACGAGCGAGCCGGGGCCGAACTAGGCTGCTGTTCAACTGTTGGTTCTAAGGGGGCCGGCGGAATACAAAGTTGACACACACAGCAGCGCGCCGGCCTGGGTAGATTGACGAGCTTGTCTCTCTCTGGCTGAGAAGAAGAAAGGGGGCGCCAAACAAGCATCGTGGGATCTTGGAGCCATCACTGCGGCTACACTTGCCCTCTTCTGAAAAGAGAGAGCCGAGCCTCAGCCCTCTCGCTCCTAGCGTCCCTGGTTTGCTAGCTCAGAGCGCTGACGTCCCCTGTCTGCTGGGTACGCAGTCCCAGTTGACCTGATTCGAGTCTTCGCCGGCGGAATCTAGCATGCCAAGTCGAGCCCCGAACTTGATTGTCAGTACAACTTCATTTCCTCTACGTCCACAAGCGCTCGCCCTTGCTCTACCTTGCTATAGGGAAGTATTGCAGCACATCCAAAACATACTGCGAGACAGACAAAGGGGAACCACAATGTGCTATTGTCTATATAAGCTGATATACATTAGATACGCGAGTACAAGCATTAGTTCTCGGGCAAGGCAGATGATTCGTAAAGCTCCATCTCAGCCCGAGTACCCTTCCAGTTGACCAAGTTGCAGAGCACGGGAACAATGGCCGCCAAAATCATGCCACATCCCAGGAAACCAGCGGTGACGCCGAAGCCAATATGGAACGCCGGGCTGTCGCCCCTGGGCCAGATGCGGCTTCCGTAAACACTGGAAAAGTTCCCAAAGGCATTGACGAGTGCGAGGACAATGGCACGCTTCTCGGGCGGAAGACTGACGGTGCTGCTGGTCCACGACAGGATGAGCGGCAGGGCAGACCAGATGCCCGCCGCCACGAAACACACCATGACGTAGCGGACGATTGAGGTTTGCACGGCGGCGCACACCACGCTGCATGCGAACCCTACTCCGAGGGCTCCCGCGACGTGCCAGCGTCTGTCGCCAGTGCGATCGGATGACCAGGCGAGCATGTTGAGGCAAACGGCTGCGACAACATAGATTGGCACCGTCATGTATTGGGCTTTGGTGCTGTCTTTGTACATGGTTTGGCTGATGGTGGGGATGAAGTAGGAGATGGCTTTGAAACGGTTAGTGTCACATGTTGTCTTTTTGTTGCACACACATATATATACATATATATATATGTGTGTGTGTGTGTGTAGAGAGAGAGAGAGAGAGAGAGAGAGGGACAAGGACGGAGAAAAGCCCAACTTACTACCAGCCCCGACGTCCAGCATAAACAGGACGAGAAACATGTACGTCCTGGGATCCGCAACCGCAGCCACAAACGCCTGGCAGTGAGTCAAGCGCTTGTCCGAATGCCCCCCCGTCGCGATGCCGTCGTGGATAATCCGAATGGCAGCCAGCTTGCGTTCCTCGAGCGTCAGTCGCGTCGACGAGCCGGGGTAGTCGAGCAGGACGAAGAAGGCAACGCAGGCCACGCCAACAGTCACGACTCCCTCGACAATGAACAGCCAGCGCCAGCCCGCAATGCCATGTACGTTGTGCAAACGGTCGGTGATGGCGCCGGCCAGAATCCCGCCAAAGGCGCCCGATAACACGGCAGCGGTGTAAAAGATGCCGAATCTCTTGCCTTGAAGGGAGAAGAAAAGTTGGAGTGTCAGTTGAGTTTTCTTCTTCTTCCTCTTCTTAAGCTGGCTTCAGAGGCGGCGAGGCCCCGAGAATCAAGCCACGTACCTAGCTCTGCTTTGGTATACCAGCAGCTGAGGTAATACAAGACACCAGGGAAAAACCCCGACTCGATGCAGCCCAGGACAAAACGCAGCCCCAACAGAGCGCCGTACGTTTTGGCGACGGACATCAAGGCACTCAGGGCGCCCCAGACGAGCATGGTGGCGGGCAGGAAGACGGAAGGTCTGCTCCGGCTGAGAAGCATGTTGGAGGGGACTTCGCAGATGAGGTAGCCGAAGAAGAAGACGGACAGAGCCCAGGCGTAGCGGTCGTCGTCAAGGTCGAGATCCACCGCCATGCCGGCGATTTTGGCGTTGCCCTAGGCCGGAGGAGGGGAATCAGTCAGGGCGCTCCTCGGTCGACGCAAACGTCAGGCCTTGTCCGCAGGGCCGAGACGCAACTCACAATGTTTGTGCGGTCGACGTAGTTGAGAATGTACATGACCCAAAGAGTGGGCATGAGGAACAGGTCGATCTTGCGGACGAGCCTCCTCTCGTCGGCGGAGTGAGGGACGTAACGGCGCAGGGCCTCTGCCAGCTCAGGCTCATTGGTGCCCGCGGCAGACATCTTCTCCCTCATCTCATGGTGCGAATGGGCTTCGTCGCCGCCCGCCATGTGTGCTCGGCAAGGGCAACGCTGGCTCTGGCTCTGGCTCTGGCTCTGGCTCTGGCTCTGGCTCTGGCGGCGGCTATGCTACCCGAGCAGAGCTGGTCGACTTGGTCCTGGGGAGACGTGCATGAGGCCCGGCCTGCTTGCTGCCCGAGGGGAGCAGTCGACTTTAATAAGACGACGCAACGCAGCACAAGCATCGGATCGTACCGCAAAGCACCAGCACCGCGACGAGATGGGGGTTTTGGCCGGTTGGGATGGATGGACGGATGGATGGATCGATGCGCCTCGATCGATGGGTCGCTGGCGCTTCTTGCCCCATGGGGCAGCCGCTAACTCGCGAGAAACCGACGCCGCCGTGCTGAGTTTGGTTTAGCCTTTCCGCGCTGCTCAGGTTTTCGGGTTGCAATAATGGGGAACAAGCCGCGTCTGATGTCGGAGCTGCCAGGTCGGCAAGCGGCTCGGCCGCGACCGAAGAGAAGCAATTGGCCTCGAGATGCACATGTTGGTCCACTTTCCGTCCACTTCCGTCCACTTCCGTCCACTTCCCGTGCGCGCCTGCTTACTCATTCCACCTCGACCACGGCAACTTCAGCTGCCCAGGTAAAGTTATTTAAACTGACCGCCAACTTTATTCCCGCCCTGCCTCTTGTCCGACGTGCTCCCGGCTCCAGGCTCCAGGCTCCAGGCTCCAGGCGCCTCGTCTTCTCGGCGTCGCTCTTGTCCGAGTCGCAGTGCTCTCCGAGTCTCTGGCTTGGACAAGAGACGAGACGAGAACCGGCAAATCTCTCTCCAAAGGGGCTGCTTGGAAATAGTTACCTAATTGTTTTACATGAGACGCTGCTCGGCCAGGCTTTGTCCCCTGCAAGTACCGTCACTTTCTTTGCCCATCATGGCGGCCTCCAGCACCAAGGTTCGGGCTCTAGGCACATGAGCGCTCGATGCGCCGTCAATCAAGCCAAGCCAAGGCAAGGCAAGGCAAGGCAAGGCAAGACATAGCATGGACGCAGTCGCCACCCTGCCGTGACCTTGGACGCTGACCGGTTGCACTGCATGGCCCGTTCCAAATATGGCACCCGTCTTCTTGTCTACCTGCTCAAGTACGGGTACCTAACCTACACCGACTCAATATGTTACACACAACAGCGCAGTTACAGAGACGTACATGATGAGGGATACCAGCCATCGCCCATGCGCTGCTTCGCAGTTGCCCGACAACTGCCCAGAGTCCAAAATCATCCTGGCATTTGGGAGCTCAGAGCGTCCAAGAAGCTAAGCCCATACTGTTGATCCTGGTCCAGTCCAAACTGGTTCGGCATGTTTGCAGCACCACCAAACATCCAGCTGTTCCAGTCGGGCCACGCTCCACCACCGGCGTACGGCACCGGCACCGGCTGTCCGTCCTGGGCCTGCTGCTTTTCCATGGCGTTGTGTTCTTTGAACTTGCTGAGCATCCCGCTGAGCCCGCGCCCGAGATAGTGCGCGACGTGGCGGACGCAGGGGCTGGTCTCCTCCAGCAGCATGATGACGCCTTCTATGGTCGAAGCCACCGTCTCGTGCCGGATGTCGAGGTTCGCCGACCGCCATTGCGTTTGCGCCTTCATGAGGAAGAGGCAAGCATACGCAATGGTCGTGAGGAGGTACAGAGGCACACCCATCACCGACCGCCGCATGTCGGGGTCGTTGAGGATGAGTTCCAAGGCCGCAAACGCACTGCATATGGCCAGGTTCACAAACTCACGGCGCTCCGTGGACATTCGATACTGCTCGCTGGGCCGTAGACCCCGGAGACAGATTGCAAAAAGCTGCACGCGCGCAAAGTGGTAGTGCAGCACGACGCCCTTGGCCGGGTAGTCCGCGATGTGGGGATTTGGTGCTAGACAAACAGGAAAACAAGAGGAAAAAACAGGTTAGAAGCTGACATACACATACGGCGGCCGGGGTGTGGTGTTGTCACTGTCATACCAAGTCGAGGCTTCCACTGATCCCTCCATCGTGCCAAGTCGACATCAAATCGTCGCAGCATCTCGAACTCGTCGTTTGCAATCATTCTCGATCGGTCCGGCCCGAACACGTGGTAAATTCGACTGAGAATAATGAACACGCCGACCTGACTATGCAGGCGAAGATCCGACATGGTAATTCCGGGTAAGCGCAGAAAGTCCTCGTGACAGGACAGCGTCGAGTTCTCGCTAATCACGGGTGGACGGCCGTAGGCGATGCTAAAGTGGTGATCACACACGTACAAAAAGTACCACAGCCTGGCCTCTTCCACGTACTCTGGACGGTCCCCTATGGCCATGGCGCAGAACTGGTGCAAGTTGAGTTCCGTCGCGATTCTTACGGCAAGGCCCGACAGCTTCCAGCTCAAGTCTGACAAGTAAAAGGCGCCGATGCACAGTCCTCGCACGTCGTCGAGCGTGTGGTAGCGGTCAAACATGGCCTGGCTGACGAGCTCGAGGAATATCGCGTAGCAGACATCAAAGGACGTCCCGTCATCTTGAGCATGCAGGGCGGTCACGGCAAGAATCGCCGCTGTGAGAAGAGACGACGATGCCCTGGCGCTTTCCAAGTTGTCGTGATCGAGCGCTATGCCGCCCCATAGGTACTCGTTCAGCGTTTCCCGAAACCTTGTGAACAGCCTTTCTGCTTCTTGGAGGTCGAACTTCCCCTGGGATATGAAGTCTGGTTTCTGAGATCGGCTCTGAGGACGATGCATCCTGGCCCACGGATCACTGCGGACGTTGCGTAATTTGGTGACCTCATAGAGGCTGGCCATGGGCGCACTTACCATGGCCTGATCATCGGACTCGTGCACTTCCGGTTCAACAGAGTTCTCCCTCGTCATCCCGGTAGGTCGAATGGGCACAGTCCCGTCGGGGAGAGTCTGGGGCGCCGGCTGCATCGACGGCCCGGGGCCAGCGTCTCGGAAGCCGTTCATACCGGCCTGCAGACCCGGCAGCTGAGTTAGCACCGGGCGCGGCATGTTCAAGGCGCGCTGGACCTCCGACAAGGCGGCTTGGAGGCTCTGCATCTGGGCCTCGATGTTCTTCTTCCATTCGTTTTCGCTGTCCAGCAGTGTCTGCAGGCTCTTGTTCACCACACATTTGAGGCCGAGCCTGGCGCAACGCGCACACTGCTCTTGACCAGGCTCCAAATCACACTTGATTTTGCGGTTCTGACATGCTTGACCTGGTTTGCGGAATTAGCGCGGGCACTCACTCCTAGCAGACGTTTGATCGAGAGATGAACAACGTTTCGCCTGCAGCCGACATGTCACCCGCCGCCTACATGCCGCTCGACGTGAGACATGTTCTGATCAAGGCCAGGGCAGGGAACCATGAAATATTGGCACGTTACAGCAAAAAAGCTTACATGCTCGAATCTTCCGAGAGACTTTCGGCTGATGTTCGGCCAACTCACTGGGCGGACTGACTTGGGAAGAATCGAACCTTGCCCGCTTCATGATGCGATCAACGTCGTGGAACGAAGTCCGCGTGCAAGACTGGGTCGGACGGAGCTGTCTCTTTAGCAGAGAAAAACCTGGAAGGACGATAAGATAGGGCGGGACAAAGACCGAGGCGAGGTGTGAAAAGGCTTTTGAGTCTCGAGTGAGGTCAAGTCCAGGCTTTGGCCCCAGCGGCCGGTCCCGCCGCCCATGTGGCCGTGCACGTGCTCTCGGCCAATCGCGGCTAAAGCCTGGTGCCAGCCCCAGTCCGGTCCCGGGACACACGGGGGAAGGGGGGGCGCCCCCGCCACCACTGCCGCGCCACCTGCCACCTCTGCCACCTGGCGCCGTCTGGCCTGACATCCGTCTGGTCTGGTGGACTTTGGACCCGGCGGGTTTCTGCCCGACACGGCCGCGCTAGGCAGACGAGTACGCAGAGTCTTTGCGGGGATTGTGGATGATGATTGATGACATGGCAGAACAATTGCTCGAATTGAAATCTTGCTCCGAAGCCCAGGCCAGAGCGTATTGAAATGCACATGCGTGGTGTTTAATACAAATTTCCCCATCGTCGATTAGATAGGGTTTATTTAGCTGCTGCTTCGTGCAATGCATACACTGCGAGCCGCACAACTTGACTCGATCGTATCGCAAACGGCCAAAAAAAGGTGCACGTGGGCGCGATGAAGACGCAGGGCGGCCAGATGCCATCAACGGAAGCCAGCGCGCTTGCCGGCTCAGGGCCTGTCTCTCGTGTCAATATCGGTTTCGTTGGCGCTCACGGCTGGAGCTCTCCCTTGCTCACCAGTGTCTTGTCCAAGCCCGGCTTCCAGGCTCGTGTCTACGATAATTCCTCTCGCCTCTTGGCCGGGCTTGCAGAGCTGGGGGCCATCACCACAGACAGTCCCGTCGTGGTGGCCCAGCGCAGCCAAATTGTTGTCTGTGCGACGTCCGACATCAAGGAGCTAGAGCGCCATCTTTTCTGCTCCCAGACCGGAATCTTATCAGGTATGGGCCGCTCACATGCAACGTCTGGTGCAGCTGGTGCGGCATGGCAGTAGTTTCGAAGTATTCAGTCGTTAACCACTTGCCAACAGCGCTTCCAAAGCATTCCGTTGCTCTGCTTTCTCCCAGCACGCACCCATCATACTATCCGTACCTCCTTCGAAGAATAGCCGAAGAGGGCAGGCCTGACGTCTCGATACTGGATGCCGCCTGTCTCGCCAGGTCATCGCATGGGAATCACAACGGGCGCAATGCACTCGTCCTCTCGGGACCCGCAGCGGCTCTTTCAAAAGCAAATAAAGTGCTTCATGGCATTCCGGAATGCTTGTGGCCAGTACCCGGAGGGCTTGGCCAGGCCTCAAAAGTGGAAATGCTTTACCAACTCTTGACCGGCTTGCATGCGGCTGCAGCTGCCGAGGCAATGGGCCTGGCGGCCAAGGCTGGGCAGAATACCCAGGTTACTTTCGACATCATAAGCAACGCAGCTGGGACTTCATCGGCGTTTGAGACGCGGGTTCCGCACATGCTATCGGGGGATCGGAAGTCTCCAGCTACCTGGCGGTCAACACTCAACAGCCTCGTATGATACCGCTGAGTCTCCCTCTGTCCACAGCCCATGGTCCACAAATTCTGACGGTTCTGAGCATACTAGAGATCTGCCATTTCGACAGCACGGAAGCTTCATTTTCCCCTGCCCCTGACTGCCACTGTAGAGCAGTTATTCATATCTGGCTTGTCGCAGGGCTTTGGCGACGATGGCGACAGTGCGCTTGTTCACACCTACCTGCCCGAACGCCCCGACCTAGTCAAGGAGAGAGCATGCCAAACAAGTATGGACGCGTCTCATACTTGGACCGGTAGGGCTGGTATTGACATTTGCAAGATTGGATTCGTTGGCCTGGGGGCCATGGGCCAGGGTATGGCCGCGTCCTTGGTCCGGGCTGGCTACCTTGTCCAAGGCCACGATGTTTCCTGCCCTGCTGTAGAGGCATTCACCAGCACTGGCCCAAATGCCATTGCGGCAAGTTCTCCGGAAGAAGCAATTAGTGGATCGGATGTGGTCCTGCTCATGGTGCAAAATGCGAGCCAAATTGACGAGGTGCTCTTCGGGGACTCCCACCGCGGTGCCGCCGCTTTATCCAGCGGCTCCGTGGTCGTTGTCAACTCCACGGTTCCACCAGAATATGTGCGGAGTGTCAGTTCGAGGCTGACGGAGATGGGCAAAGGCGTTCTGTTGGTGGATGCCCCGGTCAGTGGAGGTGTAGCTCGGGCTGCCAACGGCACATTAACGGTGAGCTTCCCCCCCATTTCCTTGCTGCGCATGAAACCCTAACTTGCCTTCTGCTGATGCACCATTAGATAATTTGCTCCGGGGAGAATGAGGGTCTCTCCAAAGTTCGACACGTGCTCCTGGCCATGGCAGGAGAGGAGCAGAATTTATGCCTCGTGCGAGGCGGTATCGGTATGGCCTCCTCAGTGAAGCTCGTCAACCAACTTCTCGCAGGAGTTCACATCGCTGCCGCTGCCGAGGCCATGGCGTTCGCCGCTCGTCTTGATCTTGACACCCAACTAGTATTTGACATTCTCAAGACGTCGTCGGCATGGAGTTGGATGCTTGAAAATAGAGTTCCACAGATGTTGAACGGTGATTGGACCCCGCATTCCGCTCTAGCCATTTTCGTCAAAGACCTCGGCATAGTTCTTGACGAAGCCGCGCGGTTGAACTACTATGCGCCCATCTCCTCTGCTGCACACACCTTGTATCTCGCCGGCGCAGGACACGGCTGGACAAATGAATCAGACTCGGGCGTAGTAAGGCTGTGGGAAATGCTAGGGTCATCAGTCAGAAGCAAAGCCAACGAGAAGTTTGACAACGACCCGCAAGACCAGGGCGCCAACTCAGCCGCCAACGGGGGGAGCGCTGAAGACGAAATCAACGTGCCATTCGTCATAAACCCCGGCTCTGACAATTGCAAAGGGATAAAAAGCCTCGTTGCTGCTACCACGCTCAGGTCGCTGCCACCAGAGTACCCCCATGACGTTCTCAGTTCCATCCAAGGAGTGGTCAACAGCGGCCAGGTTCCTACGCTGGTAATATTGGACGATGACCCCACAGGCACACAGACTTGCCACGATATTGACGTCTTGACAGTGTGGGATTCTGCAACCCTAGATTCCGAGTTCCGTCTTAGCCCCCGTGGTTTCTTCATCCTGACTAACTCGCGAGCACTCCCGTCTGCAGAGGCTCGAAAGCTAGTTCAAGAAATATGCGAAAATGTGTCTCAAGCAGCAAAAAGAGCCAGCAAGGCTTTTGAAATCGTCCTCCGAGGAGATTCCACCTTGCGAGGTCATCTCCCCGAGGAGCCCGAGGCTGCAGAGGCTGCCCTGGGCGCGTTCGACGGCTGGGTAATTGCCCCATTTTTTGCCCAGGGCGGCAGATACACCATTAGTGACGTGCAATACGTGAGAGAAGGCGATGCACTGGTGCCTGCCAGCCAGACACAGTTTGCTGTTGACGCGACTTTTGGGTATCGGAACTCCAATTTGAGACAATACGTTCTTGAAAAATGTGGTCCGCGCTTCGACGATGATTCCTTCATCAGCATTACTTTGGAAGACATCAGGGAGGGAGGACCTAAGGTGGTGACTGAGAAATTGCTCTCTGTGGGCCCGGATCTCAACAGAGTCATAATTGTGAATGCTGTCGCCGAGTCAGATATGCATGTATTTGTGGCTGGTCTTTTGGAGGCGGAGAAAAACGGCCGGAGATATCTCTACCGAACTGGGGCGTCTTTCGTCTCGTCAAGACTTGGCATCAAGGGCATCCCGCCACTGACCATGAAAGACCTAGGCATTGTTCTAGTTCCTGGCGAAAGACAGTCTGGTGGATTGGTCGTTGCCGGATCACATGTTCCAAAGTCGACGGCACAGTTGGAGGCCTTGACACAACGACTCAAAGCCAAGTTACAAGTGGTGGAGGTCAGAGTACCCGACTTGATAGCCTCGGGAGATGCTGCTGAGAAAATTGTCAGGGCAGCGGCACAGGCCGTTTCCGTGAAGCTTTATGCTGGTTACGATGTCGTGGTCATGACATCGAGGACGCTCGTGAAAGGTCCAGATGCCTTGAGTTCATTAAATATTGCGTCTCAAGTTGCCATGGCTCTCGTTCAGTTGATGGAACTCATTGATGTCCATCCGAGGTACATTATCGCCAAGGGTGGCATTACTTCGTCCGAGACCGCCACCAAAGGCCTCAAAATGAAGCGCGCCAGGGTGTTGGGCCAAGCAGCTCCCGGGGTGCCGCTCTGGCGATGTGATGAGCAAACAAGCCGTCACCGGGGCGTTCCATTCGTGGTTTTTCCTGGAAACGTCGGCACTAAAGACACTTTGGCAGACCTTGTGGAAGCGTGGGCAATTCCGGACGGGGCATTTTAAGTTGGATTGCTTTTCGTGATATCACCCCTTCTTTGCCGCAGATGAAAGAAGATGAAAGTAGATCAAAGTACATAGCGCATGATTTCCCACCAAAGCTTCCCCTTGATGTTACAACCCATCATTCGCGAGAAATCAGTTGTGTACCTGTAGGTTCTTGCTTGTGAGCGTGCCGTGGTTAAATGTAGCTCGCTCTCAAGGAAAGTACCACGAGATAACGGATACCCGGACGCGTCGGGCTGCAAGATGAAGCGACCGTGGAGCGCCATAGAGATCTGAAGTGCTTCCAAATCCACCTCCCCATTGTTTCCAATTTCCAAGTGGTTATTAGGGAGGCCAGTGGTGGCGCATCAAGCAGTAGACCGTTACTACTTTGCGATATAAAACCTTGGGGCAGGCTTCAAGGCTCCATTAAGCTGGATAAAATATCGCTAGAAGTGACAAAGCCCCTGAGCAACATGGGAATTTCTCGGACTTGACCGACGTTGGTTTATTACATCCCCCTGGTTGATAAGACTCGACTCCCTAAGCGAGAATTCCATTTGAGTTGGTGCCACTGATGTCAACGGCTCGTAGGCTCGCAGCACGCGGATAGACAGTCGTCCACGCAGGCCGGTCGTTATGACGAAGAAATACTGCGCAAGCCATCAGATTGGGTAAGAGACCATCTCGAATTAGTATTTTGAAAGATGTTGTTCAAGTTGACGAGTGCGATTTGTTTTTTCGATGGCGTCGAGACACTGCCAGACCGGCTTTCTTCAGACGGTTGTTGAAGAGTTTTGGTAGGGGAATATGCAATGATTGGGACGATGAGGTGTGCGGCCACTGTATGGGTAATTGACGGTCGGTGTCATATCCAGGAGCAGTTTCTCTTGGGTGAAAATCAGAGGTTTGGAATGTTCCCCATGTCCCGGGACATGAAATTTTGCAGCAATTCTGTTTTCAAGAACAGCTGCACCAGAGGCGTAGTAGCGACCTGCGGAAGGAAAGGAAGGGAAGGGAAGGGAAGGAGGAAAGTGCCGAGATGGATGGAGCCTTCCAGCTTTGCTCATTGCTGGCCAAGCTGCTCCGCCGCATCATCACAAGCCGCCAGCATGAGAAGGTTTAGTTGTCGCTCGAAGGCTCTGTAAAAGTGGGTTGTGAGGATAAAGATGGAAAGCAGTGTATGCTGATGAAAAAAAATAATCACCACGCAAAGCTATCGTTTCATTTGGCTCAAGTCCCGAGGACAGTACGTAGTACCTACCTGGGTACTTACTTAAGCAAGTACTTAGCTTGATGGATCATCGCGATCCTGCTGTTTTGGCGTGGAGGGTTGCACCTTCCCGCTTTGCATTGACAAAGCGAGTGGCGGTCAAACCGGGCGTTTCGTCATTTGACATGAGGCGACGCCGATATCATGAAGACCCTCCGCCATCAACGTGAGACCGCGAATTAATACATCCTTAATCTCGGCATTCATGTTTAGACCATGTCCAGACACACTTCAAGATGCACCCACCCCTAAAACAACATTCAGTCTCCATTTCTGCCCTTGGCATATGGCTGCTTGTAGTTCCATCGTGGCCCTGGCTTGTTCTTAGGGTTACTGCTGTACCACTCGTCAATTCAACTTGCTTGCCATCGTTGAGGGCTGCGTGGACAAATCTCCAAAAGAACTGCACTTGGAATGCCAGCCTGTGCGTTTCCTGCGCATTCGAAGTGAAGCTCCTTCAGCACGGAGGCGCCGTCGACGCTACTATCAGACTACTCGTCGTATGCCAGCTCAGCGTCATCTTGGTGGGCTTTCCATAGCTTAGCAGCCGTGCAACAGGCTGGACTTTGTCCTAATCAGTGGTTCAAGGCCATGAAGTACTTCGCAGACGGCCCGGCATGGCTCAACGACACTATCGCCTTTGCTGGGTGCTACGCGGCTGCGCAAACGACCGACGGAGCTGGGCACAGCAAGGGACCTGAAGCCAACGCTCGAGCAGCCCCGGCGGTATCTACGCCCAAGTCCACGGAAATGCCGCCGAGTAAGTCGAATGGAGCTCCTACACCTGGTATGGGTCAAGGGGTTATTAATGGTGAGACTTGGGCTGTCCTTATAGGGGTCACGGTCATCAATGCCATGTACTAGAACAGCGAAGGCGCGTTCGTCTCGTTTCTGTCTTCCTTCTCGCCTATGGATGAGGAAATTCTTGGGGCCCTCCATACCGGTACCTCCTGTCCAACTTACCTAGTAGAGATGACTCTGTAAAAATCGAGAGCTCTGCTATTAATTTTTGTGAGAAAATTGATACGGAATGGAATTGGGGATTTTCTGAGAAGGTCTGAGGGTAGCAAATTACGAGAACGCTTCGTCAGAGCCAACAAACGTTGATACCACAATGCTTGGTCAGAGAAGAAATGGGTAGATAAGCCAAAAGAAGGAGCTTATACATTCGAAGCAAGAAACCGAGACGGGAAGCGGAGGCTACGGCCAGTCGGTAGTGCTCTTTTGGGCTTTGGTCCGTAGAAACCAGTCCGGTTTGAAATTGAAGAGGGGTACGGTCACGTGTCCACGAGTAGGTAGGTCTGATAATTTTTTGCACATTTATCTGCTATTTTAATCAACATCGCCATCTCAAGTCACACATAGCCCTTGAGCGTTTCACATTAAGCAAGTTTCATCACAACATCTATTTCGGTTTCTCGACCAAGAAGGAACAAAAAGATGAGACAATATCTTTTTAGTTGACGAGGGAGCGATGACTGCCAACAACCGAGATGCGTCACCATCGTCAGACGCAGCATCGGACTCAGGATCCGACGTGGATTCACAATTTGACAGACAACCCACCTACACCCCTCAAGAGATGGAAGCTATACTACTCCAATTATACGAGTTTCTTGCAACGCTGCACTATAATTTAGAGGACCTCAAGGTGCCTCCTTCTGAAGGCTGGCAAAGCTTTACATCAGAAGCTTGCGTGCATTCCAGAAACGAATATGCCATTCAAGTCCTACGCTATTTACTATAGTTTAACAGCAAAGCAGAGTTTCACGTTAAATGCAAGCTGCTTAAATACACGACATTTACAACCAAGGACTATAGGAACAAACACTAAGATTAGGACCAAGAAGAATGGTGGTCTACTATAGGTGTCGTGGACGCAGGATGGATGCTCCCCATTGCACTGGGATATGAGAGCTTCGGCCGCCAACTCTCCCTTAATTTGTTGGACGGTGAGATTAATAACGAGGTATTCATTAGGGCGTGCGACGCGGAACCGGTCCCTTTAAAAGACTGGGTAGATGAGATGCAGGGCGTCCATAGCCGCCTGGTGTTCATACCGTGCCCTGGTCGCATTACCATGGATTGCACTGGCGTGCCTGAGCGGGAATATGGACGCATCAGCGAACATCAGTTTCGGGCACAGACCAAGGACTGACCTACAGAGCTTGACGTTCAATACGCGAGGCAAGTATATCGGGACTATGGCTTGCCACACGCTTTCCAACGAGAAGAGGCTTTCACGTATGTGTGTGACCTCTTGGTTCTATAGAGGAAGAAAACGAAGGGCGGTCTTGGCGAAAGGTAGTTGATGATGACGACCCGAGGTTGTGGCCATCTGTATAAATTGGACCGTATCATGACACATCCCCCAAGAGGGCATACCCATTACCAACAAGTTTCCTTTACAACTCGAGTCCTCTGCTTTTCCGGTCGCGCTACTTTGCAGACAGTGCAAACACCGCGCCGCTCGTCTTGCCGTCACATTTCACTCAAGATCCCATGACCTTGTTCCGCAAATATCGGTCATTTCAAAAGAGGGCGGGTACTGCAGAGCGATGCTGCTGATGTTTCGTCGACATGAGAAGCGTAGTCTATTCAAAGTTTAGCGAAATGGAAGATTAGTGGGCGCGCGGATAAATCCCTGCATGCTCATGCCTGTACGACGACGTTATCGGCACTACTCTGCGTCCTGCACCACCAGACTTATCCACACGTGACTACTCGCCTAGTCCAGCACCTGAAAGCTCAGCAGCTCCTTCCTCTGGTGGGAGTGCAGAGCAGACTTGCACCTCGAAACATCACCAGAAGAGCAGAGTTTTGGATGAAATGCCTCTTTCTCTCAGTGCGAATGGTTTTCTTAAAAAGGCGCGGCGTTACTAATCTGCCTCTTTTCTGAGCCACTGTGCTCTCGCCTGTGTCGTCGCCTTCACCGACGACGGGTCACTACCAAGATCTTTGTTCCTATCTCAAGATACAAAAATAGTTTGCGTCCTCATCATCCTCGAAACATGATGATCTGACCTTGTGACTCGTGTATATTAGGCACGACGTCGTATGAGAAATGACTAGAAGGCTTCCTCAGAGCCCCGCATCGAATACCTAATCTCCAGAATTCCTCATTACTCATCAGCCAGAACACTAAACCCGACCATCCTATTGCCCTTGAGCACATGGCACTCAGGTCTTTTGATCAGTAAAACCAGCTACGAGTCACGAATCATGCATGGCCCATCAAACCTGCATGGCAAACTAATCGACTTGGCTGGTCGCTGTTCGTCTGAAGCAACATTTCTGGTCGCAAGTCGATACTACCTTCATTTCTTAGCGAGCGGCCAGCTGATATGGTCTCCTGATGGGAGGCAGACCCGGCGTGACTTGGCGTGGCTGGCCACCAGAGGGGTCATCGCGACGAATCTTGCAGATGCTCCCCTGATGCTCCCTGACCTTCATTCCGCCGCCAATACGCTCTTGGGACTAGTCACTTGTGTTAGTAGGCGGCATCTGCCCCATCCGTCCTCCATGTTCCTGTCGTTCGCCCGCAGATCAGCCACCCCGTTGACCGCTGGGCCAGTAAGATTGCTCTAGCCCGTCTCAGCTGCCATATTTCGCAAAGATCGATGTCGTCCCCTCGCTGCGGCGCGTTGCGCCCACGGCGCTGGGTACAGACTAAGGCTAGTTCGCCGCCTCGGTTTCTCTAGCTCACGAGGCTAGTTGACATATCATCCAGGTTCCAACGGTTGCGTTGCAAAGAGACCGTTTGAATACAAGCATGTGCAGAAACGAAAGACGAGGTTGGCAGGGATGGCCAAGGTGTATTTATTACAGGTTGAGGTCCCTGTGACCCTTGGGGCTCTGAAGTGGAAGAAATTCGCTTCTTCGTAGCTGTGGCGGCAGGCGAATGTGCAACGTTTCTCCCCGATCTTTGTCTGTTCGGGTCTGACCTATTCAATACTCGAAATGAGGCAAACTCTGTCTTTGCTGGCCTTTACGGCCAGCCTCTTGCCCTTTCTCTTGTTCACTCGAACGACAACAGCTACACCAGCTCCAAGGCAGCTTGTAAAATGCAACCGAGCTGTACAAGACGTGTGCAGGAAAGAAGACCGGACGTATAGCTCCGAGATGCCAAAAGCTGGAAGCTACATGCCATGGGCACTGATTCTCCTCCGTGAGATTGGTTTCCCAGCGAAGCAATATATCACCATTGTCAATCTCACCCCTCACCGGTTCGTCCTTGACCGGAGCCGCACGCACTCGTATCAGATGGACGCTTTTGACTGGGATGATATCCCCCAAGGTCGTGCTCGTCAAAATACAGCAGAATACACGAAGAATCTCGGCAAGAACCCAGTGGACGATGGCGGCGAGGTGTACTACACGATTCAAGGGACAAGTAAAAGGTTTGAGATTCGCGCAAGAACTCACATTCCAGACTCGTATCCCCGCCGTACCATCATTGACTTGTCTGGCATGGGCCTCGGTCAACGGGAGTACTTGGACCCTGGCAAGGAGACGGCAGTTACCCTGGTTATCACTGGAAGTGACTCGTACGGTTTTACCGCTTCTCTGCGTCATGGTCGGGGCAACTGGATGAAGGGAATATACAACGTCATCAAAGACAGACAGATGCAGCACATTGTGATGCCTGCCACGCACGATTCGGGAATGAGCCGGATCAGCGGCAAAATTGGCTCCATTGGCACCGAAGCCAACACACAGACACAGGGCCTCAACATTTACAATCAGCTACGCGCTGGTGCCAGGTTGTTCGATCTTCGGGTCGGCAGCGTCCACGAGGTGGCTAACCAGAGCTCGTACAGCTTTTGGACCATGCACGTCAACGACGAGCTGGCAGAGGTAGTTGTTGGCAACACGGGAGAGTCGCTTGACGATGTTGTCAAGGAGATCAACCAGTTCACAGCCGAGTACCCCGGCGAAGTCGTGTTTTTCCGAGTCCGATACTTGAATGGCATTCTCGACATCCCCACAGCAGGGCCAATCTACTGGAGCCCCGAGATGGTCAACAACTTTTTCAGCAAGCTCAAGGGCATCAACAACCGTTGCGGAAACCTCGATCTCAACATCAAGTTCAACCGGCAGAAGGCGTCGTATTTTATGGATCAAAATGGCGGCAAGGGCTGCGTTCTCTTTCTTCTGAACGGCAACCTGAAACCAGACGTGCCTCAAGACTCTGCATCAGACGGAATTTACAGACACTCCATGATGGACGTATGGGACAACTGGTCGAACTTGCCCGACACGGCAAAGATGGCAAACGACCAGGCGGCCGATTGGAAAACGGTCAGCAGAAGCGGCGACTTCAAAAACGACCAGTTTCTCATCAGCCAGTGGCTAGTCAGCGCGGATGCCATCACCACGACGGCCCTGAGCATCCAGAACATTGCTATCCTTCCTACCAATCCGGCCCTCTACTGGATGGGCGTCAACAACATGAGCCCAGAGGCCTGGCCAAACGCCGTCCTGATCGACCACCTGGGCGTAGTGGTCGCGGGTCAGTGGAACTGGGACCAGCTCAGCGCCGAGATGTACACCTTCGCAATCGGCATGAACCTGTACATGGTTAGCGAAAACTGCGACATCAACCGGAGACGGTCCCCCCTTCTCCCTGGGGCCAGCTCAGCCGTCAAGACTGTGAACGCCGGCCAGCTGGCCTCGGCGTGGAACGGCATCATCTACGCAGACGGTACAGTTGACAATAGTCCTGCGCCGAACCTGCATCCCGGCCGTGCCCGAGTTCTGAAGAAGGGGACCGAGTTCCTCAACGGCACAGTATTACAGAATGATGTGGAGAATCGAGCGTTTCTATTCTAGGTGGCCGTGGCTGTTTGACCGGTGGCGCATGACGACATGGTACGATACCCCGTGCAAAGAGAGGAACTACTGCCAAGTGCACATGAACTGTACATATATCTGCACGGTATAGCGAAATCGCTGATGTGACAAGTTTAACGATCAGATACCAAGCTACACAACACAAGCCGGTCGCTCTCCGTGTGACATGTGTCTAGGCCGTGCCAAGGACTAGCTGTGTGAAGAGCACGGAGAGGGAAAAGAATGATTGGACTCCTCGTCAAGGCACACAGAACCTGGAAGAATAAAAGTCTTTCCATGTTGACACTGACTGAAATTGTTTACACGACACCTTGGCCGAGCAACGCGACCCGTCCGCCGGTTGGTGCACATACGACGTGGAGTACGCTCAAACGAAGGGCGACTAATCAATTTCCATCCGTTGATCGAGTTCCGAAATCAGTCGGTTCTCGGGCGAAATCAAGCTCTCCAGTCTCGACTCCAAGTCTGAGGGAGTCGCGACATCAACCAGGTCAGCCAAGCACGTGCAACCGGCTGCCTGCTCCCCAGTACCGGAATTCCATCCCGCCCGCTCTTCGTGCGTCCCCGTTGTGGACCGATGATGAATGCCACACGGACGGTCTCGCCGTGTCCCCCGTCACTCCGATGGTCCCAACTTACAGATGTATCGCCAACGGGAACAGAGCACGGGGGCCGCTCAGATGCAACTACATGCAGTGTTGCAAGATGCTTCGACGAGCCTCCTCCCCCCCCGAGACGCAACCACGGCAACTCGACCGAGACCCGGGATCGATCTGCCATCGCGAGCTTGTTTCAGGCCGGCATCGGCAGATGCACGATAAACCTAGTCACGGGGGGACAAAACAAACACACGACAAGCATGCAACAACCGCGAGAGCGAGCACAAAGCCTCCCGACCAAATGACTCGTCCTGGTTATGCCCGGAACGAAACCGAGCCCCTCCCAAGACATCAGATGGCGTGCGTGTGGCCCGGGCCGTCGTCGACATCGTCAACGACTCGACAACCCCCGCAAGCGTCCCCCCCTTGGACTCGACAACAAAGCCAAAGCCGCCGCCAGGAAAACAGGCCACGAGAAACAATGCCAGTCCACGAGGCAAAGCCAGAGGCAGCGCCCACCGCCGAGAGCTCGTCGCGCCTCAAAGCAGCCCACCACGCGGACTCGGCCAGACCCAGACCCAGACCCGACTGGTCCTCGGCCCAAACAAAGGCGCCAAAAGACGAGCCGTGTCCAACGAAGAACCAACAAGGAAGCACACAAGGGAGGCTCAAAACCATTCATATCAATCAACCACTTCGTTCATCCCGCGCCGCAATCAAAGACACTCCCACCGCCCAACGCATCATGTGCCGCCCTCACAAGCACCAGCAACGTAAGGACGAGACCTGGACTCGCTGTACAATCCGGCCGCCCACGACGCCCGCCTCGCCACAGGTATAAAGAGCAGGCAGCGTGTTCAGGTCCCACGGCGTACGTATCGAGCTGCTCCCGCCCAGCAAGGCCAACAAGACCAACAGTCCACCGCTTCCTGGGAATCTGCGCTTCACCGAGCCCTTCCAACCCCTCTTCGGCACAAACCCCGTCCAACAAGACGTCAGGATGCTCTCCCTGGCTGCGGCCTTCGTCGCCGCCCTCACGGCCGCCGCTGCGCTCGCTGCCCCCGTCGAAACCGGCACCAAGCGTGCTGCTCCCGGGCCTGGGGCCAAGATAGGCGAGGCGACTTACTATGAGCCCGGGCTGGGCGCCTGCGGCAAGACCAACAGCGCGGCCGACATGATTGTGGCTATTTCCCCGTCGGCGCTCGAAAACAAGCAGAAATGCGGGCATAGACTTCGTGCTCAGTATAATGGGAAGACAGTCGAGGTCGAAGCGGTTGACCTGTGCATGGGCTGCAAGCCCTTCGATCTGGACCTGACGCCAGCGGCTTTCAAGAAGCTTGGCGAGATGTCGGCTGGTCGACTTACGGGCGTGACGTGGGAGTGGATTTGACGGGGGAACCAGGTCAGGGAGTCGGTTACTTGTAGGTGAGTAGGTTGATGGACAGATCGGATCCGGCAGACGGGTGGGAGCCGTGGTCGAGGTTTCGGGGTCAAGACATTGTGAGATGGGCAGCCGGGCTGTTTGTTTGTTTTGAGAATCACGGCGCTCCTGTGCTCCTGTGTGGCTTGGCGCATTTAGCATTGGCAAGGACATTTCCAAAGGGGCGAGTGATGAAATCGAGGTATTCCATATTGGTTGCTTCTCATTCTATTGCGTCGGAGCTGTCCGAGGTGCCTGACCAACGCCGACGACGGCTTCCATGGGCAAGTCCAGTGACCAGACCGAATTTGATCAAAGGCCGAAACAAAATCCAACGTCTACGTATAGTGCAGTCCTCTTTATTACAAGCGTGTCGCGGGCCGCCGCTTTGATCTTCTTTACACCAAAGTCGCTCTCAAAGCTTCCCACCTCCCAACTGGCACAGCCTCTAGCCCGCCTTGCTCCTCGAGTTGTTTGTCCGTGAAAAGCCGGGCAGCCATCTCCTTCGAGTGCTGGAGCTCGAAGACCCTGCTGCTGCCGGACTGTTTTCTACATCGGCTGATGGAGCAGTGACAGGGGTGACTGCGGCAAACGCTGGGCCAGGCGTCTTGCTGCGGCCGAGGTCGTCTGCTGGCGGCTTTTCCGTGTCCCCTTCCGCTCCCATTGTGTTACGCCGGCACTGGCGAGGGTTGAGCATGATCGGCGGCGGAGTAGCCCCCGATCTGTCGTCCTCCGTTGCGGAATTTCGCCTTGCCCATGATGGGACACCTATCGTGGAAACGTTCTTCAGTGCTTCGGAGATGGTTGTTTCCCCAGAGGTGGATTGTTCAGAGGTCGGCCCCGGCGGAGCACCACTGGTAGATCGTCGGAAGAGCCTGTTGAGACCAGCTCGCGCTCCATGTTGTTGACCCGTAATCGGAGGATAGTGCTTCGGTTTCTGGTCGCTGCTGGGCGGCGGCGGTGAGGCAAATTGTTCTTTCTGAACCGGTGTTCTCATGTCATCCCTTCTTCCCAAGTCTACGCTGTTTTGTCTACTGTGGTAGCTTCGACGACGTGCGGTCGAAGAAAGAGCCTGATCAGCTCCGTGAATAATTGTCCCTTGAGACGTCGCCGCTTCTGATGTTGACCCAGTCCGTGCGTGCAGGCTAGATCTTCTATTAGGCGGCGGTGGTGCAGTACCGGCAAAAAGACCCTGCCTCACGGAGAAGAGATCGGGCATGCGGTCGAATCCGCCCGGTGGCAGTGAAACATTATCCGCCAGATCACCGTTTGGTTTAAATGCGGTTACCATTGCCCAGCTTCCCTTGGCCGAGTCTGTAGGAAAACCGAATAGATCGGGTGACACACGGCTCTCATTTCTCGAGGGCTGTGCGCTTTCGCGCATCCAGATATCAAGACTCGATTCAAGTGAGTGTGCGTCTGAGTCGTCATCGTCGTCGCTGTCCCAGCCTTTGCCTCTCCTGTGAGACACGGTAGACTCGTCTGCAGATCGTGGGCGAGGAATGAGAGGTCCTCGGTCCTCGAAAAGCAGGTCAATGGCTCGTTTACTCGGTGAAGCCCAACTCTCTGCCTCTTCTGGGGGTCCGTTGGGTATCGTTGCCAACTGGCTACCTCGCTGGCCGCCGCCTTGACCACCGAGATGAGATAGCACAACCCCGTTACCATTCTCGTCGGCTGCATCATGTTGTGAAAGCGTCTCGTTTGAGGATTTGAACCGGCGCAGCATCGAGCTCGATATGGTATCCGGCGTGGGAGGAAGCGCCTGATCATGTAATCGTACACCGCCCTGTCCGTCCGTCGTCGTTACTCCACGGAGAGCATCGCGTTTGTCTTTTGCACTTTTCAGTCCTAGTAGTTTGTCGGGCAGCAGCTGAGCTTTCGAATACTCTTTGCCTTGACCCCGAGGGCGGCCTGATTCCTTCCCACCTCCGCGCGACAAGTCGAGCTGTTCCGGGCGCCCTAGAGGTGAGCCGGTGATCACGTCCGTAATGGATTTGAATTTCCCCGTAGAAGTGGCGCGCGAGTCAGCTCTCCTACTCGAAGCTACCGGTCGAGTGTGGTTGCGCTCTGATTGCTCGCCGTTCACTTGCTTAGTATGACTTGAATCCCCTCCGTCTAAAACCGTAGCCTCATCAATATCTGCGGCGATCTTGTCGGCGCGTACGACTTTCTCCTTCCGACCGTAAACACTCACAAAGGAGCTCTCGCTCAGCACACTGAGTGTCGGGCTACCTAACTCTTGCACATTATCGGCTTCGGGGGAGCCTTCAGCTACGCGCGTCAAACTCAGCGTGCTGGCTTTGGTCCCCAAGTACACATTGCGGAGGTTTTGGGTCGTCTCACTATGGTCGGATAAGAAGCTGGGCATACGGTTGACAACCTTGGCATCCTCTTCCAACTGGGTGAGATCCGGCGTCGCACTTTGAGGGACAGGCGTCTTGCAGCCCGTGTCGTAATCGCGGGGGCAAAAGAAGCCTTCGATCTCAACTTGCTGCACCATGGCCCGCTCACGAAATAACTGATCCACCTTTGCCTCCAAGTTGACAATCATGGCGACGGCCTCCTCGACTGCCTTGTCACGCTTCTCTAGCTCTATTAGTAGCTTGTCGTTGACTTCCTCCATGCGTTGCTTGTCGCTTTCCAAAGCGTCGACCCGCTCCTCTAGTGTCGTCTGTCTCTCGCGCCTGTGATAAAGCTCGAGCTTCAAGTCGAAATTTTGCTTATGCAGGTTAGATACCACCTAGGCAAATCCAGAGTTAGCAGTCAGTCCTGCATCGCCCTGTTGGACGTCAGGTACCTTTTCCATTTCCTTGACACCCAAACCCTTCTTTTTGCCTTGGACAACGCCAGCGCTGGATTGTGGTCTGGTTCCTTCCGTGCTGGTCTTTAACGGGGAGTTTGGTGCTCGTCCGAGGTCAGCTGAAAGGCTCATATCCGGATTCGATCTGGCCAACGACGACTGTGACTGATTGAACTTGTCACTTTCGGCCCTGCGTTCCTTCTGTAGCTTTTCCTGCAAGAATGAAGAATGGGCAACCTGTCGAGTAGATTCGATACTCTCCTGCCTGCAGAGAGGAGGCGTCGGACGCGACATGGGTTGAGGCGAACCAGTGCTGCACCGGCTGTGATGGCGATGGATTGGATGGGACTGGGAAAGCTGTGGCGAGAGAGCTATTTGTGACGTCGAGCTGTTTGGACTGACGGGAGTGGTTCGCGAGGTATTTGTGTGGCTTGATGAACGCGACGACGCGCGCGGGTGAGGACGCTGACGAGCTTGAGACTGAAGGCCGTCCATGGTCGATGAAGCTTCGAAACACGCACACACGCACACACGCACACATATGCACCAAAATGAGAAAAAGCTGCGAGATGTTTGATATCTTGCAGCCAATTATGGTTCAGGTGTTGAGTGTTTGACCTCCCAATCCGCCAGGTATCCCAGGAATGGTAGATCACGTCTCAGTCCAACATGTACTTGTTACACGTGTAGCAACGATGCAAAGCGGTTGCAGAGAGGTTCCGCGGAGAGCCTGGGCAAGGCTTGGCCGCAGCGACGGGATGTAGGTTGGGTACAGAATGAGAAGATGGGCAAATGCTCATCAGGACGTCATTCGCGATGGCAATGCCGAATGCTGCTCTGTTCCCGCTTGAGCATCAATAGGGCGCTGAGGCGGTGGCAGCGTGCGACGGCGCCAGTGGGCTCGTTGCATACGCCACCACATAGATTTGATGGCAGCTGAAGGTAGCAGTTGGGATTGGAGTCTGGTGCTGGTGCAACAAAGGCGCGTGTGCAGTCTGCCGCGTGGCCGATGGATGTGTGGATGTGTGCAAGATGTGCGGTTCGCAGTCGTCGACCCCGGGGGGATGAAGACGTCAAGAGTTGGTTGGACACGACCGGATGCCGCGCGAGTCGTGCGAGGCAGAGGCAGCCACAGATGCAGGCAGGACACGGCACCGCGGCAACGGCGAAGGGCAGCGACAGTGACAGTGACAGGTACTCGGTACGGTACGGTACGGTACGGAGTGCCAGAGCGAGATGAGTTGGTCAAGGTCAGATGTTTGTTTGGCCCTCGGTCGGCCGGTCTGTCTCAAACAAATCAATCGAGCGAGGGAGACGTGAAACGAGCACAGGCAGAGGACTCGTCTCCCGTGTCTCGCCAGGCTGGCAATGGCTGCTGAGAGGCGGACGAATGGCCAGGACAGAAACGGCAGGTCATGAGGTGGGTGCTGCAGTCGGTCAAGAAAGAAGAGCCTCGATTGATGTGTTTGCTAGGTTACGGAGTGCAGAGGGAAGAGTCCAACTTGGCACGGAGCATGCCGCGCGGGGAGGGAGGGAGAGAGGAGAGAGGGAGAGGGAGAGGGAGAAGGAGAAGGAGAAGGAGAACAGCGAGGTCGGAGTGATGCTCCTGAGTTGAGTCCGGGGACAAGAGGAACAACAGGACAAGACTCTGCATCTGCAGCCAGCCCGAGCCAACAAGTCGAGCAAGGCAGGCAAGGGAGGGACGAGGAAGCGAGTGGCAACTTGCAAGACGATGAGGACTGTCATGACTGGTGACGCCGACGCCCCCTTGCTGAGAGGTATTTGCGTATGGCAGCCGGGACCGAGCCAGTCATGAAGGATCCATCGTCAGTCAATGGCTTCAATGCTTCGAGGCTTGGGTGCCGTCTGCCGTCTGCTGTCTGCTGTCTGCTGTCTGCTGTCTGCTGTTGATGCCGTTGTCGACTGTCCGGTGCCAACGGTCTTTGCACTCTCGTCATGGCACCGTCGAACGGGCTCCACCGGTTGACATTTTCGCCTGCTCCCTACTCCGTACTCCGTGCTAGTCATGGATTTTTAGCCACCACCGTCTCGTTTGACGGGCCCCAGGGACGGCTCGAGCGCCCTGTCCCACAGCGCTAGGCTGGATGCCTTCTTCTCTTTTTCTTTTTTTTTTGCCCTTCCTTTTTCTGGCTTCCTCGACGATCCATGTCATCACTCCCGACACCCACCACCCCCTTGCTACAACTGAGCAGCAACCCATCACCAACTCCTCCGCAGTACGTACATGAAATGTCAGGTACGGAATAATCCATCCTTGCCTCCCTCTGCCACCGTGGTCCATGGGCTCATCCACCTTGATCCCAGCACGCGACCATGTCGATGCGCACCGACCACGAACAAAGGCAGCACGACCAGTGACCACACCGCACCGTGTGATGGACATTTCCGCCAAGTCAGCCGCCAGGGTCTGTCGTTTCATCACAACTTGTACGGAGTAAGCATCGGTGCTTTGGCGCAGCGGGCCTTTATTCGCCGCTGAGCTAATCATCTCCTGTTCTGGTCCCTGGACCTAAAACCACGTGCCTCCAACACCGCGAAGAGCAAGGGTCCCCAGATACCGGCTTCAGATTTTGCTCTGCCTTTCATATCATGCGCAAGCAAGAACCGACAAGCACTTGCTGCAACTGAAAAGTGATGAACCAAGTAATTCGTCAACTCCCATGCCGAAACCACCACCGCTGCCCATGCAGCATCCTTCTTCCCCGCTAGTTCTGTCGCCTTTGTTTCAATCAAACCAGATGCAGAGGCGCGGTTGGTCTCCTATTATTAATCTTCGCTTTTGCTATTGCCAGTATCAAACCAATGCAGCCTATTGCATTACACAGACTGCCACAAGGTCGGTCCCACCAACGGCCAAAGCCACTCCCGCTGTGGCTCCCCGTCCTTCTTCGTGTTTGCATTGCAGCCCAGGCGGTGGGGGCTTCGCGTCGAACTGAACTCCATTTGCTTCATCTGACTTGGTCGATACTATCAACTAGTAGTACTCCGTACTTGCAGCCAGGGTATACACTTGCTGTGCAATCTTGCCAAGAGAGGCTGCGGTGGGCTGCGAGCTGGCGACCTCTACGTCAGGCGCACATGTCAAAGACAGAGACCCTCTCCCCGTATGTCAAGCATAAACCTTCAACGACAAAGCCCTTTCGGAGGAGCCCGGGTCTGAAAACCCCTAGACCGTCCCGATGACCATGCATCCGGACCGAGTTCACGACATCTGCGGCCAAGTCTCGCGGTTGGACATGACAAAACACCACGACGAGTCACGCCTTGGGACTTGACGTATTGTCCAGCGACCATGCGCTTCATCTACGTACAAACGTGCCCAGTGGAATACTCCAAATAAGCCAGCTTATTCTAATCGCATGTAGCTCGGGAACGACTGCTTGTTCAATCCAGGTTACAATTCATCACGGTTGAAAAACTTTTCCTCACTCCCTTGTCCCTCGTCCTCCTCCTTCTTCTTCTTCGTCTTCTTCTTCTTGTCATTTGCTTTCGTCCTCTGCTGGCCTGGTTTCTTTTGATTCAGCCTGCTGTCCTCTTTGGCGTCCCCATCGCTCTCCGCCTCGCCGTCTCCAGACTCTGCGTTCTTTGCTTCTTCTTCGGCGTCATCCACGTAGCCAAAGAGCTCCTTTTCGTCTTCCTCGTTCATCTGGAACAGTTGCATCTTCCAGCCCTTTTCGCCAGCGAGCTTCTTGAGCTTCTCGCGCATTTCTCGGACGGCCTTGGGGTCGACGTTGAGCTTTTCGAGCTCCTCTTCGGTTAGGCCCTTTACTTTACCGCCATCCTCTTTGCTGGCCGCTTCGGCAATGATCTGCAAGATCTTTGGCTGCGGCGCAAACCAATGACTGAGCGACAGGAGCTTGAGGGGCTTGCTGTCGCCATCGCCGGCCGGGAATGCTCGTTTGCCTCCGACCACAACACCCCCAACCGTGACCTGTGTGGTTTCCTTTTTCTCGTCTGCCTCATCGTTGGTGTCCTCTTGCCTAACGGGCTCCTTGCTGTCATCACCGCCGGGGTGTGCCGCTGTCGGCTGCTGGTCCAAAAGTAATGTGGATGTGTCGCTTTCACTTATCAGCTTGCAGTTTATGGGGTTTGCGGACCTCTCGACGGGCGGCTGGAAGGCGACGTCCTTGCACAGTCGGGGCGTGTTGATCATCATAACGTAGGAGCAAGTGACGACTTCCTTGATCCACCCAATTTTGTCAGACTTGATGCCCGGCACGCACTGGTATTGAACTTCGATTCTGCGGTCCCTACCCGTCAAGTCGCAGACCGTACCGCCTTCCAGCTTCTGCACAAGGTAGCGCTGGTCTCCTTTTATCTGTAGCTCGGCCGGCAGACGGGGCGGATCGTCGAAGTCGCCTTGCTGCCTTCTCTGCTTCCGCTCCCCAGCTGTTGCGGGAAGCGTCGGCACCCGGCCCAAGATGTATTCCTGGCCGTTGGGATCCCGTCGGGGAATCTGGCCGTTGCTCGAAACCGACACGGCGTGATATTGTACAACCTCGCGATTTTTGCAGAAGCTGTAGCTCCACCATCCAGATACGTAGTACAAGCAGGAACCTTGCAGTTTGTTTACAAGCTCCCACCCCTTTACCGCCGCTCGCTGGTGCTCTCGTTCCTCTGCGGCTTTGGCGAGTGCATTCTCCGTTTCGTTTGCTGGCCCGGATGGTTTTACGACTGGTATTGAACACAGATACCGGTACGGCGATAAGTTCAACAGCTCGTAAGAAAAGCTCGCGACTTCGTCTGACTCGCCAGAACTTGGAACAGCCCCGTCAGACGTCGTCGATGTGTACGCTTGGTTGTCTGTCGCTTGGGAAAACTCGGCCGTGTACGTCGGGTGTTGATCGCTACGATCAATGAGTGCCTGTGCATCCTTTTCGGAGATGTGATCGCTGTCGAATACTACTTCGAACTGAGTGAAGGTTAGTCTCTTCGCATTCCTCGGAAGCCATGGTACTATGGTGTCACTCTACCTGGGGATATGCGAGCAAATCATCGTGAATGCTGAAGCTCGGGGATCGTGCATAGCTGAGATGGACGCCGGCCAGGAATAGAAGATTGAGGCGGCGCATTTTGCCGCAGCTCGTCGCTTTCAGCTCACATAGAGAAGGATGCTAGTAATTCTGGAAGAGGACGTGTAAATGGGCTCCTGGCTAAGATGGCAAGGTGTCATTGACAGCTGCCGAGGATCTGCCGGTGCCCACATAAAACACGGCTTAGGGTAAGGCGCATAGGGTTGTTCCAAGCCGTATTTCGTAAGAGTTGGACAGAGAAGTCAGGGTTAGTGCGTAAAGATACCTGGAGATGAAAACCATGGTTCATGGTTTCTACGCAACTAGGTGTGAGCCGGAATTATCTTCTGTTCGAGTGGAGATGTTTTGCTACTCAAATAGCACGACTCCTCGGAACGCTGCGTCACAGCCCAATGGTCCGCGCAGACAATCCCCCGTACAGCAAGACCTGGAGGGTTATCAGAAAAATATTTGTAAAAAATCGAGTTGAATTAGCTTCCATCCTAGACTCGTCCACCAATTTGTCATATATCCGGATTAGTGTGTACTGATGTTTCCTACTTGTTTCAGCGTGCGATAAACAGGAGGGCGGACAATCCTACCCTACACATCACATCAGATCTGGCAGATTGCATGGTTACAAAGGCATCAAGGCTCGCAGGCAATTGGTCGATTTGTTCGGAATGCACGGAACAGACTATCGGTAATAGTTAGGCAACCAAAGCCGGAGCCGTTGCCCCATAGAGCCTGGCTCAAATCTGTATGTACTTGGCAGAGGTCAGGTGGACATGAGTCTTTAATGCAAAGCCTCATAAATCAAGATCGGGGATGGAGTACGGAGTATCAAGTATTCCAATGTATCAGCAGGCCAGAGTGCTGGGAGCCATGCCGGCAGGACGCGGTCTGCGCCCCATCGCTAGTCTCACGGGTTCGAATGCTGCTTTGAGGGAACAGGCAGGGGACAGATCATGGATCATGATCGTTTACCACACAGTCCATGCACAGTCCATGCCTGCCTTTTGTTTTGTCAAGCATCTAGACTTGCCGCATACCCCTCACATCCCGTTCGCCTCACTTTTCGTAGTCGCAGGGGTTGAAACTGGATCCTCACCAATGGCCAGCTTGCCAGAGAACATCTGATAATCCCTTTGTCGAGGACCCCAAATTTGCCATTGTGTAATAACCATTTGTTCTATTTCCCGATTGGGCTCAAACATACGGTTGTTGGCGTCAGCGGCCAGTTACAAGTTGCAATGCTGTTCTGCTGTCCCCATTAGTTGACCGAAACGACTCCTGTGCAAATGCTTTTGGTCCGAAGCTTCACCCGGCGTGTTGTGGCAGTGTCTAGGTTCTCAAGGTGGCCCAAAACCTGTTAGGATGGGGCTGTGCCCCAAGATTGCGGCAGAGCTGAAGCGTTGGAGTAGAGCATAACGGCTTCGGATGGCAGCCCTTGATCACATGCGAATTACGGGAGTATTGAGTTCGATGTCTGAGTCTCATGCGATTCATTGGTGCAGAGAGCCACAGTAAACGGAATCAAGTGGTGGTCGCAGCGGCCTGGTCCTTGATTGGCCGCTATGAAATTGAAAAGTTATCCATCTGGGACGGGACCAGAGAGTCAGTCGACTCTTCAAGCTCCGACGACATGTGTCTTGCCCTTTAAATCAACTGACTATTGACGAGCCGGTGGCAATGCACGGTGCACAAAACAGACGGATGATATCAACGCAACAGTGCCCGTTGCGAGCAATGCATTCCCCGGGGTTCATGAACAGTACCTTGGCTCTCAACAGGTTCATCACACGCGTGGCTGCGTTCTCGCCCTCGTCTCTCAATATTGGTTCTTCTTGCGAACGGGTGCGCCTGCAACCGGATGGTTAAAGAGATCTCAACGGAGGCAAATTGGGGCAGGGATACTGGCCAGTTCGAAGGCACGGCTGCCAACACGCCGAGCGTGCCTCTATCCGGATCGACCCATGGAAGGCATGATTTCGACTCAACCGAGCATTTCGTCATAAGCCTTCAGCCAGGTTGAGGCGGCTATCTGCAACTCGCACAATTGTTGTGTCTTCTCTTGGCTGAGGTTGGACATCTGTCCAGGCAGCCAGATAACCGGGCCCAGCGGCCAGGTTCTCAGGTTGAGGCTTTGCGGCGCCTTGTCGAACAAGGCATCATGGTACGTATTGGACTGCAAAACCGTACGGTGCGAGAACCGCGGCTGGGTTTTGCTCAAGGTAATAGGGATCGATGTGAGGGTGTCAGAAAGAACCGCAAGTGGTGTGGAGGGATGGGACGTGAGGTGGGTGGCACAAGGCACAGCTCTCTCTGCTCCCAAGGAGCATTTGGGAGTGAAGATGAAACGGCCTTCGAGTCTGCCTACAGGCACACTACCACTACGTATATTCGTCGGGCGATGGGCTTGTGGGTCGCGCCTTCCTTTGGCTGCCAACGACGACTGCAGGTCTCAGGAAAGCAGGCACCAGAGGCAGGAAGGACGCCAACATCTGTGGTGATCAATCGAAAAGATTCGGCGGCCTCCGAAATCCTTCAGTCTTCAATCTTCAGATTTTTGTGCAACAGCATTCCAAGTTGGCCAATGATCGAGGCAACTGTCGTTGTCCATCGCTTCGGTGACGCTTCGATTCCGACTGAGCCTGAAGACGACTAAATTCAAGGAAGGAAAGCATTCATCTCAAAATCGGCTGGATAATTCCGATTCCGCATCCTTTCAATCTCGAATAAGGAACAAGAAAAAAGGCTTTGCTACGTAGTAGGTCCATATGCCTCTCAAACAGTGCATCTCATCGATGAGCACAGGGGAGGGCCCATGTCAGTACCGCAACACCGGAGATCGTATTACAAATGGCTCTGGGCCCACGGACTGCAAGATGATTTATAGATTCGTTTACTCGTCATGGCGCCGCAACGCTACGAGCGTGCCGTGGATTGGAATTGCAGAGCCCAAACCAACACCCTTGGTGCTGTACTGAGCACCAAGTCAGATGCGTCGTCACCCCAGTCTTCTGGTGTCAATGTCAGTGTGCTATTACGAATTGTGCTTGGTAGGACTCGTTTACTGCGATTAGTCGATAGTCGACACCGAGCACGAGTTCGTCGACTTTCGAGTACAGACTGCACCAAGGAGCCAGCCACCCTGTCAGTCCCAGTGAGGCCAGTCAGACCTGCAGGATACTGACCAAGTACGATTGTGCAAAAGAAAACCTACTAGCAAACGAGGCCATTTCCCACGGCTACTTTGCGAATTACCATTGGCAAAAACGCCTCAGTGAGGGTGTGGGTACTACAGGGAAGGATTGTGAACTTGTCCACAACTTGCATCTCGTCCTTCATCCTCGTGCGATCAAGGCCGGGTTCTAGGGTCCGGCATCACTGGGCTCAAGAAGTGCTTGTACATACCGAACCCCCTGCGTGGCTCCCACACCTCTAGGCTCTACAAGCCAACACACACACGACTGCCCGCGACCCGGCGACTCGGCGAAGGGACACAGGTGACTGGGGAGAGTGATGAGTTGTCGAGTCTCCTCGGGTCGATTTCTTGCACGTCATATCCCTGGTTTGTGTCCAATGCTGCTTGAGTGAGCGCTCGACGCACGCACACGCTTGTATGTCTGGCACACTCGTGCGCATGCATGGCTCCAAGCCATACTGAGTGAGTACTCCGTACTGCGACTGCGACTGCGACGATGAAAGAGAGCCGCATTCTTCGCGGCCCTTCGCTCCCCTGTTAGTCCGCCGCCGCCTTGTCCGAACCACTTGACGTCTGGTTGCCTTTTTAACCCAGCCATGCCCTCTCCCCCGACCCTTGGTTTCTTCCTTACCCATCTACATCAGACGGTTGCTAGCCCGCTCCGACCGTTGACAGTATTGGCCCTTTGCAAATCAAGAAATCCTCTCCTTCCCTCATTTGTGACTCTGTTGTGAGGCCTTGTTCTGCAAGGTCGTGATAGTACTACCGTTCTCCTGTTGCATCCTGCCTTATACACTGCCTGGCCTTGTATTGAGGCTTTTACTTCAGCCAGGCATAAACAAGGCCGCGATATTACTGCTCGACCACGAGTCCCACCCCCCCCAAGCCATGACCAAGGCCACGTCTACTGCTAGAGAGGAACAACTTCAGCTCGAGGTAGACACATTGAAGGCGCGGGTCGAGCTTTACGAGAACCGTATTGCATCACAGCATCACCATTCCCCGGACCCTGGATTTTCCACAAATCCTCCATGCTGGACTGCTCAATCCTCAAAGGGAAGTCGAGCATCCTTTGATGCCGCCATGGACGTAAGTTACCACATAGTTCACGCAAAGCCCAGCAGTTCTTGAGCAAGCGTTCACTGACATGTCATCTTTAGGGTCGACGCGGTCATGCCTGGCGTACTCAAGCCCGCCAGAAAGATGTCTTGCAGCAGGACCATCCGGATCATCTTATGACTCGCAGCATATCCAACCACTCCGAGCTAGACATGCCATACATGTACGGCGGCGCAGCGGCCTCCTTCGCCAGTGCCCCGGGCTTAGTGAATGGGTCTTCTCGTGCGGCCTCGATCAGTAGCCACTTGGCCAGTGTGCATGGAAATGTCACTCTTCCTGATGTTGGAGTACATCCCGGAAATTATCTTTTGACTCAAGATTGGTACAGTGAGCAGTCGTACTTGGCCTCGAATGAGACTTATTTGTCTCCATACGAAGCTCAGAACAGCACTGTACCTTCAGCTCCTCCGTCTATGGTGTCTGGGTTCTCAGCCCAGGAACCTACCCAACCACTAACAAGACAGAATAGCTCTTTTGGTGGCAGCCTTGATGCCAATATGGTGAGATTTCCGTCGTCTCAATCTCATCGTACAGACGAGCTTTCGCCTCATGACCCTCTGCGGCCCTCCGACGCCGAGAATCATTGTGCCATAAGCACGGTCTCTGAGACCTACTTCCTGGCTATAGGTTCCCGTTTCAGCATGAATGGCCAGGAATATCCTCCAGCTACTGGAAATGCTCCTCTGCTGTTGCCGACATCTGTCTCGCAGTCAATGGAACGCTCCATCTCGAACACCAGTACTTCTAGTGCCAAGTCAGCGGGCTCGAATGCAGAGCGTCGTGCAAGGGAGGCTCTGACGCGTACTCTCCAAAACGGCAAGACGAATGTCATTCGTCCCAAAGCCGATAGCACGCCGACTGCTACGAATCCAACTGCTGCACCTCAAAGAAAAGCCGGCAAGATGGCTCTGCAAAAGACGCCCTATCAGCGACCCAAGGGCCCCAAAGTCTTTTGTCGTTTCTGCAAGGACCATCCCGATGGCTTCCGCGGTGATCACGAACTTCGCCGTCATCTTAACGCCAAACACAAAGGTGTTGTAAAGAAATACGTGTGTCGGGATCCAGCAACTGTTGGACTTACGTCCGGGGTCCAGGCTTTGCAACCACTCTCGGATTGCAAGGCCTGTTCTTCGGGCAAGAAGTACGGGGCGTACTATAATGCTGCGGCCCATCTTCGCCGCACCCATTTCAAACCAAAAGCACCTCGCGGCAAGAATAAGAAGCCTAATGACGAGAAGCGTGGTGGAAAGGGCGGCGGTGACTGGCCTGCCATGTCCGAGTTGAAACTTTGGTTCAAAGAAGTTCTGGTCAGCCGGGATGATGATGATGGTGATGATGATGATGAATGCTCTGTTATCGAAGTCCCCGATGGCGAAGATCTAGCTGTTGACGATGATAGCAACAGTTTTGATTGGATGATTGATCAAACTGTCGACGAAAATGCCTCTGACTGTGATGCTGAGGGCGACTCTTGCATCCCTCCTTGGAGCACCATGACTGCACAATATCAACATGATGGCATGTGTGGTCTGAGAACCACAGCTGTTGAGGATACACAAATGGGTGAACTCTCATCGCTGGACCAAGTACATCCAGTCAGCTACGCGCTTGATGAGTTTTCCTTGGCTGGGAATGACACTGGTCCTTACGACCCGGTTCTCCTGGAGTCTACCTCATCCACTTCTGCCCCCGCCTTTTACATCCACGGTCAATCTTATCAAAGGCCCAACGGCCCCGGCCCGGTGTAAGCGCGGTGATGTGCAGCAGTTGTTGTGCTGAGTCTCCTGGGCCAACACACCGTGTGGTCATCGGCGGGCTTTGACACCACTTGCATCCACAACATCTTGGCCGAGAAAGGTGAGCCTGGACAGTGGCGGATGCACTTGTCTGCAAGGGCTCTTCTTACACGGAAGCAACGGCTGATTCCGAACAAACCTTTCCTAAATTTACTTTCCTTCTTGCAGAATAGAGGCGCGGGCCTTCTCATCTTGTTTCTGGCGAGTTACATATCTGACTCTACATCGGAAGCCAGAGTTGATGGCAGCCTCAGCCGCGGCTCAAAAGGTTAGATCTAGAGTTCCTGACAACTGTCTTTGCTGTTACTCAACCGCTTTCTGTTTATGAATTTCTTATCTTTTCCTTCGTCTTGCTTCGTTTGCTGTCTATTTACGCTGCCGCCATGGTTCATTTTCTCTTCTTCCTTTGGCCTAGCACCTTTGCAAATGATATTGAGTAGTGGGGGATACGTTGAGGGGATTTGCTCGTCCTTCGGCGGACCACCGTCGCTCAAGCCCCTCGGCTTTGTAGCGGCTACACACCACGTTTCCTCCAGCCACATCGATGCATCCTCGTTGTTGGCCTTCTGGGGTACACGGATAGAGAAGAAATTACAATGCGGAACTAACTGTGATCTGAGGATATGTTTACACGGCTGGCTGGGCTATGCTGTTCATAGAGGCGTTTGGGCATGGATATATGATATTCTGGAGAGGGATACCCATTCACGGTCACGGTTTTGTTTTCTGGCTCTTCTTGAATATGGAAGGATTTTGATTTTCGGATTATGTCAACACATATATAGACCTGCTACTCAGTGTCACAGCTGCCATGGGATTGGGTCCGGCGTCTGCACTCTGACACGAATAGAATTAATGTACACTTTCTGATGCCGAGCGACTCCGTCGTCATATCTCTGCCTCTGAGTGATTGTTCTGAAGTTCCAATGTCTCCTAAGCACGTGTGCACGTGTCTGCTAGCCTATCCTGGGCCCTGGCAAAGCCTGGTGTGGCCGGTCAGATTCAGATCCACCAAATCCATCCATGGCGAGCGAATCGACCTAGCATCTTCACTTTTGACAATGTCGCAATCAGAGGCACAGAGTCCAGCCGCACCACCCATTCTTTCATCAAGTCGGATAACCAAAGCACACGAAATTGCCTTGCTCGAGCGCTTCCTTGTTCGAAATGGAACGTTCGGCGCTGCGCTCCTCGTCCTAGCTGGCGCTCTTGCCAACCATGTTCGAAGAATACTTGTGCCTTGGCTGGGACAGTTTATCTGGTGGCATGCTATCGAGAACATGAAGTTTGCGACGTCTTCACCGCACTATTTCCTCGAAGAGTCATTATCCTTCCCCTGGAGCGAAGTTCTACTCTGGGCATGCTGGACATGGATGGGGCATTTCGTCTCTAGGAGCATTCGCGACTGGTACGGCTCCGAAGAGAATCCCTCCTCCCATCGGCGAGGTGCTCCCTTGAAACGGCGTCAGGTCCTTGATGGGAATCGCGAGTTTGCCTCTGGGATACATGCAGGCCTCCAAGTGGTAATAGGTCTGACCCTTATGGAGCGGCATTACACGCAAACATGCTTCTGCGCAGCATTCGTCCTGGCCCTCTCACGGGTTGTTGTGTACGGTGGCGCGGTAGGGAGGGCGTTTTTGTGGGATCGCGTCTCCGAGAGATGGCTACATGCTGCCTTTCAATGCGGCTTGGTCCTCCACTGGGCATATGGCTGCTTGGTGCCTGCGGCTTGGAACGTCGTCAGGGCAGCGGTAGCTGGGAAGCCGACGCCGGCGGTGGTCCACGGGATCGTATGGGGCGTCACGGCGTACTTGGTGCGCTATTCGAACAAGTACTTCCTTTTCTTGGAGTTGAGCGACATGCTGGTTACGCTGGGGTGGATGACGCTGGGGCTTGTTACGGTGATGCTGTTGAAGATGGACATGATGACGGGATGGACACTCGCAAAGGAAGGGCAGATGCGAATTCAATCGAGGGGAGCTGGGGCTGGGGCTGGGGCATGTTCGAAACCCGGTGCGGCTGGTTCTCCAACCGACGGTCAAGGACGCCGATTCCCAGGAGTCGTCGGGTTTGTCGACGTCCCGGCGGACAAACCGTGAAGAGTTGTCGTCAATTCATACGTATCAGACGCCACTGGGTATTGTCGCCCAACCGGCGCTTCGCTCGACCCTCGCAACACGCAGCTGTGTAAATGCAGAGCATGTCAAGACCAACTCCTCCCAAAAGAGAAGAGACTACAACCTTTTCACCTTTTCAGTCCACTCCTTGGCCCCCTTTACACCCTCGTGTCCCCTCCTGAACAGACTCCTCTCCCACTCCTCCAGGCCCCTCAGGAAGTCCTCCCCTTGGCCGCCCACGCCGTCGTCTGCCTTCCTCGCGTGCAGTCCCACGTCGTTGGCCCTCACGACAAACGTCCGCCTCAGCACGGCCCCCAGCTCCCGCTCGTCGAACAGGTCCAACATCCTGACGCCGATTCCGTAAAAATGCGGGCTCTGGTCGCGAAGCGGCACGGCCCGCGGGTCGGCCTTCAATGCGTTGATGACCTGGTCGGATAGGCAGGGCGGCAGGTTCAGCGTCACAGGGGCCTTTGAGTCTTCGCCGGCGGAGGCGAGCGCGAGCATTTCCGCGAGCCAGAGGGGCAGGGCGAGCGGCGTGCCGGGTTTGAGGCCCGACGAGTTGTCGAGGTGGCCTAGGTAGGGGACATCGAGCTCGAACTGGCAAGGGACCTTCTGTGGAGGCGTTAGCTGGACGTGTTGGGCGTTGATGAATCGTCGTCGAGGATCGCGGGGTACCTCTGCGTCTGTGAGGATAGCATCCACGTCGTAGTACGGCATTTCGAATGGCTATGCGGCATTGCAGGCGGAACAGTCGTGGGTTTCAACCAGTGCACATTGTCCCAGTCATGGGAAGCTGATGCGCCGCGACTTGGGACTTGGCGGTGCCAAACCTCCAGATTGTCCACACGGAGCATATGTGAACGAGTTTCGGACTTGGCTCCCGGTTGAGCGTGATCACGTGATGAAATTCACGTGACAAGAGTTCCAGCCTGGCGGACTGATGTAGTTATCATGTCGCAGTCTCTCTTTCTCAGCCTTGCACAAAAAGACCGAGGTTTATTTGCTGGGTTAGAAACGGACGGTGTGCCTTTTGGTAGTTTTGTAGCAGTTGCATCGGACTGCTGGCGAATTGAGCCATCTTAACATCTTCTCAAAGTGGACAGGACTGCGAAAAACGAGCTGACAATCTGAGATAGCGCGACCAGAGCCAACTCAATTACTGCGTGAGCGACTAGAGAGACGGCGAGAAAAAAAAAGCACAGTTACTTCTTGTAACTTACTTCTCAGTCTTGTTCTGAAGCCCCAGCAACCGAATAACTTGGAACCCGCCTGCTCAAGTAAACAACAGGTCGTTCGGACAAGCTCTCTCCAATCCGGCCAAGCCACTCCCGCAACGGGCCAACCCAGCTGCTGTCAATTGCTCGGGGCGCTCACTTTTTTTCCCTCAGGGCGCTCAATACCCCACCACGCCCTGTTTTTAGTCTAGCGGCCCTGCTGCCATGCGCCACAGTACATTCTTAGTATAAAGGTATGGCAGCTTTACTCAACTCCAAAAATCGTTATTAAATAATGCTGCAGCCCTATGAATTTTTCAACAGGCAGCAGCTTTTTCCTTTAACAATATTATAATGCCTAATAAAGGCCCTTACAACCCCTTAAATCCGCCCTTAAATTTGCCGCCCTTGCCGGGCTATAGCAGCTTCAATGACCTCTATAATGCTGTACAAGAATTTAGCCAGCAAAATGAGGGCATTTTGCTGCCATACCTTTGTACTAAGAATGTACCGTGGCGCATGGCAGCAGGGCCGCTAGACCAAAAACAGGGCGTGGTGGGGTATTGAGCGCCCCGATGAGCGCCCCGAGCAATTGACCAGCTGCTGCACTTGAATCAGACGCTAGTACCAATAAGATTCACGGTGACAGCTTCCACTCCAGCCAGCTCCCCCAACTTTTTGACATCATCCACCATCCACCTCTTATTACAGCATCCGTCCCGACCGCTTCGTTCAATCACCCTCGTCCTGTCGCCCCGGTCACATCTTCGCCATAGCCGCCTCTCCTCTCTCGCCGCAAGCAAACAAACCCATCATCGCCGATTATAGAGCCCACCATGTCATCGGCGCTTCTCCGCACCACGCCCATCGTGAGGACCGGCCTTCGCGCCGCGAGGCCCATGGCCATGGCGAGCACCAGCTTCGTTCGTGGCAAGGCCACTCTGCCCGATCTTCCCTGTAAGTCAATTCCCTCGCTCCGCCGCATCCGCGCGCCCTTCTCGCACCGACTTCTACGGCTGCAGGGACAGATTGGCTGATTCCTTACGCGATGCATCAACCCCCTCGGAATAGACGATTATGCCGCTCTCGAGCCCTACATCTCCGGCCAAATCATGGAGCTCCATCATTCCAAGCACCACCAGACCTATGTGAACGGCTTTAATGCCGCGAGCGAAGCGCTAGCCGAGGCCACAGCCAAGAACGACACCAAGGCGGCCGCTGCTCAAGCGCCCCTCCTGAACTTCCACGGTGGTGGCCACGTCAACCACAGCCTTTTCTGGGAGAACCTGGCCCCCAACGGCAAGGGCGGCGGTGGCGAGCCCCAAGGCAAGCTTTTGGTATGTCGCCCCAGGCCCAGTAGCCTCCCCGAATACACACGCCTGAATGTTGACCATTGGATCCGTCCACTTAGACCGCCATCAATGAGGATTTCGGCTCCTTCGAAAACTTGAAGAAGCAGACCAATGCTGCTCTTGCTGGCATCCAAGGCTCGGGCTGGGCTTGGCTCGTCAAGGACAAGACCTCTGGCACCCTGGGTCTAGTCACTCGTGCCAACCAGGATCCTGTCACTGGCAACTGGCAGCCTCTCCTGGGTATTGACGCCTGGGAACATGCGTACTACCTGCAGTACCAGAACCGCAAGGCCGAATACTTCAGCGCTATTTGGGACGTCATAAACTGGGCCACTGTGTCTAAGCGTTTCGAGAAATGAAAAAGGAGCCGCTGACTCGTGTCGAATTTAGGAAGAAATGTAATATGTACACTTTTGATACAATACTCAATGCGGAGCACGCCTCGACACGTGAGGATCTGCATTGGTTCATAAACGCAAACGTGACACGTAGCTGCAGACAAGTCACATCCCAAGGCTTAATTATGGCTCGCAAGTTTTGAAAATACCCATGTTTCGTTTTTTGTCATCAATCGAGGGTGATACAAGGCCACCGTCTCTGAACTTGCAGCGTCATCCGACAGAGTGTCGAATGGACCCTCTTGAAACACTTGTGCTAGGGGGTCTGGCATCGAACGACCCCTTGGTATATTGCCAACTCGGTGGGAAATTCCTGCGAGAATATCTCGCCCGCGTACTCGTACCAGTCAGAGTTCTTGTCACTGGTGCGGGCTTCGAAAAACTTGACATACTCCCACCAGTCTGGATACCAGCCTGCGCAGTCCCAGCCTGTAATGGCAACGATTTGAAACTTGTCAACGATGATGTTCTGGGGACAAATGTGGCCGTGCGACATGGCGAGAGGCGCCTCGCGCTTAAGTTGATCAGCCAACGTGGCACCTACAGGACCGGGGACTGAGTCCCAAAAGGACGACATAAGAAATGATATAAACATGCTGTGCGAAGGCTCTGGACGCACAGCCCAGTGTGTGTTGTTTTGATGCTTGTCTAACATGAGGGAAAACTCTCCGGAGATGCTGGACCCCAGGCGCGCATTTTTCTGTGGGATTTTCCGCAATTGCGAGACAAGCTTTCGAATCCGACGAGCCATGTCATATTTCTGCGAAGCCGAAAGACGGTTCTAAACGTCTTCCAGCAGTAAGCCATGTGACACGCAGTATAATGGGTATTCGCTCGTGGAGGCAAGCTTGCGGACTTGGTCCAACGTCGGGAGGCGCAACACTGGAAGTCCCATTCGCTCCATCTGTTCGTTTACAAGCAGTCCAACGCTGGTAATCTGCTCCATGTGCGTCGAGGATGTAGGAACCGACTTTTTGGTCGGCTTTGGCTCCAACTTCAGGCGCAACGTCCAACTTTGAAGCAGGCTGGCAAGGTATGTCGTGTCATGACTAGGAGGAGGCGCTGCGTGACGGGGTCAGATGAGCCTGCAAGCTGAGGAACAGTGCCGAGACGACATACGTAGGGGGAAAAAAGGCGGTCGTTGTCGGTGTAGCCGGTTGTCAAACGGCACGTCCCCCAAGTCTTCTTGCACAAACGAGTCGTAGGATCGTTTCTGTGACGCAACACTGGGCCAAGTAGCTGCGCCGGGACGGTCCGAGCTGGGTTCGGCAGCATCTGCATCTTCGAGTGCTAGAACGTTTGAACCGGTGATGCGAATGCACCTGACTCGTAGTGGCTTTGGAGGCTCGTGTTCTTGTTCTTGATTGGAAGCCTCTCTGAGCATTTTCTCCCGTTCGGGGTTCATCGCCATGGCAAGGAGATGTGCGACGGGCCGCTCCCAGGACAAGATCTCTGCAAGCTCGGGTTGGCCACAAAGTTGATGACGATACTAACGGGACAGGGTCGAGTTGCATGTGCCCATACTAGTTCTTAGTTGGTGTTTATTTATTCATTCATCCTTTTTTTTTAAAAAAAAAAAAACAACCGTTTGAGTTGCCTCTGTCCGAGTCAACAACTGTAGCCAGAGGCAGGTGCGAGCCTAGGCACCCCACCTACCAATTGACACCTGGCCGACATCTGTCTGGCACGCGCAACAACCGTCATCAGCATATATAGACCAAACAATCTGTATTTTCATCAGAATATTGGCGCGCTTCTCAAACGGCTCTGCCATGTCTCCTCTTTCTTTTGGCCGACCAAGCGCTGGTTGCAAAGGTCTCTATCAAATATCGGCAAAATTTTGGTCAGACAGGACCTCACTCCGGGATCGAAATCACTGGTTGAGTACTGGCATCGAGGCATGTCGAAATCTCCTGCCATTACTTGTTCGATGATGCTTCCAGCTCCTGCGACTTTTTCACAAGTCACTTGACTCAGTTCCATTGGCGATGGGCAGCCTGCCTCGCCAATTACCTTGGAAAGTGGCCGCGGTCGATAAGACCACGGCACCAAAGGCGACGACATAGGAGGGCAATCGTGAGGCCCTATATGGCTTCGTAGACGGCATCATCTACTGGCGATCAGTCTTGCGGCAAGATTTTCGACACTAAAGAGTTGGCGGAGTAGCGCATCCGTACAGCTTGCCAGGTTACCATCTGCCGGACGACTCTTTCGACCATAACAGACATGCAAGACGCTGAGGATGATAGAAACCACATCGTCAGACACGTCAGAGGTGAATGTACCGAGACCGATACGTATCCGCGTGTAATGAGAAAATTATTATCGTGCCTTCTCGAGGAATTCGGACGAAGCTCAGGTCTGTGAAGCTGATTGAACCTGGGCTGACAGCTATGTGACCCATAGCAAATAGGGGAGACTACTAGAATAATGCGTCTTTGAGCTTTGAGTAAGTCAAGCTCGATGCAAGGGAAGGCGGAGGCGGGATATTGCAGTTGATCGAAGACACGATTTTGGCGAGACTCGCATAGGCTATCCATCGAATTCTCGGCATGTTAAAACCTGCTGTCAGGACTCGTCCAGAACATCCGAACGCCGAAGCTTCGGATAGAGGTCGATTCCAAGCCGTCCGCAGCCCTGGTCTAGACTCCAGACCAGATGTAAATGGTCAGACGGACATTGCATCAATGGGGCTCCATGTTGAATGAGACTCAACGGGCACAAACCGAATTTAAAATACATCACACGAATGCCGAATTTAGGTTCGGATGTCGACTGCATGTGTTGCCGTGCTGCCGTTGTTACACTTGAAGGCGGTTACTGGCATCCTCACCGCCCTCTCCGCCTCGAACTTCTGGACGTCAGTCTGCGAGGCGTTATCTTGGGTCTATCCTCCAACGCCGCTCGCTTCTTGGTCCCATGAGATTCTAATATGACATCCACAAGGTTCGCCTTACCGAGACCGCAAATCTCGGCTGCTTTTCGAGGCTGCCATGTATTCGGCAATCGGGAGTGAGAAAGTAATCCACTTGAACCCTGGATGCTGGCAGCGCAAATGCCATTTGACAGTTTTCGAAAAGGGTGAAAATCAGCGTTCTATCTCGAGAATCTTTCGGTTCTGCGCTCCTGAGGAAGGTGATTTTGTGGCGCTTGAGAGTTCGCATTTTGAATTATGCTTGGCGCTTCAAACGCCCCGTACATCCCGTATGCTGCGACAGACTTTCTGTCTAGTAAGGGGTCAAAGGTGCTTGACCAAGTCAAATTACCCGGATATCACTCCTGCAAAACAAAAGGAGTATTGCGACATCCCAGTGCCCGGTCAGCCATAACACTGCATATTTTGCCTAGGATTGCGCGGCTGCCCTTCTTCGTATATCCCAAGGCGTGGCGTCCCGTTTTCAGGTACTTCAATTTCCCCAACAAATCATGGGCATAGGGCAGGCAAATTGACGAGCTCCTTCAACCCGGCAACCTTGGCGTCACAAAAATAGAAACGGCCCATTGCCGAAATCTGCCTCCCGTGGGCAATGACGGCATCAATGTTCTCTAAATGTCATACAAAAGCAATTCGGCGATGGCAGTAGTCTACTTCCCGCATCTGAATCCCAAGAAGAGTCTTTATGCAGTACATTGTCCAACTTTCATGGTGGCTCTTCGTCAATGCTGGATGAACACACAACAAGACATAACGTCATTGGCATGCCATGTAAACTCTGAGTCACGGTACGCAAGCTCATGCAAATCTGCGCAGACTGCTGGGGAAAAAGACTAGGCTCGCAAGAGGGCTCACCCGAGATTCATCTTAGGTTTTCTGCAGATGCGCTGTTCGGATACCCTGAAACACCGACCCATTGGATCGGTACGCTAATGAAGATATCTGGGCTGGTGTCGTGTCTTGTGTCACCGGTATCCGAAAGAACGGGAAGGCTAGCTCGCGTTCATTTGCCTGAGCCGACAGCTTGGATATCGAACCGGGCAACGGCACTTTCAACCCCAACATTTCAGCCCCAATTGGATCAACAACAAAGCTGGTTACTCCTATCCAGAGCTTCGGATCTGATATGTTCCACAGAACCAGGAGATTTGATGAGCGCGCGCGAAGTTTGGAATCCGTCAACACAGCGTCAACATCGCCGGGAAGCCAGGCCCAGGGCCACGGAGGTCTGCATCTCTCAAAACGCATTCTCGGTAACCAATGATTTCGCCGACGCCTGTCTCACGAGAGGAGACAGGGAAAGAAAATTATTGGAGTGGTGCAAGGGCAAGACGGTTCTCACATTTCGGCAATGTCTTCTTAAACTTCCACATGTCTCTCACCAGCCCCTTCTGGTTTCCGAAAATATGGCTATGACCATGGCCGATAGCATTATTAGGAAAGCTTGCGACCGCTGTCACTCCCAGAAGCTGAGCTGTAAACGTGTCGGCGACGAGGCCTGTGAGCGTTGTGTCAGACTTCAAACAGAGTGCAAATCTAGTCCCTCTCTTCGCTATAAGAAGCAGCACCAGCAGCACGGCCAGCAATACCAACGACAACAGCAAAGGGCCTCCCCATATCAGAACCCACAACAACCTCAGACACAACCGTCACCATATCCCACGCCAGGATCAAAACCCCCCATCGGCAGGCGTTCGCCCAAGCGTCGAAGAACAGCTTGTGAGTTGGGTTTGCTTTCAGCAGAACAAGGTATGCCATTTCACCATTTCACCGCCATCGTATCATGTCTTGTTGCGCATTTATCCTAATGACACTCTCTGGTCTTTAGGGATAGCAATCAATCAGCAGGCCGAGGACACATTGCCTGAGAAGCAAAGTGTCGTCGCTACTGAAGCAGCGCTGGAACCTGCAGACTTCGACTTCAGTCAGATTGAGAACCTTAACTTCTTTTCGCCACCTCCTGCGGCTCCCCTATCACACAACCCTGTTCCAGGAGCTCTTGAAGCCTTTCAACCTGTTCCCACGTTCCCAGATCCTTGGGATCAGCAGTTGAGTCAAGCCACAGAGACATTTCACGCCACGTCAACATCCTTCCAACCCGGAGACAACAGCGGGTTTCCATCAGCAGTCCCTACCTTGAGCCTGATAGGAAGTCCTCACAGTCAGACCATTGCAGAGAAACGCAGAAGGCCCCGTCTTAGAAACCGGCCGAGGCAAATTGCGTTACGCCAGATCGCCAACGCACCAGCAATCCACATAGAACCCCCAGGTATTCACTGGATGGCGCAATTATCGGAAATCAACTCTCGTCTATTGGACCTTGCGTCAGTGTTGCCCCAGCAAACGGGAGCATGCAACTTTGAAGCCCTTGGCAGATCAAGTGAGGACGCATTCTCCAACCAGGGCTTTCCGATTGACGAGATGTTCAAGCTTACTCGACGAGTGGCTGATGTGCTGGACCGTCTGTCGGCAGGAGGCAACGCTTCCGCAGGTAGGATGGACAGCTCTGACCCAGGAAACTCCATGTTTGTTCTTTCAATATATGTTCGTTTGCTTGACATGTACCAAAAGGTCTTCAGCCTGGTTCGCATGGAACTGTCTCAAGCTGACGCGGAAGCGGCCTTCCGATTCTGGAGACTCCCCGACGTCCAAGTCGGATCATTTGCCGTGGACCCTTCGCCATCGTTGCAAATGTCTCTTACAGTCCAATTGGCCGAAGAGTTCCTCGCTCGTCTCCGAGTCGCGACCGCAGCCCTGGATCCCGCTCTGAGCAACGGCGGTGGAAGCAAAGGAGTAGCTGACGATGGTGGCAGTGGCAAGTCGATGTTTTCAGATGTGGTGGATATTTCTTTCCGGGCTGTCAAGACAAAGGAGGAGAGCCTTGGGAAGCATCTCGCCGAGTTGCGGGATGAGATTGAAGCCTTCCTGAACCCTTAGACAGAGTCTTGGATGATGGAGATGGAATTGGTGTGGCGTGAAGAGTATGGTCGCGGCATGTGTATATTGCATGCTGGGAATAAATCTCAATTCAACGAGACGCTGGAGAAAATTTACAACGGGCTTGTACGTGAATGATTCGGAGACTGGCACAGGTAGAATCACCGCCACCGTTTACGCGACATGCTCGCCCACCACGACTCCCAGCCGACGCGGTTCAAGGTAGCCGCAGACGGCCCCGAATTCGTGATAAGCATCTGCTCGGCTTTGTCCACGCTGGTTTCCAATATCCCTGACATATCACAATTGGCCAACCACGGCGGGTGGGGAGTGCCTGACCGTGGGCCAAGCATGTTGTTGATATTGCGGAGGATCTTGGAAGCATATATTACCGGCGACGGGCAACCTTGTAGGCCGGCCTCGCATCGATCTGGACCGTGATAGAATTGCTCCACGGGTATGGATTACGGATTGCGCCAACGTACTCTGACAGATGGAGCCAGTCTGGTCGGCGGTATCGGGCCTTGTAGCCGCAGCCGTAGCCGTAGCCGTCGTAAGTAGTAGACGGAAATTGCCAATGCCAAGGGACTGGGAGAGAAAGAGAGAACAGGATTTGTTGATACTGAAGACGGAACGACGACTGACGCACTGGCGCAGCGCCTGATAAATGCCTAGTCCGGTTGGAAGGTGTCAACGGCTGGCGTTTTGGCCCACTTGCCACTCGGCGCGACGGGATGGAAGCACTAAAAGGCGTGTGGGCCCCGCCCGCCCGCCGATGCGTCGAGAGCAGTGGAGCCGTCACCATCGTGGGGTGGGGTGGGATTGGCCGCTCTGGGGCTGGTGGGTTGGCTTGGTCCCAAAGGCGAAAGGCGTGGGTTTATCCAACTGCCGGCAGGAGAGAGAATCCGGTGGCAACGGAGTAGTCTCCCAGTTAGTTGGTTGGTAATTGGTAGTTGGGTTCTGGTTATTCGTCATTGTGGGTTGCCGTGGACCATTTGGCGCTTTTTTCATCATGTGTTTTGTATTTCGGACTGCTCGCACGTCCGAGGCGCTGCAGCTAAGCTCTGCTTCTCCGGAAGAGAGAGGGCAAAATAGAATATAGGTCCAGATACCACCCTCCCCAGGGCCTGGCTGCGGGCTGCGAGGGTATTCTTCTCCGGCTGGGCGCTCTTCCCGTTTCTGGGAAGTATATGACTTGGGGCCTTTTCCCATTGGTTTGCGACGTCGTGTCCGAGCCGTGCGCGTGCCATCCTTTGTGTCGGTTTACTCCGTGCCTGACCAGGAGTGCACGGCCCGGGGGGATCATCCGGTCACCGTCACCGACCCTTGATGTTACTGGTCAGTACTGAAATCGGTGACGACAGGAACAACAGGCAGGTGAAGGCCCAGGAAGGGGCGGGGGACACAACACTCGCAGCGGCGCCGATATTCCCTGCCATCGTTTCGTTTTCGTTTCCCAGCTTCATCAGCACTTCAACTGCTGCTCGTTTGTCGGCCCGGGTACCAGGTCTGGCGCGTTGTTGCCAGTTGGCTGTCGTCAAGTGAAGGTGAGACTCGGAGTCGTCAAACGCTGAGCCGGTTTCCGCCGCCACGAACAGCACGGCCAGATCAAGGCACATCTCCCGGCATGGCGTCTCATGCATCGACGCCAACGACGCCGGACACGCGGGCCAATCCCGACGAGACGATTGACGTTGAGCGAGACGGCGGCACACACGACGGCGAACCCAGACCTCGTCACGTCATGGAAGCCGAGAAGCTGCCCTCACGGTCGGCTGAAACATCATCCGCACCCGCAACTTCAACTCCAACTTCGACTCAAAGCCCAACCCCAACGACGGCGGCAAATCAACCACACGCGGAACCAGAAGCCCAGCGCACCAATGTCGAGACATTCCTCATCGTCCTGGCCCTGTGCCTGGCCCTCTTCCTCGCCGCTCTCGACATGACCATCATCACCACCGCCATCCCCACCATAGCAGGCACCTTCGACTCCAGCCTGGGATACGTCTGGATCGGATCCGCCTACCTGCTCGGCAACGCCGCCTTTGTGCCGACATGGGGCAAGATCTCCGACATCTTCGGCCGCAAGCCCGTCCTGATCAGTGCCGTCGTCATCTTCTGGATCGGCTCGCTCCTGTGCGCCGTGAGCAACAGCATGGGCATGCTGATTGCCGCGCGAGCGGTCCAGGGCGTGGGCGGCGGAGGCACCGTTGTGCTTCCCAACATTTGCATCTCGGACCTCTTCTCCATGCGCAAGCGCGGCATGTACTTTGGCATCCTCGGCGGTGTATGGGCCATTGCCTCGGCCGTCGGCCCCGTCCTCGGAGGCGTCTTCACCAGCGCGGTTTCCTGGAGGTGGTGCTTCTACATCAACCTGCCCCTGTCCGGCGTCGGCATCCTCATCCTCATCTTTGTGCTGAAGCTGCACAACCCGAGGACGCCCATGAGGCAGGGGCTGCTGGCCATCGACTGGGCCGGAAGCCTGCTCGTCATCGGCGGCACCCTCATGTTCCTCTTTGGACTGCAGTTTGGCGGCATCCAGCAGCCCTGGAACTCGCCCACCGTCATCTGTCTGATTGTCTTTGGCGTCGTCGTCGTCGGCCTCTTCGTCTGCTACGAATCCATGGTCGCCAAGTATCCCATCATTCCCACCTCGCTGTTCCGCCACCAGACCAGCATCGCCGCCTTCTCGCTCGCCTTTTTGCACGCCTTCACCTTCATGAGCGGGAGTTACTGGCTGCCGCTGTACTTCCAGGCCGTCTCGGGAGCCACCTCTCTGCTCTCGGGCGTCTTTCTCCTGCCCTTTGTCCTCTCGCTCTCCATCACTTCCGCCAGCGTGGGCATTATCATCAAGCGTACGGGCAACTACAAGATTCCCATCGTCTCCGGTCTCGCCGTCATGACGCTCGGCTTCGGCCTCCTCATCGGCCTTGGCGACGACCAAAACTGGGCCAAAATCATCGTCTTCCAAATCATTGCCGGCATCGGCGTCGGCCCCAACTTCCAGTCCCCCCTTATCGCTCTGCAGACCAATGTTGAGCCGCGCGACATTGGCTCAGCAACCGCCAGTTTTGGCTTCCTTCGCCAGCTGGGCACCTCCATCTCCGTCGTCGCCGGCGGCGTCATCTTCAACAACCAGATGCAAGCTCAGTCTGCCAAGCTGCAGCGCGAGCTTGGGCCGCAGCTGGCTAGCATGTTCAGCGGTACTCGCGCCGCTGCCAGCGTGCGCATTGTCAGCACCTTGCAGGGCCACGATGCCGCAGTTGTGAAGAATGCCTACTGGAATTCGTTGCAAACCATGTACATTCTGTTTACTTGCACTGCGTTTCTGGGCTTTTTGACAAGTTTTGCCGTTAAGCAGAAGAGGCTGAGCAAGGACCATACTGAGCACAAGACTGGTCTGCAGTCATTGAAGCAGAGGAATGAGGATCATGCTGCTAGTCTCTCGGGCAAAGAAGCCTCTTGAGAGGGAAGCGACGAGGAGGGAGGGAAGCATTTGGAGCGTTTCATTCTGGAAATGCGTCATTTTCTGTCATGGGCGGCGTCAGGAACTGCGTTGGGTGTGTCAGCACCCACTCGAGGTATATGAATAGATATTTCCACCGGATACGCAAGTAAATTAGATGACGTACTTTGTGCCGAGTAGCGCTTGTGTGTCTTGTTGGTTTAAAAGTCCCGAGTGCAAGAAGTTTGCGAAAGCTCGACGCGCGTCCGGAAGTAGCCCCCCGTGGCGCAGGAGTCTGGATGCTGCACAGGAAATGTTGCATACCTGATGCGACGAACTTCAGTCACTCGTATAACATGAACGCTGTACTGCTCGTCAGCATGTCTTTGTAAGACAACCCGCCCGGCCGGTTGTGTCGGCGATGCATTGTTGCCAAAGCGCCTGGCGCACTAGACGAGCTAAACGAGAGTGAGGCGAGCTAGACGAGCCAAGCGACTCGCCCCGGTTGTGGTTGTCGGGGCAACGGCCGATGTTGATGCAGAGCTCCCTGCTTAGCGCGGAGCTGCACGTATTTACTTCTGGACTCTTTGGGGGAACGTCAGCATGGGCAGCGCTCCCCTCCCGCGAAAGGACTCCATTGCACACCGAGATTTCGCCGTCTTTGGCTTGTGGACAAACTCTGCCTCCAGTCGGTTATGCTTCAAAGCTGTCGCCTCATTTCACACCATATACGTGTCTTTGTTCTCTTCGCACCCGCCACACGTCCTCCGATCGTCTCCGCAAAAGTCGCGTCGTGTACGCGGGCATCGCAGCCAAGCTGGCTTCCCGACGCACCACGCGCTCCGACCGGGAGCTAAGCCGGTCAACAATGAGCTCGAGCATTCGCACCGCGACTGGAAGAGGGAGTGGTTTTCCAAGACAGCCCGCCGGGAGGTCATCGACGTTGAGGCAACCGTCATGCTTGGGCACGGCGAGAGGTATCCCCGACCGCGCGGGCGCAGTGTCCCCAGCCGACTCTGTCTCGACCGCCGCGACAGGCGTGAAGCGCAAGGAGCGTGACTTTGATTCTGACGCTGGCGGCAGTAGCAGCGGCGGCGGCGGCGGCGGCGGCGGCGGCGAAGAGACAAATATCAACGTAGTTGTGAGGTGCCGAGGACGGAGCGAGCGCGAAGTCAAAGAGAACAGTGCCGTGGTCGTGCAGGCGGACGGCATCAAAGGAAACGCCGTCGGGCTGCTGCTGGGCCCGAATTCTCTCAGCAACAAGTCGTACGCCTTCGACCGCGTTTATTCCGCCGCGGCGGATCAGGTCCTGGTGTTCGACGACACGGTCAAGCCAATATTGGACGAGGTATGTGGGCTGAAATTCTGCGCGCGAATCCTGGTGCATCGCTCCGCCTGCTGACCGGGCTTCCAGATGCTCGCCGGATACAACTGCACAATCTTTGCGTACGGGCAGACGGGCACGGGGAAGACGTACACCATGTCGGGGGACATGACCGAGACGCTGGGCATACTCTCCGACCAGGCGGGCATCATCCCCCGCGTGCTGCACCAGCTGTTCAGCAAGCTGGAGATTGACGACCGAGAGCACTGCGTGAAATGTTCCTTCATCGAGCTCTACAACGAGGAACTCCGCGATCTTCTGTCCGTCGAGGAAAGCGCCAAGCTGAAAATCTACGACGACGCGTCGAGAAAAGGACACGCGGCCACGGTCGTCCAAGGCATGGAGGAGAAGCACATCAGAAACGCGTCCGAAGGCATCAAGGTGCTTCAGGATGGCAGCTTGAAACGACAGGTGGCCGCTACCAAGTGCAACGATCTCAGCTCCCGGAGCCACACGGTCTTCACGATCACCGCCTACGTGAAGAAGACGAACAACCAGGGGACAGATGACCTGGTCAGCGCAGGGAAGCTCAACCTGGTGGATTTGGCTGGGAGCGAAAACATCCAGCGGTCCGGGGCGGAGAACAAGCGAGCCGCCGAGGCCGGCCTCATCAACAAGTCGCTGCTCACTCTTGGCCGTGTCATCAACGCGCTGGTGGACCGGGGCTCTCACATTCCCTACAGAGAGTCCAAGCTGACGCGGCTGCTGCAAGACTCGCTCGGCGGGCGGACCAAGACTTGCATCATAGCCACGATTTCTCCAGCCAAGGCGAATCTCGAGGAGACGATTTCCACTCTCGACTACGCGTTCCGCGCCAAGAACATCAAGAACAAGCCCCAGGTGAACCCGATGCTCAACAAGAAGATGCTCTTGAACGAGTTTGCCAACGAAATCGAGAAGCTCAAGAGTGAGCTCATCTCGACGAGACAGCGCAACGGGGTGTACTTATCCAACGACGCGTACGAAGATTTGACTGCCCAAAATGAGTCTCGACGTATCGTGCTGGAGGAGCAGAGTGCAAAGATCGAGACCTTGGAGACCAACCTGAGGAACAAGGTGCAAGAGCTGTTTTCCATAGCCACCTCCCTTATGGGACTGAGAAAGGATCACGACGGAGTCAAAGCCCAGCTCGAAAACACAAGGGGGGTGCTTGACCAGACGGAAATAGTGCTGTCCGCGACGCGCAGGACACTTGCAGAGGAAACGCAGCTGAGGAGGGCACACGAGAAGACGGAGGAGAAGCTTACGGAAATCGGAGGACAGCTCATCAGCAAGCTTCACAGGACGGTGAGTGACGTCTCGGGTCTCAGGGCAAAGAACAAACGAAAGTCGGACTTGCAGTCGATCAATCGAGCAGCCTGGAGCACGTCACAGGCGCAAGTCGCGGATGTCACGTCCATGGTTGCGCGGCGAGTCCTCGAGTTTCAAGAGGAACAGCGAGAGCACATCTCCAGCGTGTCACGACGAATGACGGTATTCGTGGACGAGGAGCTGCAGAAGCTTTCGTCCACGCAGGCACTGCTGGACGAGCATCTCAACACGTTCACCGATGCGAAGAGGCTGCTGCTGGAGAGGAAGCAGAGGTCAAGGGACGACATGGACCGAGTTTTGGACGAGATCAAACAGGTTCGAGACGCAGTCAAGGAGAAGGTCGGGGAGAGGCTGCAGGTCATGTCCCAAGCTGCGGAGAAACTGTCGGGCGATGTTTTGCAAGAGATGGCAAACTTTCACACCCAAGTAAGCTGCCGGCTCCAAGGGCTCGTGCCGGCGTCCACTGTACTGACTCGCACTTGTAGCTCCACGACTCTTACAGCTCTCTCGGAAGAGACTTCAAGTCCATCTTTGAAGATCTCGTCAAACACATCACGGCACAACGCAGCGAGGCTGACGGCCTACGACGACAGCTGCAAAGTGCGATGAACACCATTGCCCTGCAGAACGCCAGCCTGTCCACGCGAGTTCAGGAAGCGCTGGAGGAGGAACGACGACAGACGGCCGAGGACGGGCAGAGACTGATGACGCAGATCACCAGCTTGATCCACGCGCAAGCCGACACGCAGGAGGCCCGCCTCGCGGACAGGGCGACTCTCATCCAGAGGGGCGTCGCCGACTCCAATGCCGCCATGGAGGCCGCCATGTCGCAGTACGCGCAGGGAATGGAGAGCTGGGACGGCAAGGAAAACGACCTGATGGAGGAGGTCAAGAAGTCTCGCGAGCACTTGAAGACGAGGCTGAAGGACGACTGGACCGTGGCGAGCGACCAGAGCACGTGCATCCAGAACGCGACCAAGACGATGCACAGCGAGACGGCGCGCGTCGCGGAGGAACAGACAGACGACCTGGACACGCAAATGGAGGCGCTCGACGACTTTGTCGGCCGAGCCAGGACGGAAAACGCGAGCCACCACGAGTCTCACGGCCAGTCTGTCCAGGCGCTGTCCAGCACGGTCGAGCAGTCGCTCGGCAGCATCTCGGCGCACCTCAAGGCGACGTTCGAAAGGGTCAGGAACCTCGGCGAAGGCATGGCGCTGGACGCGAACGACCTGCGGGACGGCCTCGAGCCGCTCGAGCCGCAGCTCTGCCAGCCGCTGGCCAACCTGCGCGAGGGCATCGCGTCCACGGCCCTGCAGGAGTACCAGCCCACGGGCGACACGCCCCAGAAGGCGACGTACACGTTCCCCACGAAGCTTCCTCGCACCGAGGCCCACGACGTCGTCGTCGCCGCCGCGGCCGACGGGGCGCAGTCTCCGCCGCGCACGGGCGACGACGGCAAGGACGACTCGTCGATGCTGCTGCCCGACGCTGGACGCAAAGGCTCCCCCGTCACGGCGACGAGGCAGCCGAGCGCCGGCGGCGCGTCGGACAAGAGCGTGGGCCTGCGCGAGGTCAATCCTAACGTGACGGCGAATCTGGCGGCCGCGGCCACGGCCACGTTTGATCCGAGGGCGAGCACGATGAGCATGCCCCCCGAACACGCCATGCCCAGCCTCAAGAGGCCGCTCAAGGGGGCGAGGGGTGTCAGGAGCCACCAGCCCGTGCTGGCCGAGGGCAGGGAGAATATCCTGGTCGGGTTTGAGCAGGGCCCGTCGAGGAGGAAGAGCCCGAGGCTGAATTAGGAGTGAGCCGGCTTGGTTTCTTTTTCTATATGATAGACTGCTTAGATGGGGGGTGTCTGTCTGTCTGTCTGTCTGTCTGTTCTATACTCATTCGTTGGTCCGCTTGTGCCTTGTTCACTTTTGTGTTCTGTTCTGTTCTGTTCTGGCGAGGGCTTGGACAACTGGGTTATTTAGCATTCAGATACCCGTTTCTTTTTGGATGGTGCGCATGATTTGGTTCCGACTCGGCGATTTCCGAGGTCGGGGTTTGAGTACCGCACGGCTAGCCGACTGGGTGTTTTTTTTGTATTGAATCTTGCGCTGCCGCGCTGCCGCTTGCTCATCGTTTGTCTACACTCGTCTGCGCTTGCTTCTACGCCTCCCTACCTGCGCTCCTTGGGAACCTGTCCACGTGGCACGACCGGCAGCATCAAGTCGGGATGCGCCGTCGGACGAGGCGCGCACGCATGCGTGGATGCGTGGATGCGTCATCCATCAGCCGTCGTCGACGTCAACATCACAAACGAGGGCACGCGCGTCCTGTCTTATTGCAACTGGAATGTACTTGTATTGACGCCAGACATGAACCCCGGCCCGCCGCCGTCCAATCAATCGCTCTCGACCCCAGCTGATCTCTCCCATGAGCCTATTCCGATACCGATACGCCTAGCCCAGAGTAAAACAGAACGCTATGTTGACTATGTTTGTCATGACCATTGACGAAAACAGGGCCGTGTGTCGATTCTCGATTCGACAATGTCAAGCTGGCCCTTTGCCCACCCATTCCTCACGTGGTAAAAAGGAGACGATAAAAGAGACGTGCCGAGCTTCCCGGTTCCTACTCAGCTCTCGTTGGATCCCAAGTCGTGAGAGTGCACCAAATTTTTTTGGAAAAAAAGAAAAAAAGAAAAAGGGACAAGGAAAAAGAGGATGGAATAAAAGGAACCCTGTGAACAAATTCGCCCCCCTTCCCTCCCTGGAGGGTTTCCCTCGCCAGACGCCATGCAAAACTGAACTTGAAATACTGTCATTCTTGGGGAGTATTCCTCCTCCCCTCCCCGTGGTTAAAGGGTAACTGGTTTTGAGTGCTGTGCTCCTGACCGCTGCTGAGACGTAGTTGAGGGTTCTGAAAAGCTGGCCTTGTCAACGAATTCTCTCACCGTCTTTATGTGAGAAGCTTCGAGACCGCATAGTGTGCATCAGGAGCGCGCTCTCAAGCATCTTGTATAGCTTATAAATGCCTAGACATGTTTCGAAGCCTGCCTGCACCCGACACGGGTGAGGATGATATTCACGGCGAAAAGGTATGGTTTGTGAGAGAAAAGTGAAAGTCGGCCTGTGCGACAATCATGCCCAGGTCCCAATCCGACGTCGCCGGGTCGGCTGTCCTGCTGCTCACGGCTCTCTCCTAGCGTCTGCCGATCTTGAGCAGTCGAGTCCGAAGCCACAGCATGAAGGCGGTCCAGACGCCCATGGTCTTGTGCTTGGCCGTCTTGCTTCTCTTGGGCGACGTGAAATGGACCTCGTCGGGCCTCGAGGGGGCGGTTGGCCCGCCATGCGTACTGTTGTAGCCAAACGCCGAAAACTCCACCTTTTCGCGGCTGTCCTCGAGCCTCGCGCCGTGATTTCTCGACGAGGAGATTCGGAGGTCGGTCCCGCTCGACATGGTGCTGCTGGAGACGCTGCCGTGCCCCGTGCTGCCCTTGCGAAGCCGCGGGTGCGACTTTTCAAGCCTGTGTGCCTCCTTGATCTCGGCACGTTCTCGTTTGCGGAGCTGTTCCCTGGCATACTTTTCGTCCTTGGCACGCTCCCTGGCCTCAAACTTGCGGCGGGCTTCGCGGACCTGCTCCTTGTGCGTAAAGGTGTCGACCTCGCCGCTTCGGGAGCGCAGGCGGAAGACGCCCATGTCCAGAGAGTTGCGCAGCGGCGACAAGGGTGCATTGATCTGGGTCTGCACGGAGGACAGGGTTGTCGCGGGCGTCCCCGCGGGGGAGGTTGACGAGAGGGAAGACAAGGCGCTGAAGTCCAGCTCCGACCTGCTCTGAGTCAGAGACGGCGGTGCCAGGAGGCGAGTGGTGGCCGAGTTGGATCGAGCAGCAGGTAGCCGCGTCGCCTGGGCTCCATCCGAGACCGAGCTGGTACGCTGACTTGCCACGGAAGGACGGCGATGGTTGGGATGCTGGTAAAAGGCAGACTGGTACAGGGCGGGACGAGGGGTGGTGGAGGCAGAGTGGAAGGACGAGTACGGATCGACGTCGGCGTCGTCCTCGGTGATGGTGGGAGAGTAGCCGGTCGACACGCCGTTCTCAAAGGACGACCTCGAGTTGGCGTAGGGCAGAGGAGGATTCGAGGCGTGAGGCTGCTGCTGGAAGGGGTGGACAAAGGTGCCGCCGTTGGCGGTAGTCGCGATGGACGAGGTGTGCGAGTTGCCGCTCGCCGATCGAACGTGGGAGTACTTGGGGCGCGGTGCCAGGCCCAGGCCGGGACCCGCCATGTCTGACGGGGAGAAGGAGAAGCTCACGTCGCGAGCGCATCTGGCCGGCGGACCGTTTTGGGTCGAGTAGGGATAGGAGCCATCGCTGTCGTAGGAGCCAAAGTCGGGACCGGCGGCGAGGCTTGGTGACGGCTGATCATCCCAGCCGCGGTCGAGGTCGAGCGACTCGCGATCCGAGTGATGAGAATGCAGCTTCCTGAGAATGGGCTTGACCACGGTGCGACTCCGCGACTTGGAGAGCTTCCCGCCGTGGTGGGAAAAGGGACCCTGGTGAAGATGGACCTGCACGGAGGCCATGGTACCGTCGGGCAGTCAAGGCGGGAATCGGAATCGAGGTTGCCTGAGATGGAGCCGCGGGCGAGATGCGGCGGGGTCAAGTTATAGGCAAGTCGATGGGCGGCGGTCCTTGGCGTGGAATCAAAATGTTTGTTTGTTGTGTCGGCGGCCGTGGCCGTGGCCGTGGCCGAATCCGTGGATGGTTGAGCTTGAGCTTGTTGTTTCTGGTACCAGAGCCGTGCAGCCAGATGTCAGGGGGGTCGCATACGGAACACCGAGTTGCCGAAAGTACCGGGTACAAGGAACCGTCCCAACGAACCGAACCGACTGGGTGCGAGTGAGTCTATGACCACGACTCCGTACGCTGACTTCATCCAACTCTGCCGGCGCCAGCCACTCACGCCATGCCCTCGCTCGCTCGACTGCTTCTTGTGCGTTCGTTGCTTGCTGCTTGCTGCTCGTTGCTTGTGCTGCTGCTGCTGCTGCTGCTTCTGTTGCTGCTGGTTCAGCGTGGTGCGACGGCGCCGATGGACAAGACACGAGGCGTGGACCCCTTGGGTCGCAAACAGTGCACCGCACGATGCGATACGATGCCACGCTGCGATACGATACGGTGCGATGCGATGCGATGCGATGCCATACGACACGATACGATACGACGGGATGGGATGGATCGATAGATAGGACGCCGGCCAACCAAACACGTCACCCACCTCAGTCAACCACGGACGAGAGTGAGTAGAGTCGACGAGGGCAGCGCCGGGACTGGTGAACAATCAACAACCGACAAGGCCAAAGGCGGTCCAGACGAGGTTCAACATCGTTGCAGCCCACCACGGCTGATTCGGGATACTAATAAAGAACTCGAGGGCACGCGGCAACAACACAAACAAACCCCACAGACTGGGGGGGGGAACTGGGGCGCCACCCAAATCCCCCAAGTCTGATTAAAACACGATGGGGGGGGGGCTGCTCGGACAAGGACAGGGGGGGGGATTGAAGGAAACCACGGAGTGATAACTAGTAACTGGAACTGGGCGCCCCAAGCCGTCGCCGCCACTTCTCCGTGCATGCGCCGCCCAGGCAGTACGTACGCAGCAGCAGCCGTCATTGACGGACACGGCCACAATCATCAATCATCAACCATCAATCACGGGTGAGGGACGAGGAACGCGCCAGCCACGCACGCACCCTGGCCGCTTACGACGGCTTGTGCGGCGGAGCTGTGGGCTGCCAGTGCCACGACCAAGATGGCCGGCTTCAGCCTCAGAGCTCAGAGGACGCGGCCTTGCACGTGGACGCGATCAGTCAAGTCGCCATCTCTCCGAGTCTGGGAGGAACATGTCTCATCTCCTCTCCTGTTTTCAGGCAATACAGCGACGAGCACCACCTAGTCGTTGCAGAGCACTCGGCTGCCAACCTCCCTGCCTCCTCAGGAGTCGGGACTGACTTGCTTGGTATTTCTCCCGCATCAGTCTAGCGGACAAACGCCATCGCTGCACCCTTTGGACGGCCCGGCCGATCCTAGGGTCTCTCTAATTAGACAAGACATTCGGCTGTCCATTCTGGAGAAAAACGGCGCCAGACCCCCAGATCGAGATGAAGAATGGAAAATAGACTGCCTCGCGCAACAAGCAAGAGAGTCGCCTCGTCTTTTCCCCCTCCACATCACCGCTGCTGCATTGGGCAAATACAAAAAATAAACCTCTCAGCATCAAGCACGAGATCCAGAATTGTTGATGTCACTACGGGGCTGTGAGGCCTTTCACTCGAGGCCCGGGCTGGCCGTTGCAGGTTCTGGCGTCTTGGCCCTCATCTCGTTTCGTCACGTTTCTCTGGGCGCCTGAGAGCCACAGACGATGGCTCGCCTGTCCGTGGATGGACACTGTCGTCTGCGATAGCCTCGCAGATGGGTCCGCCTCATTAGACTTTGGGCTTGAAGCGTAATAATTGCTCCTCTGTGCTCCCTACTCCGTACCGAGACACGGATTAGTTAACACTAGACGTCATGTCCAGACGTAGACGTGCCTCGGATTTCAGTTTCTGCTGCATCCGTAACAGGCAGTTTTGGGACAGCGGCGATTGGGTCGGTCGTTCCGGCAAGGAACTCGCGCTGTTTTCCTGAACAGAGACCGGACGGAGTTTGTGATTGTGGCCGACAGCCTACGGAGGAGAGGCATGTCCGTCACAAGAGAAGCTCGCACATCAGCCACACACGAAGTGCCATGTCAATCTCGGGAGTGCGGAGTTCAGGACCTGCAAACGCAGACAGACGTTGCGCCGAACGTCGAGTCCCCGAGGAGTACGCGTTGCCACACCAATACAGGGATGCGACACTGACAAACTGCTCACCGTTTCGTTTGTTCCCCTGGTTCGAGTTGCGTTTCGCCCAGTGACCATCCCGTTGCCGCGGCCGGTGCCCGTGCCACCAGGCCGTGCCACCAGTGCACCACCAAGAGTCCAAGACGATTGAGAACGGCACGGCTGGGCATTGGATTGGAATTGGAGCCGTGTCTGGGTCTGCATCTGTGGCATCTGGAGCTGCGGAATGCTCGGCCCAAATCGCTCTTCGCTTGTGAGCGTCATTCCCGTTCGCCACGGGCTGGCTGCGCTCGTCGTAGACATCATGGACACGGGCGGGTCTGGCCTTGCCACTTGAAGGCGTCCAAAATGCTTCCGGCTCCCTCGTTCCTCCGCAACCGCAGAGTGTGCGAGCGTGTGCGAGCGTGTGCGAGCGTGTGCGTGCGTGTGGCGTTTGAGGAACCTGAAAATGAAAATGGGACGGGGTGACACTAGTCTGGTCCGTAGGTGTCCAATCACTCGCGCGAGGCAGTTTCTGGTCACGTGAGGCTCACCAATCGCGACACAGCTCTTCCAGGAAGCGCTAGTGTTTATTCCGCACGCATATTGAGATCAACAAGTGCTGGTCATACTCCCACCAGGTCACGGCGCAGACAAGACCTTGCTTGATCCCTCACGGGCTAGGAGACCGTCGCTTCACAGACCCATTCCATGCCGCCGAGTCGTGCGTAAGCAGCCATCAATGCTCGAACAATGTTTCCTGCTGCCTGCCTGCCCGTGCCCGTGCCACGTCTCCACAGATGACGCTTCACGCCCGCACACGGGCCGATATTGAGCGGCGAGGGAAGCAGCAGCAGGACGCATCCATCTACACACGGCACCGACGGCGCCACTTCGCGGTTGATCTCCCGCGGCCATCAGTAGGATTTGTCAAGATTGGCGAAGACCCGAGGGCATTGTCCGACACCCACCGGGCTCGGCTCTCTGGAAGAATGAGGCTCAATTGGATAACCGGCTGGTGGCGACGGCCATCGCCACACGAGGGATATCCGTCCGTGGACTCCGGCTAGTATTCGTATGCATGAGTAACCGCCTCCCTCCCTCCCGGTGGTGGTGCTTGTCCACCCACAAGCAGTTTGCGAAAAGAGTCACTTTGCCATGCCGGCTCGCCTCGCATGGGCGTTGGCAAATGGCCTCGTCGAGTGCGACAACCACAAAACACCATTTCAGCCCGCAACGCCCGCAAACGCCTCGTGTTGGTCCCTCGCTGACTCGCACAACCCCCAGCCAACAACGTTGCATGCTTCTCGACCCCTCCTTGACGTCTGCGCGCGACTTGGCCATGCCCGTTTCCTTCGCGGCCGTCCCAGCCCATATATATGACAACGGCGGCCTAGCCTCGGATGTGAACCTTTTGCGCTACAACGTACGGAGTACCTAGGTGGTCATATGTAAGCGAAGAGAGGACGTCATCTCGTGCTCTCTCTTCTTGTCTTCAGACACGTTCAGGCCGCTTCCGAGGCTGAGCTGAAGGGCAGCTGAAAGCGACGTTGTAAGCGGAGGCGGCTGTAGTTCCGAACCCTTGGCACGGTAACGGTAGTTTTTGCGTGCCGTAAAAATCTGGCGTTGCATCCTTGGCTTCAGCGCGGCAGGGTCTTTCCTTTCCCTCGTGTCCAAATGTTGTCTGTTGTCGCTTACGGTGCGCCCCCGGACCGGCACGGCTAGACCTAGTGCATGTGGCCTTTTCTAAAAAGACACATTGAGCGGGATACTCCGGACTCTGGAGAATCCTTGCTGCAGGGTAGCCGACACTCGATGGCCGTGTTGGGGCTTGCCATGGCCCCATGGACATACAGATGATCGATCTCCCCTGAGGCTGCTGCTCTCACGACGTTGTTATTTTGCAATTCGTCCAGGTTAACAGCTTTTTTCTCCCCAGAAGCACGGACTTGCCTGTGCTTACTGACTGCGTGCTCCAGATACCCGAGCACCAACTACGCGCAAAAACACCATGTTTGTGAATAGCCGTCGTGAAGCCGTACCAACCACGCCTCGAAATGCACGGTTTTGACCGGCCCGTGCTCCAAGTGCGTCATTTTTCTGTCCACGGGGTCCATCTGTTGTTGTTTGACGCGCCAGCTACCCGGAAGATTTGGCGAGCCATCACCCACCTGCGTCCGGTCTGCGGATGCTCAAGCTCAAGCTGGAAGCCACAATGGTAGCTGTAAACACTCAACACCCAATCTGCCAAGTATACGGAACGAGTAGGTGCGGATAAATCTTCCTGCCATCCAAAGTACAGTCAACGTGAACAGCTCAAATTCCGTCCGTCAGGTTGCTTACTCTTCTGATTCCAAGGCTTACGCTGTAGCTACCAGCGTTTCAAGTCATGATCATACTGCCAAGTGTGAATTGACCAGGGTCTGTGGATATAGACGACCCTGTGAAAGCCATGATCAGCAGCCGCTTCAGCTAACTTGATGCTGATGATATTTTCTGTCCGAACCCGAACCCGTCCAGGGGGCAGACATGGTGTAGGAGCTCCAAGCCAGGCTGTCCTGAAATGATTAGAGAGTGACTTGTGTTCAAACCATCCTGAGAGGTTGCTTACACCCAAGTCTCTGGAGCGCCTCGTTGTTTACCAACAGACACGTTCTGTATTCACTAGGCAGGACGGATGCATCAGGACCACCGCTCCTTCGTAACATCCCCCAGCCTGGGACCACGCTCTGCAGCCCTTCAAACGCTCGCAGTTCTTGTATATCCCCATCGAACGCCTTGCTTGTTACCCCGAATGTCGGGATATATCTCGGCACATGGCGTTGCCGACCCTGAACTTCCGTATGCAGGCAGGGAAGAACATGGAAGATTCTGAGAACGCCAAGAAGGAGGAATGATGAGCAGTCTTCATCGAGCCCAGCATGGTGTACAATGAAATGAACACACCGAAAATGCCACGTTTGTCTTGTTATCCATGGTCATGGTGTTGAGATCTCGACCTGCACGGCATGCTGACTCGCCAGACCGGAGGCTAATGGACACACGCGAATTTACCCCTTCTTCTATCATTCGTCCAGGGAGTTGGGAGTTGACAGAAATCCGCTGGAAGTCAATCATGTGATCTGAGGCTCTCTGGAGTCTGGACTCCGGTACAGCCCTCTCCTGACTGAGGGCCTCATGAGCATGCCAACTCACGGCTGTCTCGCTCAAGGCTCTTTTGCCGGTGCATCAACACATGGCGCGTATTCGTCTTCGATTGTACAGAAAAACATCCTCTCAAACACGGCCCATGCAAGTTTCGGTACTGGTTCAGCCTCCGGTCTCTTTTCTCGATCCCTACCACGTCTGCCGGGGTCTGTCCACTGCATGCAGAAGTGATTTACCAGGCAAGTTCCTCTCAGACGGCTAAGATAAGCCAGGCCACTTTGTTTCACAGGCTGCAGGTACGGATGCGTCGACTTACATCTCTGGCCTCGACATTAGTCCAAGTCTATTTCATGTCTTTGTGGATACTGGAAAGGTATTCGAGAGCAGGCGATTCCTCGCTCGTCAAAGGTAGCCGAAGCACTCCAGACCCGATTGCCAGATACGTGGTAAGCTGTCGACAGGGACCCGTCAACCGAATTCTGCATTCATCAGGGATAGCATCCGACGTAGGAGAGGCAGAAATCATTGCCTCGCCAGACCACACGCATCAACAAAATGCAGGCCTGAATCTCATCAGTGTGCGTACGAATCGGGCGTATCCAGAAAGTGATTTTCAACGCCCGCAGCTTACCATGAAAGGTCCAAGTCTTCAGTTTGAGGTAGTCACAAGGCGAAATCTGCCAGAGCTTCGGCTGTCTGTGTCCTGACTAGGAAGAAATCAACATACCAATTCCTGAACGCCAGTCAAAACCTTTGATTTGGGTCTTTTAAACGAGAAGGTAGGCTGAGTATCTGGCAAGCTTGTATGTCTCGCACATGGCCATGGGAAGCTGCATGCCAGGCAGCCATTTGGGAACTAAATTTGGTCTCCGTAGAGTCATCCCAAGCGTTTGTGTAGTTCTCCTTCCGATTGCATCTTTACTTATTTCAGCATTCATTGCATTAATTAGTACAGTATAAATGGATTGAGCCAAGGAAGGACGTACATGAGATGAGGTTAGAGCTTGTAATCAACTCTTTAAGATCAGAAAACCATAGTTCCACTGCCTATTGTTGAGCGGGAGCTACCATCCAAGGACGATAGGCTCATGTAATATACTTACTAAAAGCATGCCAGTGAAGCGTGAGTACCTAGTGAGATTAACAGAGCTACGACTGCGCAATGAAAGGTTTAGACCCTTCGGGGCACAGAGATCATGGGGTGATCCTCCCTCCCGCCAACTTGCTTACTAGCTTGATAGCGACCAGTAACCATTTTGCCCGACAAAACCGAATAGCTACTACATCCAGCGCCTAAGCACCCCGGTATTTCTTCGGTGCAGTCTCTGTAGTGAATTATAGACTGATAAGATGGAGCAAATCGACTTGCAGTGGAGGAATCGCAAAGACCCCTGGCCCTTCAAGCGGCTGTCACGGGTATTATGATACTCCGTAGTTGCTTGCAAGGCCGCCATTTGCGAATCTCGGTCGCTGGGTTGGACAAGGCACGCAAGTACGACTAAGAATTCGGACATTAAAATGTTTTGTAGTTCATAAACCCGTGTCAGTCCCCCACTCATAGCATGAAGCAAACGAGGGTCCGACGGACAAGAAGAGCCTGCCTCTGCTCCAGAGGCTGTCATGGCGAGGTCCACAACGTGGTTGAGAGGTCTGTTCGATGTTGGTAACAAGCTGAGAGAGGGCGTCATCAGACCGTGCCACTGGTCATGTACCAGAGGAATCTTCAAACACCGACTTTTGTGGGCGGTAACATGACAGTTGGGCAGTAACCTGTGTAACGGCGCAAAAAAGAGTAGAGAACACCCCTGTGGGCGAAGCGCCCTGGGCTTTTGTTGCCTTTCTGATCCACCAGCGTACAATGCAGGTCGATGCACTACCCATGATCCAACATATCAGCTCACAAGGCTCTGGGATCTTTCGACCTCAGAAAATACTGCCCAAGGAGTGGACTTGCGTCGAGACATCCATTACCGAGACCTGCGGTACAATTAGCTACCAAACATTCCTCGTTTCTGCCTTGATGGGATGACAGGATACAAAGCTTCACGTAGCAAGCAACAAGGTCACACGTACCTAGAACAAAGACAAAGCCTCAATGATCCGTCGTATCAATCTGGGGTGCGCACCACGGTCCTTCCAAGGCCAGAAAAAGTGTGACACAAACGACATGTTGAACATTGCTGGTAATTTGTCAGTGCTGCTAGGGCACGTAACTCATCTTATTTGTGTCTTAAGGCGAAGAAATGATAAGGGCCACATTAGTGGCGCTGTGGGTGCAAAAGGCTAATTGAGCCATGGTATAGCACACTTCTTGTTGATGACTCACTAGCGGTAGAGAAATTTGGCCTGCCATCTTGTTCAAAAGGAATCTGCATCCTCCGCCATGAAATCAAGGGCCATGATTCACCCGTCTTGAATACACACTCTCTGTCTTTTCGTCCATGTTTTGCTGGAAGTGCTCTATTTGTGGTTCGTTGGAAGCAACAACTAACACCAGGCAGGGGTGCCTTCAGTGTTAGGCCCTTGGCGAAGAGCATTGAAGCCGGCGGTTGGCTGATTGTGAGTGGAGTTTGAGCATGATGTCCATGTCTGCTCCATGTAATTCCGAGGCGGTCCGCGTGGCTCGTCGCAGGAAGAGAACAGAGTCGCGTTGCCTTCATATCTGGTTTCGACACGGCTGAGCTGCCAGAAAGAGTTCCCTACTTCAGGAAGCTTGTTAATATTTGGCAGTTTGAATCCTCAGCGAAAATGGATGAGAAGGAGAACCTACACCCCAAGTGCTGCAGAGGATCATAATTTGACTAGATGATGGGGGAAAAAAAAAGTGTTGGATCTGGTCAATGCGGGAGTTTAACTCGTCAAGTCGCGGTGCAGGGCCTGGCAGCTCTAGTCATGCCGCACTTCTCTGGAGTGTCCAATTACGTGGCCTTGGTAATAATCAGCAGAGGCAGGAACCACGGAGTCTTTTCCTTGGAACTGGTCAAGGCGGCCAAAAGATTCGAAGTACATTAGGTACCAGGCTATCGTTGACGATACTGCGGTATTCTGGTGCTTACCTAAGTACCAACCTAAGTAGGTACGCAAAAATGTTATGCCACGGTCTGCGACTGTCAATTTGAGATGCGATGGATCTGATACCACACCGTCGGTCCAGATGACTTGAAGCCTCGATTGATCAGCTGAAAGGACAAGTCGACATTGGGCCAGACCCAGGTCGTCCGGACATTCCAAACACTTCGTACGACTCGTACGAGTACAGACCGCCAATTGAACACAAGATGTGCGTGCATGGCACAAGCTCGAGCCAAAGTGCAGACGCAGTCCATTCACGTCCAACACGGCTCCGGAAAACGTTGGTCAAGACAGCAAATTTTCGCTTGCCCGAATACATGGTACGGACTGGTAGGCCCCAACAACCATCAAAACTGTGCATCCCGAGAGCGAGAGACTGATGTGGAAATGGGCCCGACTTGAGACGTTTCTATGGCAGTTCCGGGCTTCTTCCAGCACTGTCCGCAGGCATCAACAACGCTTCGCGGACGGCTTTAGACACTTGAGAAAGGCGATTCAAGCTCGTTTCCCGCCAACATGTTCGGCGCACCCTGGGGTATACTTTTCCTGGTTGCTTCTTGGAAAGCCGCCCGAGCTCGCATGAGCCACGACCCATTTTTGACCGTACACGGATCTTGGGTGTCGCATCGCAGTACGGAATATCAAGTGCCACTGAAGATTGCCAGCGAGACCCTAACCGAAAATGGGTGTTGAATACAACCGTGGTGTCCACTGTCTTTGACGTGCTCGCCTAGGCCCCGATGCTCATGTTTCGGCCTCTGGTATCTGGTATGCTTTCATGCAGACGGAGTAGGCATGGCAAGTCCCCATGTGTGAGCCGCAATAGAGGAAGTCCGAATTACGACGTGTCGGGAATTGGAACAGTACTGAGGATCCATTTACCAGGTCCAGTGAAATTAGTCCGTACGGAGCACATGCAGCCAATATTGAACAGTGTGGGATGTGCTGTCTCTTTGTCTACGGAGTACTAGCGTGGAGAGTGGCCACAAACTATCTGTGAGGCATGAAACTGAGATAATCAGTACACCTTGGCCGCTCTCGGCCTCTTTGAAATCAGCTGGAAGTTGCGGCATGGTATCTCTTGGAATAGCTAGTCTCCCCATCATGGAGACATGGGTGTCCCATGGTGGTCAAGCTGTATGTACAAAGGCATACAACCGATGGAGCTATCCTGCACATATCAATCATCAAAGTAGGTCGAGGCTGGTGAGGAGAATGTGCGCTGCAGCCTGCAGTAGTACCTGCATGTTGCTCGATACTCTTCCACAGACTCTGGTTGGGCAATTGCATCACCAATGGTCTCTTGTCTCTTTGCGCCAATGAGAAGTGACGGCATGCATGCGGTATTGCAAGCCTTGGTCAAGGACGAAATCACCCCCCCCCCAGTTTTGGCGGTCCAGGGTCCGCAATGAAAGCTGGGGAAAACGACTTGTACAACGGTCCTCGCTGGTCTCAACCAGCTCATGCTCCGTTCAAGTTAGTTTGCAGTGTTGATATCAAGTGTCAAACTTCGTTTCTTTCTTTTCTTTTCTTTTCAGGGCCCACAACAAGATCAAGGCCTCCAGATGTCTCCTCACGACGACCGACATGTGGGACTTGACGCCACACGGGCAGGTGCGCGCCGGTTCCAGCCGCAAGTGAAGGCGGCTTTCCTCGTTCTTCACCTGAACAAGCGCCAGTTGGAGTGAAATTATGGGGAACGACGCCGGCGTCAAGTTAGTCTTTCCTTTGCGGAGTTGATGGCGCATTTTACAAGTGCTGCCTGGTGCAAGCGCATGTAAGTTGCATAGACATACAGCGTGTGCCCTTGTGTATGAAACGGTCGTATTCCTGAAGACTTGGGCGCGTGTGTGTGCGTGTGTTGTCCTGTCCGCGCAGACGGCGAAACAGGAAAGTTGAGCATGGAGGGTTTCGGAACTTTGGTAGAAATGACATCTTCAATGACAGCAGGCCAGGCAGGCTCGTGCCCTGGGGTCACTTGCCACCGGACTCTTTACCGAGTACCGAGTAACTTGAGTAGTTTCCAAAGATACATGGGTGCGGTCTCGAATCTCAGGTGAGGTCCGGCAACAGGACTGATGGAATTACTCCGTACTGGCTCCAGCATACAAAGCAACACCTGTTCATGATGCATTCACGGATGGCGACGCGGATGGTTCGTTGGCTACCTACCTAGGTAGGTGCCCGGGTGGCCAGGTGCCCAGGTGCTTATTGGGATGGTGTCTGATGAATCTGGGGTGTTGTGTTGAATCGCAGCGCTCGCAGCGTTGGATCAGAGCACAGAGCTCAATCCGAAGCGCGTGGCAAGTTGCCATGGGGTGAAGCCAGCCTTGCATGACGGGCCAACTTGTCCATTCAACCCCAGCTGTCCGTCTGCTGAGAGAGGGCAAAACAATCAAAACATTATTAAAGCCCGACGAGAAATGACGAGACTGGAGAAGAGGCATCGAAATCAATTGAGCGCACGCCCCCTGCTCGACAACTCGACATGGCCTAGGCGGGTGCTGGTGCCTAACTTGAGTCTGATATAACTAAAGTAAGTACCAAGTTCAATGTGGACGCGTGCTTCTGCTCTTTACTCGCATCAATACTCCGTACTTTGCTTTTACTCGAGTGGGCGCCGCCGCCAGACCGTCACCCCCCTCCCCGAGGTGCCACCCCGCTCAAGAGCCACGCCCCACGCCCTCCCCCCACCTTCCCTCGATGGCTCTCTCCACTTGAACGTGCGCATTGTCGTCCAACCGCCGGACCCTTGTCCTTTGTGCCATTGTCTGGACTTCCAGATCAAGTCTAGATAGTTCACTGACGAGAAAGCCAGTCAACGACAAACCCAAGATATGCATACCAACGTCCTATTGACTACCCAGGAAGTAGTTGGGTGCAGCTCAGTTTTGTGCAACTGTCGAGTCAAGGTGCACTCGTACTCGGCCCCCGAGGTACTGTTGGGTACATGCTCGAGTACTAAGTACCTACCTACTTTAGGTACTTGCTCAAGTAGGTACTTCAAGCAAGTACTCAAGTACATAGTAAGTAAAAGTACTTGAGTAGGTAGGTAGCCAGCAAACCCTTCTCAGACCCAGGCCGACAGACCAAGGACAGACAGGCCAAGCATGGAGACGCCCAGGCTCTGGTGCTTGTCAAAGTGTTGCCTCTCCGTCCATGATGCGTAACCGCACATCGCACATGCAGTCGATTTCTGGGCCCTCTCTTCTTCTCCATGTTCATGCATGGCATGGTGGAATCGAAACTCCCTCGACGGCAAAATCCCAGTCATCATGCCCGTTTCTGCTCGTCTTTATATGTGCGACCTTGTCCGTCCCCGGCATGCAGTCAGAGTTCAGAGTTGCCTTTTGCGTCTTGACCTGTGCAGGACGTAGCTCCAGGCTTTCCCATGAACCGTACCGTACCTATGTATCAGACATATCTCAAGACGGATTCACTGATCCCTTTTGTTTCCTTTCCCTTCTTTTCTCCTGCTTGCTTTTATGGGGTTTTTCTATTATTTATGATCATTAATCTTATCCTGATGTATCTTCCTGTACTTTTAAAATAGGCATCCCTTCCCGCCCTAACCCCCCCCCCCCCCAAATGATCCATTTGTTGGGGGGAAACAATGAAAATGAAAAAGAAAGCGCCTGCACAACAAATTGCGTCTTGCTGCACTTGAGGTCCGTTCATGGCATGGAAAATGATACAGCCCTCATTGTTCGAGCAGGCCCCTTCCTTCTATTCCGTCACACATAAAGTAATCAAGTAAGCACGGCGGGATACCTTGGGAAGCTGGTTTGCGAAATATCCGTTGAAGCTTTGGCTCGTTCTTCATCTTTGATTGCTTTCTTGCTTGCTTGCTCGCTCGCTTGCTCGCTGTTCACCTGCGCCTTCCACGCCGTGAAGATTCGCTTGAGCTCGCTTGTGTGAGTGCAGTGATTCATAGAGCTCGAGAGTATTTACATCGTGCTGCTCAGACACGTTTTTGCCCTCTGCTTTTCGTCTCTTATCCAGCTCCATGCACACGGATTCCCACGAAAACCTTCAAGGTGACGGCGACGGCGACGGCAACGACAAAGGCAACCGCCAATGGCAAACGCGTGGTCTCAACTTCCTTCCCTCGTCTTGGATCCCCGGCACTCTCCCTCTACGCTCCTACTTCTCGACCTGGCCAACTCGGTCTTGGCCATAGGAACCTCCGTTCTGGGCCTGCCAATGCGCCTCCTGCACTCGTTTGACTTCTGGACCTCGACCCAATTCTGGGTCTGGGTCTTTTTGGTAGTGTCGTAAGCACCCTCAGTCTTTTTCTTTTGGTCGAGAATCAACATCACACAGCCATTGAACTGACGCCCAGTCATCCGATAGGATCCATCGCTACCTGAGACTCATAGTTCACTGCTTCAGTCACTGGCTCTACAAGTCGACGCCCCTTCCGGACAACCCAGTTCACAAGTGCGAGGATGCCACGGTCGTGATTCCTACAATCCACGACAATCCTGAGGAATTGAAGCCCTCTCTCGAGAGCATCCTTGCCTGCAATCCAGCCTGTCTTATACTGGTGACGCCCTACAACAAAGTCAAAGCATTGCAAAAAGTGGCAGATGGACTGAGTAGCCCGAATGTCAAGGTCCTCCAAACCTCCATTGCAAATAAACGGCTGCAGATCTGCGAGGCAATTCCTCTGGCTCGAACCAAAATCACGATACTGACGGATGACGACGTGACTTGGCCTTCCACGATGCTCCCCCATCTTCTTGCTCCGTTCGACAAAGATGCCCAAATAGGCGGTGTTGGAACTTGCCAGCGGGTGAAGCGCGTGAGGGACGGATCTTTCATGACTCGCATCTGGAACTGGCTTGGTGCCGCTTACATCGAACGCCGCAACTTTGAGATTTCCGCCACGCATAACATTGACGGAGGTACCTCGTGCATGTCTGGCAGAACAGCAGCGTATCGGACGGAAGTCTTGAATGACCCTTTTTTCATGGAAGGTTTCAAGACTGAGAAATGGGGAGACAAGATCCTCAACACCGACGACGATAACTTTGTCACGCGCTGGCTTGTAGGCCACCGTTGGAAGACTACCGTCCAGTATCGACCAGAATGTGAGCTCGAGACCACTCTCGAGAATGACCACAAGTTTCTCTATCAATGCACTCGTTGGGCCCGCAGCAATTGGAGAAGCAACTATACCAGTCTCTTCAGAGAGAGATATGTGTGGAAGTAAGTTTAGGCCAAACGCGCAGGTTTCCTGTGGCCTTCGCTGACCGTGTGCCAACCAATCCAGACGACAACCGTGGTGCACATATGCGCTTCACATTGCCACCTTCACTTCTCTTGCCATTGTTTTCGACCCCCTAATACTCGTATCATGTTGGTGGGCCACAGCCGACTGGGACACGCCACACCGACGATTCGCATTCTGGGCTCTGTTCACCTTCATGTTTGGCTTTACAAAAACCGTCAAGTTGCTTGGCTTGTTTAGACGAAATCCTGGCGACATTGTCTTCTGGCCCGTATCCGTCTTTTTTGGATACGTGCACTCCCTCATCAAGCTCTACGCCCTCTTTACTCTTAGCGCGGTACGTGAAGGAACGTGACTTCTTGATCTGGAAGCATGGCTTACGATTCTCTGAAGACTACATGGGGCAGTAGAAGCGATGGCGACGCCAATAACGAGTCGCGACTACAAGAAAAGCCCAGGCCATCGGAGTATTTGCAAACCCCTGTCGAGCCTGTATATCTTGGGTCCAGTGAGTGCCGCCGGAAGGGGCAGCGGCCTCAGAATGGCAATCGAGACAACAGGTCGTCGGAAACGCACGGCCGCGCTCTTTGCAATGCGAAGACGTCTCATGTTGTTTGATGTGGCTTGCCAGGTCCAAGCGCCCACACAAAAGCTCTCGAGGCCGTGCTGGCGAAGGTGCGGCTGGTGATTTTCTCACCTGTTACTGAAACCACGATGGCAGCAAGTGGTCATGCATGTGCTTTTGTCTTGTTTACGAATTAGTGTATTTGGTTGCGCCACCAAGGACACACGGATTATAAGATCTGCCACGGGCAACCTCAACTGGCATTCTCATTTACTCTTTCTACTTCTTCTATTTCTGGTGGAACTGATAGAACAAAAGTCGGCGTGAATTTTGCATCATGTTCATTGCATCGAGCCACGAACTCTCCGGTTGCTTTTATATTTTCCTCATGACTGTAGCTGGATCGACGGTTTTCTAGAGTTTTCTAGAGGATTCAGCAAGGAAAAACTGATGCTCTTTTTCTGCGATGGGACGGTGGTCACGGCAGAGAGAAAAAGTGAGCTTGGAATATGGGAAAAGGACACGGCTTTTTGTTATTTTTATTTTCATTTTTTGGGAGTCCCTGTGACGGTCACGTCGACTAGGGAGGGATCATGACGGCTGATTTGGAGCGCTCCCCGCGGGGCAATACGATGGACACGGGACGGTTTCCATGGTATCGCGCGATTCGATTCTGGCGCGCAGTAAAGTCACGGTTTTGCATGCTTGAGGGCAACGCGTTGGTTGACTGCTGCAGGAATATAATTCGCTTCTTTAATGAAAACTACATTTCGGGATACTTCAACCCGCCCGAATGAACTCTTCATGTAGATGCAACCGTAGCCGTAGACGAGCAAAATGATGTGTGAAATGATTGGACAAGCAGTACGGAGCAGTAGTGCGTGCATGGATTTACAGATCTCGATGCTGCGGCTGTGTTGCACGACATTCATTAATAAGTGGAAGGCCGGGACCTAGCAACGCCTGCGCCTGTGGTTCGGTTGCAATCCCAGCATCCGAGTATGCGCGAATGTATGATGACTTCAGCTTGTGGACCGAGAGAATGCCGAAAAATGGGGGCGAGGCCTCTCTTTTCAATCTACTTTGTCGTCAACCCAACAAGTTCCTGTATTGTTTGTCGCATGAATACCAACCTGGGAAGGCATGCAGGGACCCTTCAGCGGACGTGAGGCAAGCCAAGCAGGTCTCGAGACGTTGTGCCCTGCACAGCACACATTGAGAGGTGATACTTGAGCAATATCGACTGGAAGCCAGCCGTACGTCTGATAGCAATCCTCGAGGCAAGAGGGGGAGCGACCCAGAAAGCCGCTCTGGTGTCCATTTCGTTGCAGAAACGCCGTGTAACCATTTTCTTGCTTTTCTCAAGCCCAGATATTCAAATGCCGTTTGTTACCTAGCATGTTAAATCATACTCGCAAGTGGTTCCATGAACACGCTGGAACGACGACGACCCAGCTTGACGATGAACAGTGGTGACTTGGGGAATGGGCATTCGCCCGGCGCCAATGTTGTTCTCGACGGCTGCACCTGCAAGGTCAATAGTTTTCGGCCACTGCCGTTGTTCAAGGCCCTCCGCTTCGATGGAGCGCGCTTTGTACAGTGCACGACACGTACGACGCAATACAATCCATGCGAGTTTGCAAGCCAGACGAAAGGCGAGTCGGGTCTGACAGAGGCTTGAGGCATCTCGGGGCGTCCGTGGGGCCATGGCCATGTTGGTAGCTAATGCAAGTATGTCGAGACACTTGCTTGTCACGGCCCCAGGGACTGCCACCACATGTTTGTCCGACGTCTCTGCAGGACGAGCCTTGAACTCATGCAGGTTGCAGGTCGGCTTTGCAACATGGGGTCCGGCAAGGGTCGCCGGTGCAAGTGCCGCCATGTGAAGGCAGTAGAGTTGGAGAAGCTTTCTGGGGCCGCTATTGTGATCCAAGCCTACCTAGTAGGTAGTTATCATACTTCAGCCTTGATGCATCGTGTCGAATGCAAATACGGAATGTGGATGCCTGGAACAGACCCTATAGACAGACAATGACGACGAGGACGGTCATGGCGATGACGATGACGATGACATGCAGTTGAATGGATACCCCTCCTGAAGCTTGGGTTTCATGCCCAAGTAGTTCGTCCTGACCGTGCAGAAGAATAGGTCAACCGTGGTATGAAGAGGAAGCAGAAGGCAGAGAAGAGAGCGATCAAGGGGAGCATCTCTACAAGATGCGGTAAAGCGTGCTCTAATCCGTGATATGGCGAGTCTGCACGAAACGACACAGGTATGGTCGAATGCAGTTCGAGATCGGCGAACGAGGTTTCAACATGTTCAATGTTGGCTGGCGGAGGAGAGGAAATTGGAAAAAGGTGGGGGTACTTGCACCCCCAAGGTTGCGGGGCACCATGACGGAAATACACACGCACTAGTCTACTAGCAGTGTCTTTCGTGGATGCACACGCCCCCTCCCTCACACCAGACCCTATGGCGGCCCTTGCCACTCCCCCCGTCACCGGCCGAACCTGCCTGTCCCCTGTCCATGCCACCACACCACTTTCCAAGCTTCCTGTGCTTCCAGATGTCCCGGACATCTCGTCGTCTGGTACTGCGTACTGGCTTCAGCACCAGTCCCCGGCAAGCACGACTCCTCAAGCATCTAGTTGATGATGATGCCGCCGCAGAAATTGGGTTTGGAGACGGCCCGCGCTGCCAAATGGACCCCTACTTGTCACGGACCTAATTCTCGGTCGTGAACAAAGCATTTGGCCTCGCGGCCCCAAGACGGAGACCGGCACAGGCGACCGTTTGGCCGTTGCAGGCTGCGGCTAGCCACAGGCTGGACAAGTCACTGGACTTTCTCCTCAAGGTCCGTCCGGTCCGGTCTACAGTTGCGAGTTCACGACACTTCCATCCACGGTAACCGAATGTCGATGGCATGCAAACAAGATTGTTGGCCACCGTGCCCTTTTGTCCGTCGCCAGATTTTCACAGTACTCCGTACATTGTTCGGAGTACATTGTCCAGGGTACGCGTACCCCCCGTCATCATCCCGAGCTCGTTGCCGCTAGGGGAACCTCTGTCTGTGTGCGCCAAACAAGACGCTTATTATTCGTCGCTAGCTTTTCTCAGTTTCCGAGGCGAGGGCCGGCCCGTGGTGCGATTCGAGTGCGTAGCATTTCACTTCGTACATCGTTGCTCAGTCTGGCTGTCCCCAAAAGTAGCATGGTTTGATGCTAGTCGACGCATGCAAGTCAGCAGGGGGCTGCATACAAGAGCGCTTGGGCAGATCGGAATCCAACGAAAAGAACGAAACTGGTTATTGATTCACTCTCGAACGCCCTTGATATTATTATGAATGGGCACTTGTGCATTCGCTCAGTACAAACGACCATTTGCCCGCCTACAACATTGATTGATCCACGGTTCCTTCCATCTCCGAGCGAACCCGCAGCGCGTCCTTGTGCTGTGGAACACGGAGCGCTCGCGTGGCACGTCCCCAGGATGTTGTCGAGCCGTTTCGTTCTGGCAAGAAGAAAAGACTACATATCACAGTTCATAGCCGCCTGGTACCGCCGCGGGTCGTTCAAGCCTTCGCACTGGTAGGCGTAGTGTCAACTCAGGCTGTACCACTAATAATCTGTGGGCTCGGGACGAAGCGAACAAAAGCAAAAAACGTTTGGCCCCAATTTCCTCCCCGAGTGGGAAAGTCGCACGTAGCCTGCCCGAATCTGGCGCAACAAACAGTCAGCAAAGGAAGCAAACCTCCGAGATCAAAAATTCTCGAGGAAGCTTGCTTGGTCCATCGTTTCTAGAAAAGCGCGCTCGCAGGGGTTTACTTTGCGTTGTTAACGGGCTGTGATTGGAAGACCTTGCACGTCGAGCTTACCATCTCGACCTTGGCTGGTTGAGGACAGCATTCGCCACATGCAAAGAGCAAAAGCTGCCAAAAGCCATGTGTGGTAAGGAGCTCGGTCAAAAATGACGTTTGTTAAATGGTGCAGCCAAATTTCTCATTATCATTTTTTTTCCTTCACTTTTTACGGGTATTTGACGATTCCTCTTCGCCCAAGATCCATGGAAGAAGCTATGCCGGAAGCACCTCGGGAAAGGAAAGAACAACAATGACCGGCCGCGCCAACGGTAACAGTCGCAGAAGCCGCGTCATTAGTCTGCGGCTTTATTGTCCACTTCAACGAGGAACGACGCATCGCAACGCGTTCGGAAGGTGGGAGCGCCAGTTGTGAACTTCTGCGGCTCAGCAACACTCGCGTATGCAAGCCACACCTCGTCTTGGGGCGGATTTACTTTACTTGGACCGAAGGGAGCGACTGTGGTACAGCCTCTAGACAACGCAGATGCCCGACAATTTGGACATCAAAAAATGTCTCCGCAAAATGCTGGCTTGGCTGTATCAAGTCCAGCCCGAGGACAGGGTCAGCGCTTGCAAAGCTTACAGAAACGATGAAGTGCGAGGTGGTATCGCTTTCGCCAAGATTTGACCCGGGACACACACCTACAGTAGTTCGACGCTGCAAAAAACAAAGCATGTCTGATTCGAACTCCCGTGACCCAGGCGCGATATACCAAGTAGTCGGGAGTGCCTAGGTAGGAAGCCTTTGCATGGATGGGTCTCGGAAAGGAAAGGCCAGTACTGACGTATGCGCAAGGGTATCTATCGTAACTCCAACAACGATGCTGGGTGAAGTTTGATAGCTCCTTGTCCACAATGGAAGGATATCAGATTGTCTGTCTGGCAGGAAGTGGACCAGCGTACTTTGAGACTTATAGGTACATATCTCGGCTTTTACCCCAGGCGGCCGGCCCTAATTCACTCAAGCGTGAGGTGGCACAGCACTTTGCGGTAACAAGCTGGGGTCTGATATTTTTACTCAATTAATTACGAGCCGATTTACTCCTCATAACCCGAAATCTTGGTCCATCAGCAAGAGGTCAGTACTTATCCATTCCACGCCACGGCAGCCCCCACGCAGACACCTATTAGGTACTTACTTAAGGTAAGTACCTATCAGGTTCCGAGTAGGTAGGTAGGTACCCGCAGGTATCACGCAGGTGCTGAGTCATCGGCCATCTTGCAACTTGACCCAACATCATCCGTCGACTGTTGAGGCTGAAGAAGGGAAAACAAGAACGATTAATCCGTCTTCAACGTCTCCGCGCCCCGGGGCCGCCACCGTATTGTCTCCCCTGCTTGTAACCATGTGTCTCTAAGAAAAAAGCCAATACCGCCCTAATGTCTAATCAGAGCTACAAGCAACAAAAGGAGGACTTTGTGTCCAACCACTCGGGTGGTTCCGTGGCAGAGATAGCTGCCGTTACGGCCGTTGCACCAGTTTGTTTCCTCCAGACTTTGCCGGGCATGCGTGGCCCCCCCGTGCACTTTTCATTGTTGCTGACGACATGCGCGATTGAAAAACAACACAGGTTGCTATTCTGCTATGGTCTGCCCTTCAATCTCGCCAGTCCTTCTTCAGACCATACACGCCGCTCTCGTGTGCCGTCGACTTCTCCCTCTGCGTGGGCACATTCCTCCTCTCGACGACGCTCTACGCCAGCACGCCCCTTCTCCTGATTCTCTTCCTCCTCGCGCCCCTGGCATCCGTGTACATGCTCCCTGCGCCGACGGCACGCAAGAAGAGGCCCATCGTCCCGAAACATGTCAACCACACGGCGCCGCATCTGGATGTCTTGCCCGCCAAGCCTTTCCTCACGTCGTACCGCGGCGCGATGATGGTGATGACGTGCGTGAGCATACTGGCCGTTGACTTTCGCCTGTTTCCCCGCCGTTTCGCAAAGGTAGAGACGTGGGGGACGAGTCTGATGGACATGGGCGTGGGGTCGTTTGTCTTCACGGCGGGCGTGGTGGCCGCGAGGCCGGTCTTGAGGGAACGAGCGTCGGGGAAGAGCGTGTCACTGGCCAGGCGCCTCATCTACTCGGCAAGGCACTCGGCACCGCTGCTGGTGCTGGGCGTCGCTCGCCTCCTCAGCGTCAAGGGGCTCGACTACGCAGAACACGTCACCGAGTACGGCGTCCACTGGAACTTCTTCTTCACGCTGGGACTCCTGCCGCCCTTTGTGGCCACCTTCCAGGCCGTCCTGCGTTATGTTCCCTCGCACGCGGCGCTCGCGCTCCTCGTCGGCGGTGCGTACGAGGTGCTCCTCGGAACCACCACGTTGAAGGCGTACGTGCTCGCCGCTCCACGCACAGACCTGCTCTCCATGAACCGCGAAGGCCTGTTCAGCTTCTTGGGCTACCTGGCCATTTTCCTGGCTGGCCAGGACCTGGGCATGTTCATCATCCCCCGCGCCATCAACCCGCGCAGCCAGGCCGCGCCCGGAACCCAGCGCAACACGCTGCTCATGGCCATTGCCGTCTGGGCTGCCATTTGGTCTGCGCTGTACCATGTCTGCACGAGCCACTCGTTCGGCCTGGGCCTCGGCGTCTCCCGCCGTCTCGCAAACCTCCCCTACGTGCTGTGGGTGGCGTCTTTCAACACCATCCAGATCTTTGCGTGCTGTCTCATCGACACCGTTTTCTTCCCGGCAACGTACAGTGCCACGGATGGCAGGACGGAGAGGGAGGCGAATGAGTTTGCGACGAGCAGGGTTCTCAAGGCCTTCAACAGGAACGGCCTGGCCGTGTTCTTGCTGGCCAATCTGCTCACGGGACTGGTGAACATGACCATCAGAACGATAGATGTCGGCCCGGTGGTCGCCATGGCCGTCCTGTTGGGTTACATGGGTGTCGTGACGGGCTTTGCTGTCGTCTTGGACGTGTATGATATTTCCATAAAGCTGTAGTGCAACAGAGGTGGCTGTTTTCATCAGTCGCAGTCTCACTCGCGTGCATCTCAAGCCGCGGCAGTCCGAGGCTGGTGGTTCGTCCGCCACGGAATCCTCGTATCGGCCCAACGCAAGGGCCTGAAGTCTAGCAGAATAGGCTCGCGTGGTTGCTGCCGTCTCTAGCAGGTCTGCTGACCCCACTGGAGCTGTCTGCTCCTCCTCACTCCCCTAGTCCGGAACACAGGAGGCCGTAAGAACTAGACATGATGCAAGACAGAATCTGCACGTGTATTGATACTGCACTAGCTTGCCTAACACTACCGAGATTAGTGCTCGGCCAACAACACTATCCTGTATACTCGACTTGTTCCATTCCCAGAGAGGCAGTTACCAGCTGGCTACGCCCTGCTTGCATATCTCAAGGTACAAGCCGGCCAACGCACCGCACATGTAGAGCGTATGGCGAAATACCACTTGGTCATCCCTTGCAAGCGCGGTTAAATCTCGGGTTTGATTTACCCTCTGCGTCTCGAACCACGTAGTTACCCTACAACGCTTCATTTTGTCGCACAGGATAACTCCCTGTTAGACGTGAAGGAGCTTACAAAACTAAGCAAACGCCTTGTTATTAAACTGAACATCTGGAGAATCTGTTCCTTGACAGCTTAATTAAAGCTCAATATTACTATAGGGAACAATATCTGCTACTTGGTCTTCAATGCCCTCTTTCTCTTGTCAAATCTTGTACAGAAATTTTGGCGGCCAAGATACTTGCACAGCGAATCCAAAAACCTAGTTCACAACAAATACATGGCATGTAGAAGCATCTGCAAATTTGGTTTTGCTAATTCTTCGCCTCCAGATCGCGCTCTCGCTCCCTGAACGACCGCTGATGGTAGTGATGGTCATCTCGTCCCCGGTCATCGTAGTCATCCGCCTCATCTCTCCGGTGGTGTCGTTGCCTGTCGCCTTCACGTTCGGACTCCCGATCCCGCTCCCGTTGACGGTCCTTTTCACGATTCCTGTGACGTTCCTTCTCATCACTCTCTTCTTCACTTTCTCGGTGTCGGCGGTGACGATGATGCTCTCCGTCTTCCTCATTGACTTCGTCGCGCTCCCTCCCGTGATCATCGTCCCCCTCTTTTCGCCCTTCAGTCTTGTTGCGACGCCGCTCTACAGCAATCAGTTAGCGCCAGACTTGACGTCACAGCTACAAGGACTAACACTTACCTCTCAATACTTGAGTTGCCGCAGCATAAGCCTGAATCTCCTCCTTGCTCAAAACGCGCAGCACAATGACAAAATCATCGCGAACTTCAAATCTTTCCTTTCCAATAGTCAGTGCCTCGGGGTTAACAATCTTGCGATTGATCTTCGTCCACCTCGCCCCAGGAGGCGCCTCCTTCAATTTCTTATCCTCCTTATGAGGGGCTACACCCTCACGGACGGGATTAGCTTCTTCTGGGAAACTGGCTTTCGGCTGCTTTAAGATACCCTTCAACGGTTTGCCTTCGGATTTTTCCTTTGGAGGTGAAACAAGACGCACTTGCTTCCCTTGGGCTGCAGGACCAATATCTTCTCGACCGCGAGATTCTTCGCCAGACTTTTCTTGGAAAGACTCCCTTGATGACACATGAGGGGCTCGCTTTTTCGATGGAGATGGAGAGCGGCCTCGTGGTTTCTCTGCCGGTGTTGGTCGTTCGACTTCTCGTCGTTTATCGGACATTTCCATCGAAGCCAGTTGCTCCTTGAGCTGTTTCAAATCAGAGGCGTCGTTAGGGTTGAAGGCCTGAGAAGCACGGCCTCGCCGAGAGGATCTTTTCGTGTCATCGGAATCCGATCCCGTGGATCTTACAGGTTCTCTGCTCATTCGGAAATCTGCGTCGGGTCGTCGCCGCTCGAAGCCGCCATCATCCCTGAGTTCTTCCCTCGTGAACTCCTTTTCTCGCAAAGGATCCTTGACAGACTCCCTCACCGGATCTCTCTCGCGACGTGGTACAGGCTCCCGAACTGGTTCTTTTGACACGAGGACATCCCTTTCGGGCGCTGGAGGTCTCTCTCTAGGATGGTCTCGTTCTTGCGGAGGCTCCTTTTCTCGGAACAATTCCCGTTCCCGAAGGACTTCTTTCCCTCCCACTGGCTTACTGACTCTTTCGAATGACTGACGGGGATCCTGTTCTGGGATAGCTTCGTTGTGGATTTCACCATCATCCGGGAGGCTGCGGTGGCTTTTGGGGCCAGGTGACCCTTGACCTCTCATCTCTCCTGGTTTAGTTGAAGCTGCAAGGCTAGCAGCAGCTGCCGCGGCACCAAGTCCACCAGAAAGGGTCTCACGAGTCCGCGAGCGTTCCCGATCTTGGTTCTCTTCATCCCTTTTGGTCTGCCTCCAATCTCTTCTGTCATCCACGGGTCCCTGGCGATTCCAGCGACGATCTTCTCTGTCTTTATCCGAGCCATATGACACTTCCTCATCGGATCTCTTTCTTAGATCATTTAGTCGTGGTTCACGACGACGTTCTTTGGTTTCTTCCGGGTGGGTAAGATGGTCCGTGCGAATACCAAAGCCTCGTGATGGGACGTTATCATCGTAAAATCGAGGGGGCTCAGGGCGGCGCTCGAAATCTAGGTCACGCATTGCACGCATGGCGCGCTCGTCTTCTCGACTTCGATACAACTCGTCGTGATGCGATGACCGGAGTCCTGCCTCTTGGTGAAGTGATAGAGGTCGCGGTCTCCGGCCGCTGCCAGTCGGTATTTCGAGTTGAGACGTTGCACCAGTAGGTGAGGGTGGAACTGGCACAGCTGGGGGCACGTCCCTAGCATCATATGCCCGGTTGATCTTATCAAAACCACGAGTTGACGGCGGTGGGCCAGACCGTCCGTCATGCTGTCTGGTGCTGACCCCGTTGGGGGGGCGATTGAGGTCATGACTGGTGTTAATATTAAGATTCCTTCGATCTAGATCGTAGTTGACATTTGGGCGGTAGTATCCCGCATCAAAACTGTCATGTCGATCGTGTCGCCTAGAGCGGCTCGGCTTAGATTGATCCAGGTCGTACTTCACGAGCTCGCCAGCGTTGGTATACTGATAACCGTCGTCTCCATAATCAATAGCCGCCGTACTATGTCTTGGTTCACTCGGATAAATAACAGAAGGTCGAGAATTACGATAAGCTTCAAGGTCACGCGAGCTCAAGTGACTGTCAGTCCTGTCTCTATATCTGCCAAAATCTTCACTGGGGGAAGACACATAATATGAACGAGGTGCGCGGCGAGGACGCATAGAAGAGGCAGGTTGAGAGTAAACTTGGCCGTCTGAAGCACGAAAATCGTCTCTAATAGGGCTTCCAGATCGTGCGTTGGTGGAATGAGATGAAGAACCGTGACGTCGGTCTAACTGTGTTGTAGTGATGATCACTGGAGGCCTCGAAGCCGAGTCTAGCGTTGACCGACGCGTCCTGCTGCCGTCTCTGGTCCTGGAACTGGCTCTTGGGTTTTGGGTGACAGCATATGTTCTTGTAGTTGTGGGAACGCCCGAGGTGGTTGTGGAGGTAGAGTAGCCTCTCGGAGTGATGTAATGCCTTTGACTCGCAGACGGCACAACATGCATGTCTCCGGCGTACATAGAGCTGTACCCTACACTAGTCGGCATGGAAGCTCTGGCAACGTTGAAAGTAGGGGATCGACCCGAAGGCGTGGGAACGTAACCCACGTATCGATCCGACATGTTGGACGAGCCACGTGAAAGCCTTGGAGGATCTCGGATGAATAGGTAGTCGTGCCTTCCGACAACGCAGTTTGCTTCGCTCGATGTTAGTTCTCCGTCCACAAATCCAAATTATTCCCTAGACAGGAGGACTGGACCCGAAGATTTGAGGCGTTGTTGTTAAGATGATTGCTGCGGTGAGGAGTTGCGTTCGAACTGTCCAGAGCAACTCAATCTTCCCCGCGCTCGCCCCACAACAACGCTGGTCAACTTCCAAGGGAAAAGAGACAGGGCTGACAGATCAGCGGACAATCCTGAAAAATGCCCACAGGAGTAACGGCTGTGCAGAAGAAGGGGTTCGCAAGTCTGCCTTGGCGCATGCGCCAAGGCTGGACTGTAGAGAATATGTGCTGGAGATGGACTAAACGGATCGATAGCCAACGAAATGCTCCGGGATATAGTCCAACTTTTCTAGCATACGCTTTTTGTACTCGAAAAATAGTCGAAAGGATGAGGGGTATATTCTTGTTTCGCCTAAAAGGGAGACAAGCGGCGAAAGCGAAGAATAAAAGAACGGCTCCCAGACGCTCAATTATGCGGGGCTGTGCTTAAGGATGTGCCAGGGCCGGGCAGATGAGTGCAAAGATGTCGAAGACTGTGGAATGACGATTTGTCGCCAGGGTCACCGCCACTCTAGCCCCAGACTCAAGGGGGGCTTTTGGTGTTGGTGGGAACAAGCAGCAAACTTGAACAAAGGCAGTCCACCGACGTCACTCGCCTCTAGACCAATTGGGCTCCACACGAATGGGCTGAGGTTCCTTAAAAGCTGGAACTTTGCGACGAGTCGCTACTAGCGTTGCCAATGAAGACCGCCTCTTGGGCTGCAGCCCCTCAGATCCCGTCGGGCCGTGCTCTCAATCAATGGCGCTGTATTGTTCAAGGGCCAATTTACCTCTGGCCGCTCCGCAATTCAACTGAAGGGCCAGCCAGTGACGAGATGACGCTCGGGCTGTAGTAAGGTCTTGTTAGAGTTCTGGCAACCAGGAGGGAACTGATGGGTTGGGTGTTGCATACCGTTTGGAGATGGCAACTTCAAAACGTTTCGCAAGAACTATTTTATTAGCGCCTCGCAAAAAACCTGCACCTGCTCCCAGGATTCAGTTAATGCGCCTCTAACGCTGCGACTTGACTGCAGCCGCGAAAGCAACTACACAACGTAACGGCCCTTGTCCCTTGTCCACAGTCTGACCAAACTGTCGGCTCAACGACCCAGGAACCCTGCCGAGGGAGGGGTGGAGTGGCGTCTTCCTCTGCGACTCGCCTGTTGATGATTTGTGTGCCCGGTTCTAGAGCAACAAAAAATTAGTTCATTGCCACCGGCATTGCGCTGTGACGTCGTTGGTTGCCCTCGTACAACCAGAAATGAGGACTGCGCTCTTGTTATCCAGGAGTCTGTTTAGGCCGAGTTCTCCGCCACCCAGGTATCTGTCAGTCGGCTACTAGACGAGGAAACGACCGCTGTTCTGCTGTCTGCCATGTGCAATCAGGACAAACAGAGATTTGTTTTTAATTGGCACCGGTTCGCATGATCCAGTGACGTTGACCCCGTGTCGACTGCAAGAAGGTGGAGCTCCGGGTGCGGTTGCAGCGCTGGAAATTGGAATGCAGCCAGTGGACTGCCGTATTTTAGCTCGTGATGAACCGAAGGCTTTATTAGCTAATTCGGAAATGACTGGGAGGAAAGGCAACGGGCGGGATGCTAAAGGGGAAATGCAATCGAGAGATTTCGCCGCATTCATGCCAGAGAGAAGAAAAAAAAAAACAGACTTACACAATGCGGCCGACGTGGACCCGTCGACCTTTTTATCATGGGCAGGAGCGACGCAACAAGCTTGATCCCTTCACAATTCTCCACGTCCCTGTCTCCAACTCGTGGTCAACACCATTACATAGCCAAAGGGAAAAAAAAAGAAGGTATATTGCGGCCCAACCTGCCAGAGTCCAGGGCACTTGAATCAGGTCCTTGACCCTCTGTCGACATCTGGAAAAAAGTCGCCCCTCGGTCATCTAGCGCGACTATTCGCAGGCAATTATTACATACACAATTCTGCAGGGACAGTCGACGCTGCTAAGAAAAAAACCTATAGTTTACGTCGACGATGATGGCATCACCCGCAGGCACTAGGACTTCGCTCATACTTGATGTGAAGTCAATCAGTCGACGACAACCGTTAGGTGCGCGATAGGTTGGGCTGGCACAACTTTGCCTCACCCAACTTAAGTTGCCCGCCAACTGCTTCATACTTTGCCTGGCACCTGGCTGCCTGCCCACTGCCTCGAGAGTCGAGACAAAGTGAGTAATCCTGGTAATCAAAAGTTGGGTGCATGAGCTGATTTCTGTCCCGATGCGCAGGTCTGTTTTGCGATGAAGATCTTGCCCCATTTGCAGAGCGGTCGTCCTCGTAAACCACGTCGAAAGAGGAGTTTGTGCTGGATCGGGCATCAATAAGTACAAGGCCGAAACTAGCTGTAGCTCACACGTACCTGCATCCGCTTGATTGCCGAGGTCCTAGGTACACATCTACATCGAGCTACTTGAGTTATTGAGTGGATGTGGCAACAGGCACATATTAACTACGTGGCCCTGGGATAATGCAGTGTACAACGTCAACAACCAGGGTACTACTCGGCGACTCATTTGTTCTGCTAAGCCAGGGAATATTGGTGTATTCTACGGAGTAACAATGGTGGGCCTTGGGCAGTAGGGCATCCATTGTAACCCACACTCCCCAACTCATGATCCTTGGGAAGATGCCAAAACTAACAAAATTCATCAGGCAAAGGAGATACAGCATCCGGAAAAACATCGCCTTGGTGGCCCGAAACAAGAGGCCAATAACACGGCCTGGATGGTGTCAGGTTATGACGTTCTCATAACCAGCGTGTAGTGCCGTAACCCAGTTGATCGATGCGCCTCGAATCTCGGTGAATTAAGCAGAGCCGTACATACAATGGGCCTGCTTATTGAGAAGTTGGGGTCACCACTTGCATGCCAACAAAGTCTCCCCGCTCGATCAAACAACTACGATATATAAATGTGAAGCCAGAATTTTCCAGCCTGACATGGCATCAGCATATTCTGCCAAGAGAAGTAAGACGTGTTTCCAGTGTCTTTAAGTGGAGTGTATATCTTGCAAATAGCCATGTTGGCCATGGTCCATTGCGATATCACTGTTCCATAACGATCTAGCAGCAGAGTCTTAACAAATGCTCACTACGAGATCAACGAGTGAGGAAATGCCCTCGCATGACCCCCTCCCCTCGGAGGATGTAACTTAGATCCTACATCCTCCAGGAAATGTACAGAGCCAAAGAGGAAACAACACCAAATACGGCGACTGCAACGACTCAGGAGTACTGTGGCCGCATTAGATGCTGCATGCACGTAGCCTCCCCCCGCGTACACCACAGCCACCGAGCCGGGCCCGGAGCAGTCGCGTTGCGCAATCCCTTTGCAGTGCGTCCAAGTTAAAAGATCTGTCAACCAACTTTGAGAGTCTGTCGTGAGCTTCCGGAGACTCAAACTGCTAAATCCAGCAAAAAGAAAACGACAATTTCCCCGTGCCATTCGTCCATGCCCCCAGCCCAGGGCGAAGCGCCCGACTAGGCCAAGGAGCCCATGGGATCCCACAATGGCAAAACCGTCGGCTCCTGTCCAGCCACGTCTCTGACTTGCTTGCTCAGAAACCGGCGATCAACGACGGCCTGGTAAACAAACTCGTCCATCCACTCGTCCGTCATGACAAACCAGCCTTTGTCGCCTACATTCTCCGAGCCCCAACTGTTCTGCACCCTCCACCGCACCGGCTGCCCCGTCTTGTCATCCAAGTGGACCGCCGTCAAGACCATGGCGTGCGTCATCAGACTCTCGCCGGCGCGCAATCTCTGCTCCTTGGTCATGCCGAGCAAGTCGGTGCCGATGCCGACCTCGTAGTCAGAGACGTGGAGGTCCATGACTCCAGAAGATTTGTCGCTGAACTTGCCCACGTCGCAGCCAAAGAAGACTGGCATCCCGGCCCTGATCATCCTCACGCAGGCCTGCTTGAGTGTCCTCATGTCGACATTGATGTAGGTGACGTCTCGGCCGCCGACGACGTTGCCGAGCCTGTCGACGGTGAGGCGGGTCATGAAGTCGTTACGAGGGTCGTTGACGAGAGAGACCATGTCCGAGATGGTGTTGGCGTTGATTTGGAAGCCGGAGCTGGTGATGTTCTTGGCAAAGTCCTTGGGGGTGATGGCGAGAGAGTGGACTCTGTTGTCCTTGTCGGCGTACGTCCACGTGAACTCCTCGGTTGGGTTGGGCGTCGGCCCGAGGAGGAGCGTCACGATCTTCTGGACATCCTGCATGTACAGGATTTTCATGGCGGAAATGACACCGGGCGCCTGGCCGGCGGCAATGGCCCTGCGCAAGCGGAGAGCGCACTCGCGCAGCTTCGTCTTGAGGACCGTGTTGAGAATGCTCGAGTTCTGGGCGTTCCAGCTATCGGGGTATAACGTCTGAGGAACAAGACCGTACTTGTCAACCAGGTTGTACGCCATGTCCCACTGGCCACCGTCGGAGATGAGATCGTCCAGGAGCCTCTGGACGAGCCGGCCCTCCAGGTCCTCGCCGCACGTGTCGATGATTTGCTCGAGGAACCAGTTGGTTTTCTCGAGCTTGTCATAGTAGTAAAGGTAGCCCTGGGATAGCTCAAACGAGTCGAGACTGTACCGCTGCATCATGGCCACGCGGAACACATTGGTAGAGGCAAACAGCCAGCATCGCCCACTCGAGCGCTGGTTCGTAATGGGCGCGCCCTCAAAGGGGATCCTGGTGTTGAAAACGTGAAGGTTGGCAATCTTGGAGGCCCGCGAGGTCAGAGCCGTCCGGGGGTTCGCCGAGCTCAGAGTCGAGAGAGCAAGCCTGCCAGAGCAGCCCGCGCCTCAGCAAAAGAAGCCTTCTCGAAGAGTGACGTGCGGGATTGCTCCCTCAGCTCTGACATGTACGAACCTGTTTTGGGGATCCTCCAAAATCGTACGAGGCAGCCGAGACACGGCGTCGAGCGGCAAAGGCTCTGCCTCACGGGCAAACCCGCCGCTCTTCTCGTTCTCCTCGCCAGAGCCCTCTGCCCGTTCAAGTCTCATCTTGCGCAGACCATCAACCACGGCCTCGTCGTGCGCTCGAGATGCCGAGGGTCTCGACTGTTGGGCGCCCATGATTTGCGAGCGACTGGCTCTGCCAGAGCCTGCGTCTGAGGAGTATGAATGAGCCTACACAGCGGTCCGACTGTGGCTGTGTGACAAGTCAATCAGCTTGAAGCATCCCCAGCACAGGGACGGGACAACGACTATTTACGAAACGACAGCGGGCAAAGTCGAGACTCGAACTTGGCGGAAAATGGGACGACGAAGCACCCGACTCATTCCGAACCCCGTGCGCCCTTATAATTTAGTAGCCAAGCTTCCCCCGTCACGCGCACCCTCCTCCTGCTCTTCGAGGAAGGTGTGCAAGATAAGCCGAGACAAGACAGGCTCCGTCACCCATGCCATGCCACCCGTACAAGCGTACAAGCGACACGAGCTGCGAGGCTCCGTTCCACACCGAGCGGTGAGGGATGAACTCGTGCCCGACAAAGCTCGAGTGCTTCAACGCCGTGTACTTGCCGGCTCCAGAGGTCCTTGCGCACCTTGATGGTCCATATCAATAAGCCAACATTTGGCAGTATATTTCATCACGAAGAGTCCCGCCGTGAACTCGTCTGGTAACTCGGGTCAGCGTGCTGCCTACCGCACAATATGTAGGTGTGCTGACAGAACGCTCGAAAAGGACCATGGAAACGAGGCTGGAGGAGAGAGGGGGACGTAGTCACACAAGGAGACCACAACGACCAGAAATTCAAGCTCCTCCACCACGGAGCGAGGATGCTCAACATTTGTTCCTCTGAAAATCGGCCATTTCAGGCTTCGTCCAAGGTGGTCTTTGGCGTCAACGGTGGGCATTTCGACCTTGCCCGCCGTCAGCATATGACATACGCCGGAATCAGCGTTCCACAATCAACAGTCACATCTAGGCGTACGGTTTAGATATTCATCTCCATTGGTCCATGTACAGGAACGCCCCATCTACCTAGGTTCTCAATGTCTCCGAATTCCTGACAATTTGATTCATCCAAAACCATGTGAAAAATATCAGGTATGCTGCTATTTCTACACTCCATTGAGCTTAGATTTCACAAGCGCCAATGCATTGCTGTGGCTCGTCAAAGAAGTGTGGGCGGTTCTTAGAAAACAACATCCAAAACTGGTTTACAGGCGAGAGCCGTGAATGACCTTCATGTCGACGGCGAGCTCACGGCCACCGTCGTTGAGGACAAGAGCACGGACGCTGCCACGACCCGACTCAAAGGCAGACGACAGGCGAGCCCACAGGTTGGACTGGTCAATGACAGGCAGGTTCTGCTTGACGTCGCCAGTCTCAGTCATGGCGACAATGTGGCCACCCTGCATATCCAGGACACGGTACTGCTTGAAGACGGGACCGAGCATGGTCTGAACAATGACGCTAGGAGCAGGGTTGGACACGAAAGAAGACTCCTCGTGCAGCTGCTTGGTGAACAGGTCAACGCCAAGGTATCGGTACTGGCCAGTGGCATTCGAGGTCGAAATGCGGATGACCTGGCAAGGACGGCCCTGGAGCATCAAGAAGTCCCCCAGCCGGATGTGGTGGCAGGGAATGGTGACGGTGTTGGGCACATAAGAGCCACCAGACTGGACGGGGCGAGGGCGCGTCTCAGTCACGCGAATGTCCTCCTTGATATCCACGTCGACGTGGTCGTGGTGAGGGTGCACAATCTTGTCGGCAAGCTTATGGATGCCCTGGCGGAACGAGTGGTAGTGACCTGGAGTTTTCAGTTAGCTTTACTTGGCAATTCCGGATCGTGGACAAAACACTTTGATGGCAGCATACCGTCCTCGTCGTAGTAACCCATGTTGGACTTCTGTTGGGCTTGGCTAAAGCGAGCAGGCTCAACCGTCTCGTCGGAGAATTTGACTTGCTGATGAACCGTTGTCTGAACAGGTCGTTCTTCAACGGTGTACTGATTGACACGGGCGTCCTCGGCCTGGTACTGAGGACGAGAAGGAGCGTCTACGGTGGTGCGATAGACGGGACGGAACCGTTCACGGTATTCTCGCTCAGCAATGTCAATTGGGGACGAGTAGGGGCGTTGGTGAGTGTCGATCTTGATGCGAGTGTCGGTGTACTCAGAACGTCCTGGCCTGAAGCAATCAGAGTCAGCTGAGAAGCTTTATGCTTTGGTATGATGTTGGCAGTGGTTTCTACGTCAACAAAAGTTTTTGTTGTAACCGAATGCCCCTGACCTTGGGGGGTATGGGGGCGTATGATATAAGAACCCCCCTTGCAAAAGCAATGCGTGTCCAATTCAAGGCCAAGAACGGGGCCTCTTCCGTCACACCGCATCATTTTGTCACCTCTAGGCAGAAAAGGGTGGGAATTTGCGACCCCAGCGTTACGCTCGCGGCATGCAGGATCAAAGCGTGGTTATTCCGAGCCGTAGGTTCAGAGGGACATGTGAACCATGTCGAAAACGAAGCCGAATGCCGAGCAGAAGGGGGGGTTTAAACAATGATCGAAAAATACTGACCGAAAGTCTTCCTTCACGAATTGCTCCTGCTGGAAACCGGGACGGCGGTGACGCTCCTGGGTGAAACGGACCTCTTCTTCGCTGAAGCGGTGCTCGCGGTGCTCTCCACGCGGGGGAAGATCGACGTGGGCAGAGTAAGAAGAGTATTGATCTTGCCGTCCGGCTGGCTCCTGCTTCTGAGAGAGTTTGATATCAACCTCTTCGTGAGTCTGGATGGCGGTTTGCGACTCGCTGTCCCGATAAGTCGACGGGAAGATGCTGAAGGGGACGGGGACGCGGGCTTCAAAGTCCAGATTGGCGACTTTTGCTGGCGCGAGAGAATCTGCTTCTCATACAACCCTCCGTAGCCGACAGCACGAAAGGAAGACAAGAAGGATTCCCTGGCTTCTGTTGCTTGAACAAAAGTCGAAGAAAGAGAAGGGAAAAAAAAAAGGGCGTTGGGCCTTTTTGATGTCTTCTTCTTTCTTGGGAGGGAATTGACGTCTTGACTGATGTGGTTGAAGATAATTGGAGGGGAAGGATTCGTTTGGAACCGCGGGCAGACGCACCAGGGCTTTTGAGGGCGAAGAGCAGGATCGGATCAGGTAGGGCCTCGAGGCAGCGTTGTGTTGCCAAGCAGGGTGTGTCTATTAATCTTGGTGTTTATTCCGCCCGTGGTTTGTTTACTCTGGCCTAAAGAGGAATAGCCTTACATCTCATCTCCACCTCAGCATCAGGAGAAAGCCAGCTCGAGGGCGTGAGTGCGTCTCAGCATCCCAACATCTGTCCTCCCAAGCCCAGGGGAAAGAAGGCCTGTTCGTTGGCTGCATTGCACCAGATGGTTGCAACCTCGTCTGGAGGCGAAATTGGCCCTCTCGTCAAGCCCGGTTTTCTAACCATGTTCTACCAGTGTCAATGGAATGCGGGAGGCGGGAGGAGGGGAATTGGCGCCTTGTTCTGACCATTGCTAACAATTGGCGCTTCAATAGAGCACTACGTACCACGCTCATCACGGCGAGGCGTCTCAGACACGGGTCTCAAATTCGCCATTCTATTTCTGTGCTTCAGAGCTGGTGCTGTGCAGAACGGAGTCAACCCAATGCCCCCGCCAGAAGGGCGAGAGAGCGAAAGGGCCATGAACAAGTTTCATCAGACGCTGGGAAGCCAGAGTGTACTCCGTACGCGGCCCCGAATGTACATTGCACCCGTGCGTCTCCATCCAAGTAGAAAATGGGACCATCGCTTTCTTGTTTCTTCCTCTGTCTTGGCGGTGCAAAGCCTCCTCCTGTCTCGAGCCCTGGCAGCTGCCGCAGTGGCACCCCTGGCACAGGCAAAGACGGTCGTGCGAATCTGCTATTGGGTCGATTCATCACCTGGCTGCAGAACAGCTTATGCAAGAACACGAATGAATGATTGCCGAATGGACACGATAGACGTTAGGTACGGCACCTTGGGCAAGGCGGCAGGAGTAGGCTGACTGCGTGGACGACAGATGTACTTGGGCTCACCTCGTCCGTCGCCCTGCTGGCAAAACGGAGTACGTGCGTATGGGAGACGGAGTATATTCCTACACAAGTAGGTACCTAGGTAGGTTTCTACATCGCGGCGGCGTCTGAATCCACTTGGGCCACTGAGCCGCAGAGCTTTTTACCCAGCGACGCGTGAGCGTGTTTGCCCAAAAGACGGTTGATTGCATTCAAGGGTTGCCTGGCTAGATCGAGCTCGTGCTAGACCATCTGTTGCAAGATCCGTCGATGCTCTCAACGCCGCCGTCTGCTCAAGCCATCAATCACACTCGTTCAAGGTCAAACTCTGCTCTCCAAGGATTTGGCATCCTGTTGCTGTGCCAACAAGAACCCAGACCCTTGCTCCTTGGCTGCTGGTCTATTCGTGCGTGGCGCTAAGCAATCTGTAGCTTCCGGTCACCACTGACCCACGCACGATTCCGCGTTCTTCAAATTGCTTTTGCGTGTTGAGATGAGTGCGGGTCGTGCAGACGGGGTGTTTTCCTCGGCCAGAGCGCGAGATAGCAAACTAGCCGTGATTATGGTTGAGCCTGTGACGGTGATCTTCTGTTTCTGTGGAGACTACAGAGTGGCGGGAGGCCAGCCAACCGTTGTCATGTCTGTTGAACAGCCGACAGTCGGCGATGGCGCGATTACACGACGAATCCGTGGTGATCAAATTATCAATTGAGTTGAACTACACCGCCCATCAAATAACAGCTTTCCCCTACGGAGTACTCCGTACGCCCAGTGCAATATACCCGGTACTGTTTCTACCGGCCCAGGAGTGGCAACGCTGGTTTCAAGTTTCAACTCGAGCCCGGGTCTCGATTGCGACCTTAGTCAGCTGCCTCGACACGTGATCCAATGTCGTCACCCGTTTTGGGACTGACTCAGCTCGGCATGAGCTGCCCCGCGATGACGGCCGACATCGACCATTTTTTGCCCCACGTTAAACAAGTGTTCCTTCCAGAAGATCAGACTTGAATTGCACCCAAAGACTTCTGGCTCGATGCACCTTGATCCCTGACTGCGCTTTACAAACCAGGCCAGTACACTCCAAAATCAAAGATGAAGCAAAGATTTTCATCGTTGGATGTCAAGGTGCGTTTATGCAAACCCGCTTCTCGAGACTGACCACTTCTCACACCCTTCTGTACTTTTCAAGGTAATCGCCCACGAGCTCAATCAGAGCTTGGTGACGCTACGTCTAGCCAACGTGTACGACCTTTCCTCAAAAATCCTCCTTTTCAAATTCGCCAAGCCCGATAATAAGAAGCAATTGGTTGTTGACGCTGGATTCCGCTGCCACTTGACGGAATTCGCGCGAACCACAGCGGCTGCTCCATCAGCGTTTGTCGCTCGACTTAGGAAGCTCCTGAAAACGAGACGATTAACTTCAGTTTCGCAAATTGGCACTGACAGAATTATCGAATTTCAATTCAGTGACGGCCAGTACAGGCTTTTCCTAGAGTTCTTTGCGGTACGAACCACCGCTCTGCCTTGAACCATTGAAGTGGTGGCAAAAAAAATTAACGCACTGCACAGAGCGGTAACATAATTTTGACCGATGCCGACTTGAAAATTTTGAGCCTCGCCCGAAATGTCCCGGCAGGAGAAGGTCAGGAAGCTCAACGCGTTGGCCTGCAATATTCACTCGAGAATCGACAAAATTTCCACGGTATCCCCCCTCTAACTAGGGAGAGGGTGCAAGCGGCCTTGAGGTCGGCGGCTGACAAAGCTGCCGCTCCTTCGGCGGCCAAAAAGTTGAAAGCGAAGCCAGGAGGGGATTTGCGAAAAAGTTTGGCCGTATCTGTCACCGAACTCCCTCCGGTACTCGTCGACCATGTCCTACAATCCAACGACTTTGATACAACTGTGAATCCCGTCGAAATACTTGAAAACAATGTACTGCTAGATGAGCTCGTCAAGCTCTTGTCAGAAGCCAAATCTTCTGTTGAGAATATAACCAGCTCTGAAACATGCGCCGGCTTCATCTTTGCCAAACGACGAGGTGGTATCCCCGTTGAGGAAGCCCAAGGCGGCGAGGTAGCGACAAATCGCGACGTACTACTTTATGAAGATTTCCATCCGTTCATCCCTCACAAATTTCAAAAAGACACAAGCATAAAAACGTTAGAGTTCAAAGGCTATAATCAAACAGTGGATGAGTACTTCTCGTCACTAGAGGGGCAGAAGCTAGAGACAAGGGTCAACGAGCGAGAAGCAGCGGCAAAGAGAAAGCTTGACGCAGCCAGGGCAGACCAGGCCAGGAGAATTGAGGGCCTACAAGATGCCCAGGCATTGAACATGCGCAAAGCGGCTGCTATCGAGGCAAATGTGGAGTGGGTACAAGAAGCCATGGATGCCATCAATGGCCTACTGGCCCAGGGCATGGACTGGATAGATATTGGAAAGCTTGTTGAGCGAGAGAAGAAGCACAAGAACCCTTTGGCGGGCATTATTGTCCTTCCGCTTAACCTCGGCGAAAACTCGATTACGCTCAACCTTGCCGAAGAAGAAGAAGAGGAGAAGGATGAGGAGGAAGGTGAGGAGGAAGCGAATCCATTTGAGACAGATGACAGCGATTCCGAAGAGGAAAAACATGCCAGCACCATCTCAAAAGAGGCAGAGAAGCCGGTCAAGGGCTTAAATATTGAAATCAATCTGAAGCTGAGCCCGTGGAGTAATGCCCGAGAGTACTACGAACAGCGGCGGACAGCAGTTGTGAAGGAAGAGAGGACGCAACAGCAGGCATCCCGGGCCCTAAAAAATGCAGAGCAGAAGATTGCGCAAGATTTGAAGAAAGGCCTCAAGCAGGAAAAGGCTCTTCTACAGCCCATCAGGAGACTGTTGTGGTTCGAAAAGTTCCTCTGGTTTATCTCCTCAGACGGTTATCTTGTTCTGGGCGGCAAAGATGCCCACCAAAATGAAATATTGTACAAGAGGTATCTTCGAAAGGGTGACGTATATTGTCACGCTGACCTGAGAGGAGCAGCAAGTGTCATCATCAAGAATGACCCAAGCAGCCCCGATGCACCCATACCTCCGGCAACGTTGGCACAGGCAGGTAACCTTTCGGTATGCGCATCTGAAGCATGGGACCAAAAAGCAGGTATGGGGGCATGGTGGGTTAAAGCGGACCAAGTTTCCAAGTCGGCACCCACAGGGGAATTCTTGCCAACCGGAAGTTTCACGGTGCGAGGACAGAAGAACTATCTGGCTCCGGCACAGCTTATACTCGGTCTTGGGATCATGTTTAAGATTACCGAAGAAAGTAAAGCGAGACATGTCAAACACAGAATACACGATGTTGACCCAGGTTTGGGCTCGGACATGGCGAGGGAACGCAACGACAAGCCAAGCATAGCGTCGGTGGCAGACTTCCGGGAGAAGGAACCAGAAGACGACGTATCTCAGTCCGACAATGACAGTGATGACGGCCAAGAAGAGGAGAATGCTCGCGCAAACCCATTGCAGACCCCTGGTGGTGCGGAAGACGACGAGGTCGAAGAAACCGCAGGCGCAGCATCCTCCTTGAATCTCACAGAGCAGCCAGCTGATGAGGGCGGTAGCCAGGAGGAGGCTGCAGAAACTGGCACGAGCCGCGATGAGCCGAATCTAGCAGTCGGGACAGATGTGTCCGAAGCACCTACCAGGACATGGAACCCCACGACACAAACCGGCGGCGCGCGGTCCTCACACTCCAAGAAAGGGCCACCCAAGCGCGGCCAAAAAGGCAAAGCGAAAAAAGCTGCTCTCAAGTACAAGGACCAGGACGAGGAGGACCGCGCCGCCGCCGAAACACTGATTGGCGCAACCGCGGGTCAGAAACGGCAAGAGGCAGAGGCCAAGGCCAAGGCGGATAGGCAAGCCGAACTAGAAGCGGCCAGAGAACGGCGCCGCGCCCAACACGAGCGACGGCAGAAAGAGATTGCGGGCCACGAAGAGATCAGACGAGTCATGATGGAGGAAGGCATCGACGTGCTCGACGCGGACGAGGCGGAGAAGGCCACTCCCCTCGATGCTCTAGTCGGCACCCCTTTGCCGGGCGACGAGATTCTCGAAGCCGTACCCGTGTGTGCTCCGTGGAACGCCCTCGGAAAATTCAAGTACAAGGCCAAGATGCAGCCCGGCGCCGTCAAGAAGGGCAAGGCCACCAAGGAAATCATGGAGCGCTGGAAAGCGGATTCCGGCAAAAAGGGCGCCGTGGACGAGTCCTCCCTCGATTCGGAGAAGATGTGGCCCCGTGAGGTAGAACTGATCAAGGGCATGAAGGTGGAGGAGATTGTAAACTGCGTCCCCGCAGGCAAGGTGAGGGTCATGATGGCTGGCGGCAGTGGCGGCGGCGGCGGCGGCGGCCGAGGCAAAGGCAGCAAGGGAAAGGCAAAGAAGTAGACACGCTGCAAGGAGCATCAGTTCAAGCCAGAATAACATCAATAAACGGATGGCATCTAGCCGCCGGGGCAGACTTCGTCGCTCCGCGCATACATGAATTGCCCAGCGCACACCAAAAGACGGGGAAAAAACAAAAAAAAGAAAAAAAGAAAACCACGCTGCACCACAAATCCGGCCTCGCTCATCGAATGACTTCCACCCTCTCGACCCTCCTCACGTCGTCTGGCATCCTCGCGATGCACAGCTCCCTGCAGAACCGGCCCCATTGGCCGCTGGTGCCCTCCCGCACGGCGTCCTGCAAGTCGACGCCGTACCGCTCCCTGTACGACCTCTTGACGGCCTGCATGTGCGCCGGGTCCCAGTGGAAGCGGACCAGTCTCGAAATGAGCAGCTCCCGGCGGAGACGGTCCCTGCGCGACGCCGTGAGCGCGTGGCTGAGCAGGAGCGCGTCGCGGACGGGCCTGTTGATGACGCCGTTGAGGACGTGGGCCAGCACCTCGCCCTGGAGAAGAACAAGTCAGCAAGCACCCTGCACCCTGCGGGGGACACACGTACGACCAGATTGCCGCTCTTCTTGAGCGCCTCGCGCGCAAAGTTGGCGCGGTAGCGGCGCTCGTACTCCTGCAGCACGAGCCGGAGGTGGGTGTCGCTCCTGGTGACGACGACGGCAATCATGGCGCTCTCGCCGCCCTTTTCGGCCCTGACCGCCCTGCGGAGGTCGTCCACGTCCTGGTCGACGAGGCGGTAGTCGACGGGGACCGCGCGGCCGTAGGCGTCGAGGTCGTCCATGCGGCGCTCGTCGAGGACCGTGAGGACCGCCCTCTTGAACTTGTCCTCCTTGAGCTCCACCCTCATGCACTGGGCGAGGCTGTTGTCGTACTTCTTGTCGGTGAAGGACTGCTTGATGCGGCGGATTTCGTCGTTGGTCCTGCCCATGAGGGACTCGACGAGCAGCTCGCGGCGCGTCTTGTCGCCCTGGTACCAGAAGTTGGCCCAGTACGCCTCCGACTCCCACTTGCCCAGGGCGACGGCGTAGCAGGCCTTCATGAGGCTGGGGTCCTCGTCTTTGAGGCGCGCGCGGATGTGCTTGGCGATGTTGACGCCCTTGCGGTCGGAGCCCGTCTTCACGATGCGCTTGTATTCGCTGCGCAGCTCCATGACCTGGTCGTGCGTGAGGCTGGGGAGGATCTCGACGAGAGGCCGGGTGTCCGGGGGTCCGTTCCCCCTGAGGGCCTGGGCGAGCGTCGCGGCGATGTCTTTTGGGTCGTGGAAGCGCGCGCGGCGGGGGCGCCTCGTGCCGTCGGGACCGTCGGCGTCCGAGTCGAGCGGGGAGAGGGCCTCCTCGATGGCCTCGGGGTCACTGCTGGCGTCTTTGGAGGCGATGAGGAGAGGGGACGGCATGGGCGAGCAGTCTTGATACGTGCCCCTGTACGACTCGAGGAGCGGGGAGGCCGGCGCGGTGGCGAGGGACAGGCCGCTTGAGCGGCCGGTGTCGACGGCAAGGCTGGACATGAGGCTTGTAGGCGGCCTGGGGGACCTGTCGCGCGCGCCGCCGCCGCGACGGTCTTTTGATCGGTCCCTTGACCGGTCTCTGTCTTTGCGACTGGCCTCCGGAGCGAGGGTCGACGGGCCGGGAGACTTATCTCTCCGGCGATCGCGTGGTCCGTCTCCGTCGCGGCTGCCAGGTTCAACGGTCAAGACGTTGGCGGAACCGCGAGAGTCATCTCGGTATGAAGGCGCGTGGCGAGATTTTTGAGCGTCGTAGACATCCTCGAGCGGGCTGGCTGGTCTTGGTCGGCGGCCATCGTCTTCGTCTCGGCCATAATTTGAGGAGCGCTTGTCGCTGACTCGAGAGCCGGAAATATAGCTGCCATATGTAGGGGGCGATTCAGATCTCTGATAGCGAGACGGCCCTGGAGGTTTGCCGTAGGCTAAATCGTCTTGGTCGCGCTCCTTGTTGGACCTTCGGTCGCGGCCACTCGTCCTGTCCTTGTGGCGCTCGGAATACCTGTCGTCGCGATTGCCACTGGCGTCGTCAGCATCGTAGCGACGACCGTACTTTTGCGGGAGAAACTTGAGCTTGTCGTCTGCAGTGTCATCTCGCGAGTCTCGCGACTTTTCTCTGGCAGGAGAGGGGTTGCGGATACCAGGGCCCTCATCTTGCCGCGCATACTTGTGAGACCGCCGAGCGCGCAGGTCATGGTGGCCGTCGTCTGACCTGTTCCGCCTCTCATGCTTGGAATCCCTGGGGTCCGTATAGCGCACACGGCGCTCCTTGTCGTCGTCCCTCGCCAAGCGCTCGGCGTCTGGGAACGACCCGGGCAGCAGGCTGGGGTTTTCGCGCGAGCCACGATGAGACGATTCCCTCGGCGGGGAGGCCGTCTTGTAAACAGGTCGCGTATCATCGTAGCTGTAGAGCGATTGGCTTCCGGGGAGCATAGTATCCATGCCGCCCTCGGAAGGGTAGGGCAATCCCCCGCCATGGGCCGAGTCGCGGTAGCCTCGAGACGTGTACCCATCGGCCAGGTCGTCCTCGGGATGGACATGGCTGGGTTCTCGCACGTCGGCAAACCTGGTCAGGCCTGGGCGCCCGGGTTCACCTCTGGGACGCCGGTCACGAGACGTGGACCTCGATCTCGAGCGGTCTCTCCGACGGTCGTCCTCCACGGCGAGAGACATGACGGGGCGTTCTGAATGAGCAGGCGAGGGTTGGAGGTTGAAGATGATGGTTGATGAGTTGGCCGCCAGCGACCGGCTGTACACCACCGCGCAGAAGCGTCAAGACAGTCAACAGTCCCGGGGCCATCTATATCAGAGAAAAGGGAGGCAGACGAACGACCAGGCTAGTGCAGGGCGCGGCCGACAGAGACGACACCCGCAGCGTCTTGGCCGTGACGTCCCAGGTGCCATCGGCCGGCTGACGGCTGATGGCTGACGGCGGATGGCTGATGGCTGAGCCCCAGCCGGCTGCCGCTTGTAGTGTCGGCCTCAAGCCAATGGGGAGCTCTGACGGCGGGCCGGTCGTCGAGTCCGCAAAACCATTGGCTGTCTGGTGCTCCACGCCTGACACCTGCCCCGGTTGACAGGAACTGCAAGGAGCTTTCTGCAAGTTGCTGACAGAGTGCGCTGCCGGCGGGTCATGGCTCCACCCGCCCGTCAATCAATCGCCACCAGAACCCGCACCGGTTGGTGGCTGACGTCCCGACCGACGTGAAGCTTGGGTGGAAGCCGCCACATTGCAGAATCTAGAATCCAGATCAATCACGGCCCCGACGCGGGAAGGCCCGCAGGTAGTTACTACTGGTGCGAGTCCTCTCCCCTTCTTCTTGTTAGCTAGCACGCAAATTCAATGCTCCAGACCTCCAGACCCTCGCCGGATGTCTGTCGTCTTGACTCTTGACTGGACTCCCGTGGACATTGCCGCTGCCCCAGCTCACCACCCGGTGCTTCGTCACGTCCTGTCTTCCACGCCTCGCCAAGACATGCAATGCAATGAAGTACTAGTAGTACGTAATACCACCAGTACCACGCTGGCTGAGCACTACTGCTACTCCGTACGGACTACGTACTTCGCTGCGTCATACGGGCAGCCCGGCTGGGCGGAAACATGGAATCGACTCGCGTGACCTCGTGTTGCCATTGCGGCTATACGTGTAACCACCAAAGATGACCTCCCACCACCTACAACACATGGTTGCTACCCAAGCGACAGTTTCTTCCTTTGCAAAAAGAAAAAAAAATAGAGGCTTTATTCGACAGCCTTGGGAGCCCGTCCGCCGCGTTGAAACACAAACAGAGCTTCATCCTTGCCCGCAAAACTCGGCAGCGCTATCTGCACAACCTTGACCCAGTCCTTCCTCTCCCTCGCCATGTACTCGTCCATGGTCATGCTCTTGAATCCCGTATACCCATTGCGGTTCTGTGTTCCCACGACGGCGAGAGTATCGCCGTCGTAGGCGTCGACCAGATCGCGCGTGAAGCCGCCCTCGGTCCCGCCCCCTATGCCGCCCCCTACGACGGGATACACCAGCAGCAGCGCCATGTCCCTGCCCCGATTGTTCCTCTGCAACCACTTGACCCCGTCCATCATGTCCGTGTCGTCTATCCAGTTCACCCGCCACTCGCTCTGCATGTTGTCCACGGCGTGCACGGTGAGCCCGTACCCCCGGAGCATGAAGCTCCAGTAGCCGTTGCCCGAGCCGACGTCTGCAATGGGCCGGCCGTCTGCGAGGATCCGCAGCGATTCCAGGCCCTCGTGGGACGGCGTCACGCAGCCGAAGTGGTGCATCAAGATTGGCAGGACGTGGTGGCCCATGGCCGTTCGCTCCGAGCTGGCGTTGGGGCCGCACCACTCGAGGTTTCGGCACGACCACGCCCAAAAGTCAAGGTAGGGGTTTTGTATGGGCGGCGGCGATTTGCATTTTGGAATGGTCAACTTGGCGAGCAGGCCTGGGTGAATGAACCTCTTTGCCGACAGGTGTGCCGCGGTTTCGCATCGCAGCGAGCCCTTTTTGGCATTTGTGGCCAAGTTTTTGAGCGCCGCTGCTGTAGCTGTGCTTGGCTTGAATATTGAAATGTATGCTTCTATGTCGCCTTGGGGCGGGGGAGGTCTCTGGGTACAGGTTTTTATTGCACAGTCAGTCCATGACAGCCCCCCGCTTTTTGATTTTTTTGGTCTTGATCGTGACATGTCTTCAGGATAGTGGCACTCGACAAGGGAGGGCAAAGAAATTGGGGTTGGGTCGGGTCGATATGTAATCTCACAGTTGAACCGTCCTCTGCCTTGTACCATGCATGTAAACCATTGTCACCGCCCCGATCGACCACATGCTGGGCTTGTGCGAGCTTCACAGACGCAATTGCATGGTAGATATAGACGTCGGCTTCAGGCAGCCCGAGAAGCACGCGGCTTGCTTCATACAGGTCATTCTTGGAGAGCAAGTCTCGTGCTCGGTTCAGCTTGTCCTGGTTCCTGGCTATGTCGTCTGGTCGAAAAGACGGGTTTCCCACGCATCGCGCTCTGGCTTTGGACGGACGCAGCATCATCTCGAGATTGCTCTGGCACGGCTTTGTATGTGGCTTCTGCCGACAAGTTTGTCACTCGCTGCTGGCTTGGATAACGTCCACGAGCCGCGGTTGCTCGTGTTATCCTACATGAAATGATGGGGCGAAAATGGTTCTGCTCCCAGTGGACTCGGTGCTCGTGCAACGCTCCACTATTGAGAGGCTCGCTAGGGCTCACCATCTAGAGTACAAGTTCGTCCGTATGGAAGCCACGATGGGTTTTGTTCTCTCTGAACCAGAGTCGTCAGTTAGTGTCTAAATTCCTTGTAACTGACGTGAGCAGTCCTACCTCAGCGTCGTATTTGCGAGCAATGGGCCTGCACAGCACATCAAACCCGCCCATGGATGCAATCAGGCATTTTAGGGTACGGAGTAGCAAGTCCGTGGCCCGGAATGCAAAACCAAAATACCTGCAGGTTACTTGACGTGTTTCCTGAGCCTCATCAGTTTCTTGATTGATGCCAGAGCTCGACCCGGTGTTGCATTCTGCAGCTCGAAACAGATTTGAGCCTTGTCCCCCGACGATGCTCGGTAGAAACGACGAACTCGTAGCAAAGGCCTTTGGTTGATTGGGGGGGCTGTATTGTCAGATGAACAGAGTAGCTCCAGAGTCCAGCCCTTCATCTTCATGATTTGATTCGTGCAAGGTCATCTTCATGATTTGATTCGTGCAAGGTCTCATCGACGAATCTACTAGAACGGTGAGCGAAATGAACAGGCTCCTCTCTCCCACACGCAGAGACCCAAATAGGGCGGTAAAGTTTTTTTCCGCTGATGCGCATGTTGCGATGCTGTGTCTGCTATTCCATCTTTGTTACAACAAGCAGCGCTCTCTCCGAATTCCGTCGGGATGCTTGTTGGACCCTAGCCAACTCTATTCTTCACCTGTATGGGTTGACTCGTCATTTCTCCCAAGTTGCTGAGGAGAGTGGCAAGCAAACAAGGCACGAAAGCCCTGCAGAAGTGCTGCTTGTCCGTCCATATATTACGGAGTACGCGTCACAAGGTACTACCATCAGTGTTATTGTCCATGTCAAATTCAGATTCCTGATGGTGACGATGGCAATCGCGGACTTTCTGGGCCGTAAATGGATGTTTCGAGAACGATATCGCTGGAGGTATCGGCCGAGATTCAGAGCAGAAGCAGTCTCGTGTAACGGTCTGACTGCTCGCAATTGACGTGATATCCTAAAATTTGTCAATCTCGATGGCTACATCGAATGCAGCGACACGCCCTGACCCGTAGGCGGCTCAAAAACACGCCTCAAGCCTAAGCAAAGACCGCCCAAAAACTCCCCCCTTTCGCATGGATTGCAGCTAACAGCAAAGATGACACCGCAACCGCCGGTACGTGCACTGCGGGTTGTTACTGCGGTTGTGTTATCATTGATACACCGGGCTGCTTGAAGCCACCCAAGAGAGATGCCCCTGCCTGCAAGTTTTCAACTTTTGGATGCTTGACGTGCGCCTGAGGGCATTGTCTCACGGGCAAAGGCATACCGCTCAATTGGAAATGCGCATACGCCTGGAGCCAACAGTACCCGCGACATGCGACAACACAGGAGACACATGTCAACTAGCGCTTCTTGATTCCTCAGCTTGTTCCCAGCATCAACTATATCGAGTTCCTTTTTGGCTGCTGGCTGCTGGCCGCTGTCACCGCCACGGCCGTGCCTCATGTTCGGGCCCCGGATGCGACAGGCTGGCCGTTCAAAGTTCAAACCAACGGCCTAGGCAAGGATCATGTGGGTTGCTGGCACGGAGTAGGAGAGTATCATAATGACAAAAAGCGCGCTTGAAATTTCTGCTGCTGCGCTGTATCAACAAAAGCGGCGAATTCAACGTTGGGTTATTGAAGTCAGGATAAAATAAAATAGAAATCAAATTCAATAAAATACAACAAAATTGCAGTATCAAAGAGAAAGAGACAACGCGGTTCTGCTATTGCCTTCGGATGCGCCTAGAGACGAGACCAGAGTTGAATGACGGTGTGAGCAGCGGTTCCACAAGCCTTTCAGTATACTGTAGCGGTCAACGGGTGTCAAATTGTCAAACCATTACCGACCGGTGGATCAAGATAACAAATAATAGATCGGCGAACAAACTGACCAGAGACAGGGATAAAAGCATATGCAAGCTCCGAATCGCACTCAGAGCGTTGACGTGGAGGAAAGCGGCTCCGTAGCCGGCCGGATGGATTTATGTCGAGGAGCCGGGCGCAACGTCGGGCGTGCGACATTTGTTGAAGTGGGCAATTGCAAGTCGTGCTGGGCCAGAAGGGAACCAGGCATCCCGTAATGTGAAGATGTGAAGACGAATCGTTGAGAGATGCCAGGTTCACCTTCACCTGTTGCTGGAACTTGTCTCCAAGCTCCATGGTCAGAAAAGTCAACCATTGTCTGGTTTGAGGGAGGGCCATACAAGACCAAGTCTTGGGAAGGTGCGGAGGAAGCGCTTGAGCTGTTAGATCAATCAATATGATGCCTGAAGTACGGAGTACTCCGTACCGTCGAGGCAGGCGCGACCTACACAAACGACTTGACAACTACGGAGTACAACAATCACGACATCAAGAAGAACAACCCAACGGCCAACGCGGGCCGCACGGCGCACGGTGGCGCCCTTCAACAGTCGACTGACGTCGTCCTGGACAAAAGAAATTACATCATGTGCGGCAAGCAAATATAACACAGAAATAGCTGATATACGGGCCGTTGTAACAGCAGTAGGGCCAGGGGCCACATTAAAAGATTACTATTCCGTCGTCTGTGGACGGAGCACGGCTGTGCTCACAGATAGATGCTTGCTTTGTCGGCTGGCGGCTTGCGACAACCTTTTGTCTGGTAGCACCGGCCGATGCACTTGGACCGTTAGCTCGATGACCTTTATCCCAATCTGGATGGCCCCCATCCATTATGGAGGAGGGAGGAGTTGCTACGTACTCGGTGGTGCTAGGATTCGATCCATCCCATCCCGACCCGAGTTGCTGATCCCGTCGTCAGTCCACATGCCAGAGCAGCACGTCGACTCCGTTACTATGGCAGTTGAGGTGGTCCGTGTCGCTCCTTTCCCGCCTCACCCCCGTACTCCTCCTGTAGGCTGTAGGAGCCCTGGGAATTAACCTACATGTTGTTTCAGCCGCAATCCCTCCGTGTTCATTTGTACGTGTGCACGCAGCACAGTACGTTGTACTTTACTTTCTTGTTTCCTAATCCCACGCCAACGTCCTTCCCTCGTGTTTAGAGCTTTTCGCCCCTGCACGGCCTTGTGGCCCATCGCACCTTCCCCTTGGCGATGGTATACGGAGTACCTAATCGTGCCCGCCCCACTTTATGTGGTTCGGCTAGCAAAAGCCCTCACCACCAAAGGTGGTGCTCGACAGCAAGGCGGGCCGGACACCAAGGCGGGCCAATTTTCAACCTAATAACGCTATTAACCTCTTCGCCTATAATGTACACCCTTCTCGTCCCAAATTTCTAGTAGATCTAGTACAGAATCCAGACGCCATTTACGTGCCTTTTTAGCTGCTTCAAAAAACGTCCTCTTGGCGTGGTTGTGGCGCCTTTTGTCGGCATGCTCTTTATGCTTGCTGTTCGCCTGATGAACTCGAGAAAGGTCTTTGCAAAGGCGTGATTGGAAGGAGAAACGGCGAATGGTTGACGCGACAGGTATGCATTTGTTGGCGGTGACGGGAGGGGAGCCATATGAAGAGGTGCATTATCTGTTGACTGTTTTTCTAGACCGGGAAATAAAAATAGGACATGTATAGAAAACCAGATATTACAGCCCTTTTTAAAAAAAAAATCAAAAAAATCAAAGGTCGTCACTCATTCATTGGAAGCTTCAACGAAAAAAAAAACCCCGGATGTAATTACGCAGCTCATTAAAGATCCACCTGATCAATCGCCGGCCACCATTGAGACCAGGCCCCCTGCTCGTCGAGGTTATTGCTGACTTCCGCGAAAAGCTGGTTCAACAAGGTATTAGTGTCGAGCTCGTGCTCGTGCTCGTGCTCGTGCTCGTGCCCTTGAACCGGCCAAGTCGCCTGCGCCGAGGGCCGCTCCGCGCCCCGAATCTCCCGAGTATGCGCGTCGGATCTATCCACGACACGGAACTCGTGGACAGACTGGTGTAGAGTATCAAAGTCTGCTCGTGTGCGCCCCTGGTATCGTGTCCGGTCCTCGGTTGCTCGCTCGTAGAGCACGGATGCATGGTGTATCGTTTTGATCTTGCGCGTGCCGCCCTCTCAATGTTAGCGCAACGGTGGCCACGGTCGTGTCATGCTTGCGGGCGGCTTACCCATCCGTCGGCGATTTTCCAGACAAGTCGAAACTTTTCCAGGTAGTCGAGACACATTTTGAGACAGTCGCTTGCTCGCGGGCTGCGGCCCAGGTTCATTCGGGGGTATTTCGCCACGTAGAGGTTGAGGTAGCCGGCTGAGAATGCGCAGAACCCGGCAAAGGGCGTCATGAGATGCACGCCACACTCGGAGGCCTCGTGTAGAATGGCGGCGATGTGCTCTGCCGCGCCGAAGAGGAGTCGGGAGCTGTCGTCCCACCAGCCCTCGGGGGCGGGCGCCCCCAGCATGGGCTGGTCGACTGGACCCCGTGGCTCCGACTCCGGGGTCGGCAGGAAGGGGAAGTACTCGCGGTGAAGCATGAGGGTGCTGACAAGGCGTAAGCAGGGGCGGCGGCGGCAAGTTGGGAGCCCCGTCGACCGCTACCGCTGTGGGAAGGGGATTCTTACCTCACGTAGTACAGGAGATTGAGGTAGACGAACGTCTCGCCGAAGCCGAGCGTCATGTGGACGGCCACCGAGTTGCTGGGGTAATGGAGCTTCCGATGCTGGCCTGCCCTCCAGGCCTCTACTGCCGGATCGCCACATATACCCTCCTGATTTGGGGGCGCTGCCGAGACCACCCAGCAGTTGACCACCACCGACCGGGTTGATTGGACCACGGACTGCCTGACCAAGAACCAAACAACCTTCCAAACGCGTCTGGCGGCTGCCCCAAGACTCGGAGACTCCAATTGCATCATCAGTCTGTCTGTTGAGCCCTTCTTCACACCACCCCGATCCAGTGCTCCTCCTGCATTGCATTACCAAGTACACGTCCACGTCGACTTCTTTTTGAATCTCCCTGTTCGTCACACAAAAACAAAACCTGGCTGTTGTGGACCTGGAAGCCGGCTCCTCGGGCGAGCAAGACTGATTTGTGCGGCCACACTATCGGCCTCATTGCTCCCGTTCTTTTTTTTTTCGGCTTGCCCAATTTCTTCGCTTGCCGGTCATTGTCGGGAAGGGAGAACATCGATGTCCACAATTTCAGTGCCGTGTCGAAACTTTTACTCTCATTACGCATTGGTGTATGGAGTATACATATATACCCTTCTACTGGCGCACTATTACTCCATCATCCCCGTCTTTGCACGCGCATTTGTAACATATATCGACCAGTTGACGCCCACATCGACAAGTCGACCATAAGATTGAGAGTGACTGCGCTCTTGCCAATCCACTCGGGCCACAGCGCGACTTCTGCACCTTGAGATCGCATTGTATATGGAGAGGGGTCGCGGCCCTGCTGGCATTCTCCGTCGACGGGCGCGACCATCTCACACGCGTATTCTGTGACGGTACGGGCCATAGTGGCGCTGCATCGCATTCAGCTTTGTATTAATGCCCGATCATGGACCAACGACAGCCTTACCAGCATGGACGCGACACCTCTCTTCCAGAAGAGCAGGTGAAGGGGCGCCGCCGCAACCCTGAATACACACGTTCTTTCCTCGGCCTCCCTTCAATTCTGGAGCGAGAAGATACTGATCATCAAACTTCATGCCTCAAGGCTCAGCTCCAACAACTACTGACAGCGAGCGTCTCCAACAACACTGGGACTACGACAGCAAATGAGTTGGACCTTGACGAAAAGCGCGACATTTCGAGCCCCTTCGATGTACGAGTCAATACAGTGATGATCCCCATCGATGGCACCCCGCGTAGACAGGATACGCAGTATGCGACATCTACAACAGAGTCCCAGACAATCCCAACACATCCCTTGAACGGCATTTCCCAAGTGCAAATGGCCAACGCTGCACCCCATCTCTCACCAGATTCTCAACCAGAGGCCGGCTCGCCCAAAGAAAACTGCGTTCGGAGACCGACTTCGCAGGACTTGACCACGGTCGTGCCACCGACCCAGCAGCCTGACGGTGCGCATTCTGTAGACCAAGAAGAAAAGCCAAGATTATCTCACGCCCACCGAGAGGAAGTTGAGCACGGCGTGTCCCCATCACAAGACCATGGCAGGTTGCACTCAATACTTTCGTCACCACTGACGCACCCAAACGGAGTATCAATGTTCCCTCATCTGTCGACACCAGAGCAGGAACTTCTGTCTCAGGAGGCTCTGACACAGGCCGAAGAATCGATCATTGCAGAAAATTTAACCGGTAGCGACGTCGCAGATGGCGAGTCAGACGGAGGCTATGATAGCGAAGGATTCAGCTCGGGCAGTACATCGGCAGAGTCTTCGGTACGAGACTACATGTTCGAGAATGGGCGACGGTATCACCGATTCAGAGAGGGCACCTATAACTTCCCAAACGATGACGTTGAGCAGGAGCGGGAAGATATGAAACACGCAATGGTCAAGTTGCTATGCAGCCAGAAGCTACATTTCGCCCCCATCGGCAACAATCCGCAAGAGGTATTGGATCTGGGAACTGGCACAGGGATCTGGGCTATAGAGAGTAAGTTGCCGTGTTGAATCATTGCCCATAGATTGAAGAGGAGCAGCCCGCTAATCCAAGCCGCCTCTGGGGTCAACTGCAGTGGGTGATCAATTTCCAAGTGCGCACATCCTTGGCATCGACTTGTCACCGATTCAACCAGATTGGCTGCCACCCAACGTCCGCTTCATGGTCGACGATATGGAGTCGCCTTGGCTGCATCCGAGGAACCATTTCGACTACATCCACTCCCGTCACACGGTCATGGCAATAAAGCAGTGGGACCGTTTATACAGAAGAGCCTTTGAGTTGGTAGCGTTTGCCCCCGAACTGATGCGCCAAATGTATTAACAAAGTTTCCAGGCATGTGAAACCAGGCGGATGGATGGAAATGCAAGAGATTCACCACCGACCTCGTAGCGCCGGTCCGGACGGAACTGTACCAGCCGACCACCCGGTTGCCAGGTTCTGGACATTGGTCACGGAGGGCTTAGCCGCTTTGGGTGTAAATCTGGATATATCTTCTGGTGGAGTCCTTGCGGGGAAGATGCAAGAGGCCGGCTTCACGAATGTTACTGAGCGAGTTTTCCACGTCCCCATTGGCACCTGGCCGAAGAACAAAGTTCTCAAGACGGTGGGATTGTATTGGCGTACGATCTTACTGGACGGTTTACAGGCCATTGCTTTGGGGCCCCTTACTCGTGGTCTGCACTGGACCCGGGATGAGGTGGAACTATTCCTAATGGATGTAAGACGAGCATATCATGACAACTCTGCTCTCATGTACATGCCTCTACATATCATTTACGCACAAAAGCCGATGACGGCCTATTAATGCCTCTCACAATCGGCTCGATTTTTCATTTCATTTTATTTCCTTTCCTTTTCCTCCGCCGTCTCTCACATTTCCCCCTCGAAGCCCCGCTGAACAGAACAATCCGTGAGTCTATGGGTCGCCGCTAATTCGTATTTATCACTACCGTCACCTCACCCACTAAACAGCGGCATTCTTTAATCTTCTTTTGGCGTTTAGGTCCACGGTGGTCAGGAGTCTGCCCCGGGAGCGGGGAACCACAAAGAAATTGGGTTGATACCATGTTTGGCGGCCATGCTGTGTTCTGTCGAAATGACAAAGAGTTTAGGTTGGCCCATTTTGTTCTATTGCATATCAGTGCCACTGTTTATGAAGACTGTTAGATATTACTGAAGAAGGGGAAGGGGGAGAAACGGTTACGACTCTAGAAATGAATTGCATCATCTACATATTGGGTACTGGACAGAGCATTGCGCTACTATTAGGCTGCACTGCTGACGTGAAGGACAAAGTCAAACACGATAGCGAGGCGAATAGAATGCTTCCAAGTAAAATTTATTGAATTACACAGGGGAGAAAGTATGTTGGATTCTCCGGGAAAGCTGTATGTACTTGGTAGAAGGACACAGAACACACGTAGGTGCTCTGCCGAGATGTAATGCGCAGAAAAATTGAAAACACTGGCAGCAATTTGACACAGGTGTTGTAAATTGGCTAGTTATGTGGCTGGCGCAAGACAGTATTGTTGGGTTGCATCTCCTTCCTTACTTTTTTCCAGCCGGTACATGAGAGAGGGGGCACCGTCACCGACAATCTAGCCAGCTTGGTCGGCTGGCTGTGTCAGCTTTGGAGCACGGCGGCGTACTCGACGACTACTCATGTCTAGTCCTTCCCACTTGAGCCGCTTTCACGGCCGTGCTGAATGTGGTTGGTGTCGGGGCTGCCCAGGGTGCCGAAGTGTCTCCTTTTAAGGACATCCTCTGGGCGTCTGCCAGACGCGGTATTGCATGTCGCTAGTGTATACTCGGTAAATCGTGTTCAAAGGTCTCATGTCGGCGCGAAATATGAGTCGGAGCCCTTGGCTTTATAAATTGTCGGGACGGACCATGCGGTCGTGACGCCTCCATCGTCAATGCTGCGGGTCGACATCGGCTTTCTGCCTCGGCCCGTCTCTCAAAACTGTTTTAGACAGGTTGGCGGGGACGACTAATCGTGCCCGCCCCACTTTATGTGGTTCGGCTAGCAAAAGCCCTCACCACCAAAGGTGGTGCTCGACAGCAAGGCGGGCCGGACACCAAGGCGGGCCAATTTTCAACCTAATAACGCTATTAACCTCTTCGCCTATAATGTACACCCTTCTCGTCCCAAATTTCTAGTAGATCTAGTACAGAATCCAGACGCCATTTACGTGCCTTTTTAGCTGCTTCAAAAAACGTCCTCTTGGCGTGGTTGTGGCGCCTTTTGTCGGCATGCTCTTTATGCTTGCTGTTCGCCTGATGAACTCGAGAAAGGTCTTTGCAAAGGCGTGATTGGAAGGAGAAACGGCGAATGGTTGACGCGACAGGTATGCATTTGTTGGCGGTGACGGGAGGGGAGCCATATGAAGAGGTGCATTATCTGTTGACTGTTTTTCTAGACCGGGAAATAAAAATAGGACATGTATAGAAAACCAGATATTACAGCCCTTTTTAAAAAAAAAATCAAAAAAATCAAAGGTCGTCACTCATTCATTGGAAGCTTCAACGAAAAAAAAAACCCCGGATGTAATTACGCAGCTCATTAAAGATCCACCTGATCAATCGCCGGCCACCATTGAGACCAGGCCCCCTGCTCGTCGAGGTTATTGCTGACTTCCGCGAAAAGCTGGTTCAACAAGGTATTAGTGTCGAGCTCGTGCTCGTGCTCGTGCTCGTGCTCGTGCCCTTGAACCGGCCAAGTCGCCTGCGCCGAGGGCCGCTCCGCGCCCCGAATCTCCCGAGTATGCGCGTCGGATCTATCCACGACACGGAACTCGTGGACAGACTGGTGTAGAGTATCAAAGTCTGCTCGTGTGCGCCCCTGGTATCGTGTCCGGTCCTCGGTTGCTCGCTCGTAGAGCACGGATGCATGGTGTATCGTTTTGATCTTGCGCGTGCCGCCCTCTCAATGTTAGCGCAACGGTGGCCACGGTCGTGTCATGCTTGCGGGCGGCTTACCCATCCGTCGGCGATTTTCCAGACAAGTCGAAACTTTTCCAGGTAGTCGAGACACATTTTGAGACAGTCGCTTGCTCGCGGGCTGCGGCCCAGGTTCATTCGGGGGTATTTCGCCACGTAGAGGTTGAGGTAGCCGGCTGAGAATGCGCAGAACCCGGCAAAGGGCGTCATGAGATGCACGCCACACTCGGAGGCCTCGTGTAGAATGGCGGCGATGTGCTCTGCCGCGCCGAAGAGGAGTCGGGAGCTGTCGTCCCACCAGCCCTCGGGGGCGGGCGCCCCCAGCATGGGCTGGTCGACTGGACCCCGTGGCTCCGACTCCGGGGTCGGCAGGAAGGGGAAGTACTCGCGGTGAAGCATGAGGGTGCTGACAAGGCGTAAGCAGGGGCGGCGGCGGCAAGTTGGGAGCCCCGTCGACCGCTACCGCTGTGGGAAGGGGATTCTTACCTCACGTAGTACAGGAGATTGAGGTAGACGAACGTCTCGCCGAAGCCGAGCGTCATGTGGACGGTCAGGAAAAGCGAAATCGGGTGACTTTGATCGCGAGCATATGACCTGTCACCTCTCTTAGCCCGCAGAAGTGGGCTTGATCTGTCGAGTGGTAGTGCCAGTTTCAGCAATCCTGGACGACGGACGGGCTATCCCCATAATTGTCGCGGTCCATGCGCGACAGTACGGGTTGAACAAGCATCGAGGGAAAGCCCCTAAAAGCAAGCTTCACAAAAGTCTTTCTTCACAGTCTCGTTGCGTGCGAGGGCGAGGGGTCGATAAAACACACACTGTCCAATGGCGAAGATGGTGGACGTGGCAGTGGCTCCGACGCCGCGGTGAACATGGCGCCCTGCATAGGAGATCCCACGCTGTCAGGGATTTTCAGCCACCAGTGAAAAGAAAGGTATGTATTTCCGAAATGGAGATCTCTTGCGCCGTACGTACTCTGTACGGAGTATTGCGAGGGAGATTCTGCCAGTGGTTGTCCGTGCAATGCAGTCGACACCTCACGAGCAGACGACTGACGGAAACCTGATGGCCACCAAGGCAATCGGCCCGTCGCGGCACTGATTTTGATGTACGATACCGAGCACTCTGTGTGTGTGCCGTGCTCTGCACGTGCTAGTATGACAATGCATTTCTGGGCCGGGTTGCTCAGTCCTGGACTCCTGGTTGTCTGGGCCAAAGAATGCTAAAACGGGGTGATTCTTCGTCCCAAGCGCAGCTTTTGGAGCCGAGCTAACCATGTCACTTTGTATGCATGCCTATACGATATGCGCACCAACATGGGGCTGCAGCGTCGGCTGGTTCGTTGGAAGGCTCAAGGACAAGGACGATTGTGGTTCCCACAAGTCCAGAACGCTAATGATGAATGCTTGGCCTTGGAACTGGGAAGCGCGGCAGTCGTAGCAGGGGACTTGTTTGTGCTGGCTCTGTTCTGCATTACGGAGCAATAATAAAGTATGAAAATCTGACGCCATCCCTCTCCGTTGTATCGGTCCTACTTGGTCAACTCGTCCAAGGAGAAGTTGTGCGCCTCTTCTTGACCCTGTGACTTTGGGTCAGTCGACTGACATCTCTATCTACGGCGAGGGGCCGTCGAATGGGATGTCGATGATGTGATCCGACTTTGAGACCGATTGTGAAGACAGTTGACGAGACTAGACGACAGACGACAGACGATAGATGTCAGACGACAGACGACGACAGACGACACTTGACACTCGACACTCGATACTCGAAGCGACGTGTTGTTTTGCAACGAGCTTCAACGAGGAAGGAGCAGACCAGCTTGCATCCCAGGACCAGCGGGGGAAAGGCACGAACGAGGCAGCAGCAGCTTGCCTGGGAATCCCAACAAAACCCTGCAGAGCACAACATCGGAAGATTGGATTGTGAGTGTCTGTCTACTTGAATCAATTGCACATGATGAAACCAGGGCACGAAGCGTCGAAGCCTGTCACCGCATTTCCCTCCCAGCTCGTCTTACTTTGCCTTCCATCTCGCCGCCGACCTGTCATCATCCTGACCCGTCAAACTCGCTTCTTCTTTTGGAGGCAGATCCACGTGGGAGAACCGTGCTGTCGGGTCGCACCACCGCCATTCCCTCTTGGCCGGATTTCGGTGCAACGACCGCGACCACACAAGGGGTGGGTGACCTGTCGACCCGACAGACTGGTTCGACCCAAATGATTCTCGTTCGGTCAGACCCAACGTCGTCCGAGCTCTCACAAGTGCGTTGGGCTGGAGCGATGCTGGCTGGATGGGCGATTGACTCAACGTGGCGCACCCGCCCAGATGTGAGCCTTGCAACAACGGGCTCGCGGGAATGACACGCTTGGGCCATTGTCTGTTGCACAACAGCGTTTTTGCTCACCTACAAGTCAAGTCTAATGTGAGACTTGAGTGACCGGCAGGTCCACGGACCGTCATGCATATGTGGCTGTTACCAATTGCTATGCAACCACGCCGTATTATGGATGCGCTTCTTCATTTCATCCTGCGGCCTGCCCATTTCGCCTTGATGCTTCTTCGGATCAAGTGATCAGGGAGAGCATGGCTGTCCCACTTGCGACAAGAGAGGACAAGGACAGGCCCCAAAGCTTGGCCGTGTCATGTCGCATCTGTAATTTCACCGCATTTTTCGGATTCTCGTCGTGCAGCGAAATTGGTCTCCTGGGTGCATATAGTCAGTCGCGGCTTCTTCAGATTCGCCAAGTTTCCTTCTCGAAACGAACAGTTGGAGTAACTATTAGTCTTGTCAGTCTCTAGTCCTCACATCAATGGTCAAGTTTCGTACACGACCACCACCATACATTCGGCCGACACAACCTTGAACCTTGTATTACCATGGCAAAGTTCAAGGTACCTTCCTGGTTGCAAACCAGCGCAGCGGCAGGAGCAGAGAAGGAGGGAAAGAAGCAAAACAGACGGTCATTCGGTGGCTTTCCACAGCATACTCGAACAAAGCAAGCAGGGCCAGCCATAACCAAGCCCCAGGCTATTCACGAGGACCCAAAACCCGTAGCAAAGACAGAACCAACCCGGCTAGTAGCGCTGGCAAAGAAGATTACCGCAGAAGCTGAAAGGCTTGAGCGATATCTGAGTGAAAATCATTTACCTCAGCCCGGATTCGGAAGCGATGCCCCAGCGGACTTTCCAGCCTTGCCCCCTGAGATTCAGAAAAGCCGTCAAGAGATTGTATACGCGACGAATGAACTAGGTACACTTGTTAGGGGGCCACGAGAAAGCGTACGATGGCGCGTCTGGAGCGTACGTGCGATTGAACCCTTCCAGGGGACAAATACTAACTGTCCTGCGCATAGTATCTGGATACACTGAGTCTTCAGATTATCAACAGTTACGGCATTGGTAAGCTCATAGTCCAGGAATAACGTCAACCTCCGTTTTGTCATACTGATCCTGTTCAGCCAAGCTTGTTCCTCTTGACAGGTCTATTCCGCTTTCAGATCTGCAAGCAAAAACCACGTTGGATCCCACTAACCTGGCGCGGATCCTCCGGCATGCCATGACTAATTACATCTTCTGCGAGCCCGAGCCCGGCCTGATAGCTCACACGGCGGCATCTCGCAAGTTGGCCGACGACAGTGACCTCCAAGATTGGGTGGGATTTAACTCTGAGGACATCTTTCCGTCTGCCGCAAAGGTGCTCCAGTCTCTCAGAGAACACCCCGAGGCCACCTCACTGACGACTACTGGCTTCAACTTTGCGTTTGACACCGTAGATAAGGAGCCCATGTTTGTGACCTTTGGCAAGGAACCTGCTCGAGCGAGGCGAATGGGTGGTGCCATGGCCAGCCTGACGGGCGGCGAGGGATATGAAGTAAGCCACTTTGTCAATAATTGTGACTTTTCGCAGGAAAATGAGCGAGGGGGGACTTTTGTCGATATCGGGGGAAGTCATGGATTTGTATCTGTTGACCTGGCCAGAAAGTGGAAGAACATGAAGTTTATCGTCCAAGATCTGCCAAAGACCGTCAGCAGCGCGCCCAAGCCCATCTGTGATGACGAATCAGTCGCGGCGCGAGTTCAGTTCGAAGCTCACGACTTTTTCAAGGAACAGCCTGTCAAGGATGCCGACGGTATGCACCCACGCTCTCCGCATTTGATGCTGTCAAAAGCTGACGGGACCCCAGTGTACTTCTTCCGATGGATTATCCACAACTACTCGACTCCATACGCCGTCAAGCTGCTCAAAAATCTCGTACCAGCCCTGAAGCCGGGTGCACGCATCGTCATCAACGACCACTGTCTGCGGGAGCCAGGTTCCGAGAACCCCTGGGACGAGAAGCTGATGCGCAGCATGGACATGATCATGCTGACGTTGCTCAATGCCCAAGAACGCGCGGAGCAAGAGTTCAAGGAGTTGTTCAAGGCAGCAGACGAGCGTTTTGTCTTCAAGGTGAGCCTTTCCCTTCCCCGCAGACCGCTATGATCCCCCCCATGAGAGTCGCGGATGCTAAGACCCGACAGGGTGTTACAAGAACGCCAGGTTGCAGAATGAGCGTCATTGAAGCCGTCTGGGAGCCGGCAGAACCTGCGCCGGCCAATGGGGTGGCTAGACATGCCGCCTCTGAGACTATCGAGTAGTTCAAACGGTGCCTGCACGAAGCGACGATGGCGGTGAAGACATTTGGATGTATATTTTATGAAATGAAGTGTAATGGCTGTACGCGATGTAGGAAATGCCCTAGATCTGGCGGCATGTAGAATGAGCGATTTATGCCATTGTCCAAGCAAAGGACATTTTCAAAAATATGTCAAGGGGCGGTGGGTGGCCTGAGGTCAGGCTGATTGATTGATGGATGGTGTTGAAACTGCCGTTGTGGCTCGCCAATTCTCTGACGGAAGGACAAGCCGGTTGCGCGAGCAGATGCGCAAAAAGAGCTGGTCCACCCTTAATCAAGAAGTAAACAGACAAGTCAGCAGACAAGCGCAGTCGTCTCCCAAGGTGGTGGTTGCCACAGGACATTTGGCAAGTCTACCCACTCAACGACGAAGCAAAAAATCAAGTCTCCGTAGGTGTACTTGCGTAATCTGGGAATCGAACCCAGGGCTCCCCGACGCTGCCTGGATGGCAACGGAGAATTTTACCACTAAACCAATTACGCTTTTTCGCCTACGACCCAACTCTGATGTAGCTGGTTGGCAAAATGCGAGCTAATTACTATTATGAATGCCATGGCGCACCTGCGCACAAAAAAGTCCAGACCCATCGGACCTGCAACGTTGTTCGTAGAGGGCTATATGTGTATTCGCGCACAAGTCACGCCAGATAAAACTAGTCAAGTATCTAAAGCATCGTTTACACCATCCACATCAACCAAGTGTCGCCTGCATCTCCGCACACACCAGGGGCGACAAACTCTCATCGATGCCTCGGCACAGCGGCCCTTTGCCCCTCCTCGATGCGGGAGACGACGAGATTTTTTTTTTTAAAAAAAAAGGGAGAAATTCGGCCTCGTTGCTGTTCATGCCTTTTCGTATCCGCCCCTCGTCGCAATCATACGCGCCATATCCATAATCGTGTCGTTGCTCAGTACCTCAAAGACCGAAACCTCGACGTTGCAATTACTCAGTACCCAATTCCTGACTCCAACGGCGACAAGCGAGTCAACGCCGTACGCACTTGGTGGTTTGTCGACGTCAACTTCTTCGGGGAGCAGATTCGTAGCCTTGGCGAGCATGTTGGATAGCCCGAGGCGGATGAGATCCACGGCGCCCTCTGTGCTGCTGCACCTTGCCAGGAGGGTCTTCATGTTGGCCCCTTGCTCTTCGTTCGGGCCATCGAGGTCTGGCGGCGGCACGTCTATCAAGTTCAGGTGGGAGTAGAGCGCGGTGCGTGACCAGTACGGGTCCGCTGGTTTGTTCTGGCGCAGCAGGCCGCCTGTTCCTACTCCGAGGATGACCTGAGCCGGCGTGGTGCCGCCCGAATGGCCCATGTCCATGGTGATGGCGTGCTTGACAACCGTGAGGAAGTCGTCGTGGCGGATGCCGTAGAAGCCGGCGGCACGGAGCTTGTCCAGCATGTCGTCGTCCCCGGCGAGCATGCCTGCTCCGAGGACGGGGCCGAGGTCGATGGATACCGCTGGGACGCCTCGGAGGCGACAGTGATGGGCTAGAGCGTCTTTGAAGCTGTTTCCGGCTGCGTAGTTGGCTTGTCCCCGATTGCCAATGACCCCCGCTGAACTGGCCAGGAAGATGAAGAAGGGTTGGCTATCCAGGTCTGCCGTTGTCTTGACCAGGTTCCAAGAACCTTGGGTCTTTGGCTTGTATGCGGCATTCCACATTTGGTACGTCATGTTGTCGAAGACTGAGTCCTGAATGACGGCGGCGCACTGGAATACTCCTCGGATCGGGGGCATCTGAACAGACACCTGGCTCTTGATGACTGCTGAGAGAGACTCCATGTCACAAAGATCGGCTTGATAAACTTTTGCGTCGGCGCCCCTATTCTGCAAGTCCTCGACGAAGGCACGGGCTTGGCTATTCGATGTTCCTGATCGAGAGACGAATGCCAGATGCTTCGCGCCATGGGCTGTGAGAAGCTCGGCGATGCTTCGCCCCAGACCACCGAGCCCACCGGCCAGCAGATATGTTCCCTCGGGATCGATGACATCGTTCAGAGACTTGCAGTCATTGTCACAGAGTACATGAACTCTCTGATCCTCCTCAGAGCCGGCCGAGACCGTGCAGAGGCCCTGATATGGGTGTGCCTGAACATATTTTAGCGCCTTATCCAGCGATTCGATGCTGAAATCCTGTGCCGTCGAGGCGAAGATTGAATCATCAAAGTGCTTCTGCCCAAGGAGCTCAGATGACGATTCGAGTAGCTCTGCCACGAAATCCGCGTCCTCTCTCAGCAGCCGTCGCAGGTCAAAATTGACAACAGTGGCACGACTTGTCGAACCGAAATTTCGCCCGATAGAGTACGGGCTACCACCAAGAAGCCGCACAATCACGCCACCTGAATGAAAGGTTAGAACCAAAGGTGCTATACAATGGGCATATAGTGGATATCAGCTTACAGTCCTTGACACATTTTTCAACGCCGTTCACATCATCTCGCGCCGTGCTGCAGAGGATGTCCACACCTTTGCCGTCTGTCATTGACAGGACGTGTGGGACGAAATCGCCCTCGGCGCTGAAGATTGTGTCCGAAGTCAGTCCGCAGCCCTCGAGGATCTTGCGCTGACCATCGGGGTCTGGCCCGACAACTGTCGTATACACCTTGACGCCCAGCATCCTGGCAAAGGCGATGGCCGCGAGGCCATACGCACTCGCGCCAGCATGAACGAAGGCTGATTTGCCTGGTCTCCCCCTACCCATATGGACAATTGCGTAGTACGCGCTGATGAGCTGACTCGGGAACAAACTTGTTTCACGACGCTGGATGAAGGGCAGTCTGACCTTGACCGTGCTTTGAATACTTCCACCGGATACCAGCCCTACAACTTCATCTCCAGGAAGGAACTCTGTTACACTTCGTCCAATCCTGGTGATGGTTCCTCGCACATCAAGGCCAATGCTGGATTCAAAGTCGCGCCCAAGAACTGTTTCGACGTCCTGGGATACGAGAAGGGTCTGGCTAAATCTGATCTCGACTTCGTCGGGAAGTATGTCTGTTCGGGGAAATTCAGTGTAATGCCACGAGTCGTTGGACAGACCTGCGTTGACAATAGAGAGCTTCACGTTTAACGTGCTCCCCGGAGTAGTTTGGTCGTTGTGGAAAGGCCGAATTCTCAAGACACTGGGGTTGTTGCCTTCGATGATTCGGTTCAAGCCTTGTATTGTTCTCAACCGGGGAATGAAGACCTTGCCATCCTTTTCCGCAAATTCCATTTCGGGATAATCTGATGCCGCTTCTTCGCAGAACGTCTGAGAAAACACGGTCATGATATTATTTACGAGCGCTTTGTCATTTGTTTTCGTGGACACATCCAGATCAAACGTGACAATGACCTTGCGAGGGTCTTCTGACATGAGCGTTCTTGCGAGGCCAATAATCGACGACCCTTGCAAGTCGCGGGGATTCATGTGAGCGCCGCGAGTGAGCCAGATCATCCCCTTTGACGCCCTCTGAATGTCCTTGAACAAGTTGAAGTGGAATTCATCCCACTGCATGATGGAGTGGTGCTGATCAAGCGAAGGACAAACGTCAAGCAGTGAAAGAATGACCGATCTCTCAACGAGGGAGCCATGGCTGAGAATTTCTTGAGAATTCAAGGCCCATACCTGGTACTCTTGAGCAGACTTGGTCTGGTAGGACTTCACTAGTTCGACAAAAGCTGAGATCTCGTCAGTCGCATGCTCTGGTGCAAGTAAAATGAGTGGCGGAGCAGGTGATTTCAGCAACGCAGCAGGACGCCTATACACAATCGGATGGACCGAGTGTACCGAGTCTTGTTCGTCGCTATGACCATTGGCGCCGGCAGAGTGGTTTCGCAACGAAGACCTGGCTTGCATGAGTACGCCTCCAACTTTGAGGCGGTCCTTCAGTTCCTTCACTTCCGAGCCGAGACGGCCGTACGAGATGATGAGATGGTATTTGGAGTTCACGTCCGCCATGGCTGTTTTTCGCTCAATGAAGCGCTCCACTGGACTTTCTTTGAGTGTCTCCATCACTTCTTTAAAAGCGTCCGAGTCCTTGCGTTCCAGCAATGTGAACTTGGAGAGACGTGGCGCGTCATCTTCAGCAAGAGCGAGGTCTTGCAGTAGCTGTGTTGCGTTCTCTGAAGTGCCCCCAACCTGCAAGACAGCCAGTCCTGGAAATTTGTGAGCAAGAATGCAAATTTGATCCGTGAGGTCAGTAGACGAGTCGAAGGCTGCGTCTTCCCGCCAGACAATCTCCGTGCACAAATTTCGAAAGTTTGGAAGGAACCTATCCTGCGAGGCACCGACAGAATGGATAGCAGTCAGGTGCAGCCCATTGACAATGACTTGAGACTTGGGGGCTCCGTAGCCGTTCATGACAATCTTTGCAGAGGCACCCTGCAGTCCGACACGCTTGGCGGTGGCGAAACCAGAAAACAATTTTGGACCATCCTGATCAATGCCAGTCGACACAAAGAGACTCTCGATAAAATTTGGAACCATGGGAACCGTCTCAATGGCAAATAAAGGATGAAACATGGAGTCCAAGGTTGCTGGGTGAATTATGTGTGGATATTCGAACTTGGCAGGCATCTTGGACTTGGTGTCTGGAACGCTGACCTTGCACACACAAACTCCCTGGCCTTTGTAGATATTGGATACATTCTGGAAAGTTTGACCGTAGTTCATGCCAATGGTGTCCAAATCTTCATAAAGTTGACGGGAGTTTATGGCCTTCTTGCATCTACTGGAGATCTTGTCCAGCTCATCGTCATGAGCTGCGGTTGGGTCCAAACCACAACAACCCGAGTACTTGAACTGTACAAGTCCAGTGGCATGCTGTTCCCAGTCTCGACCCAAGTGTTTGGAGTAGATGGAAAACTGGTGACTGGCCTTGGGCTGAACTTGCCCACTGATGTCGGTAGTAATCTTGATATTCAGTGCCACCTCGAGGCCATGCTCCGTGTTGGGAACCATCATGGCCTTTGAAAGATGCATGCCACTGATTTCGTACCCCAGAAAGCCATTGATTTCCGGTCTTATCTGTTTGGCCCCTTCAAGGACCATAGAAATCATACCCGCAGCCGGATATACAATAGTTTTCTGGACTTGGTGGTCCTGAATCCAGGGGTTCTCCGAGACTCGAAGGAAGCCACGCCAACGCGGCTCAAAGGGGGTTGAGTCTGCAGTCATTGCCCCAATCAGGTCTTGACGGGGATATTCTCGATTTCTATTGGCAACACTGAGATGCGACTCATGCCAGTATGACTTGTCATGATTCCATGGGTATGGGGGGAGGTTGGACAGGCACTTCATCCTTTGGATCTCACCTCGAGAAACAACCTGCTCCATGTTCAAGCAGTAGCCTTCGGTCCAAAGATCTCCCACCAGCCCGAGGACTTTTAAGACACCATTGGTCTTTGGCTGCATGACGGAGTAGTATTTGGGGATCGAGTCTGGGCGAACAAAGGACGCCATGGTCTCTGCCGTAGGCGACCGCAAGGCAGCTCGAGGGCCAATTTCGATGAGAATCTCGGGGCGAGACTCGACTGGCTGCTCCATCATGGACGTCAACGCTGCCACGTATTGCACGGGATTGACCATGTTATCGGACCAGTAGCGAGGCCCCAGTTCTTCTCCCCGAACAGACTTCCCAGTGACGGAGGAGAACATCTGGACTTGGCCTTGAAGCGCTCTCGGTTCTATGGATACAAGAGAGTCTCTGTAATCGTGCTCGACAAGCCGCATGTGGGATGAGTGGTACGCAGTCCGAACTTTCAGAGTACGGTGGAATGTCTTCTGTTTTTGTTCATCAAGACCTTGAGCAATGGCCTCTATGGCCTCAACTCTGCCTGAAATGGTTGTTGATGCTGGACTATTGACACAGGCAATCTCTGCCGATAAGTGCTTGTCTTCCAGGTACTTTTGTGTCTCGTCGACTGACATGCCTAGCACCATCATAGCTCCTTTCAGCTTTGGAGCCCGGATTGGCATGCTGATAGCAGCCAATCCCCGGAAGTAGGCGATTTCCCATGCATGGAACCGGGAAATGGCGCCTCCAGCGTAGGCAGCAGCTATTTCGCCCGAAGAGTGACCAATTATGCTTGTAGGCGAGACACCAAAAGAGCGAAGAAGGTCGACCAAGGCTACTTGGATTGCTGTCGTAGCAGGCTGTGCAATGTGAGGGTATGAAATGTCCGAGTCGGGTTCATCCCTCATAATCTCTCTGATCAAGTTGAAAGGCGACTGAAGAGAATGCAACAAATACTCGCATGCGTCTTCGAGACTGTCTCTGAAGACTGCAAACTCCATCAGATCTTGACCCATCTTAGCCCATTGGGTTCCTTGCCCGGAGAAGACAAAGCCAATGCGTGGCTGCCCTTTGCTAGACGAACGGACAGTCTTTGAAGACCCAGCAGTTTCAAGTTTAGCTGCAAGTTCTGTCATCGACTTTGCCACGACGAACCCTTTCCATTCCATAACTGACCGGCGGCAAGCGAGGGTGTATGAGTAGTTTCGCAACAACGCTCGGGATCCTGTTTTCGCCTGTGCCTTGATGTACTCCGAGTGAGAACCCATGATACGGGATACGCCACCCCTTTCGTGAGCAGAGTAGCAAAAGAGCTGATACTCATCATTCTCGGGTGTGTCGGTAGCATCCTTGTCAAGCCTGAGTTGGTCGGAGCTTGAAGAAGTCACATCAACAGAGCTATGGTTCCCGACCAAGCCGCGGGATAGCAAGTATTCTGGCGCTTCGTCCAAAATTGCGTGGGCATTCGTGCCTCCGAAGCCGAAGCAATTAACGCTTACTCTGCGAAGTCCAGGGTTGGGCCAATCCATAACAGCCGTCGGAACCTAAACAATCCATTTTAGTACCAGGCAAATGGCTTTTTGGTAGTGGCTCATGTTGCTTACTCTGACCCTCCAGGATTCAAAGTTTATGTCTGGGTTGCCAGATTGGAAGTTGATGTTGGGCGGAATTTTGCCTTTTTCGAGAACCATGACTCCTTTAATCAACCCAGCCACTCCGGCGGCGCCCTCAAGATGGCCAATATTCGGCTTTATCGATCCAACCACAATTGGTTTCCTGATATCTCGATCGGCTGCTAGTGTTTCAGAAATGGCCTTGAGCTCTCGCCAATCGCCCGCCTGTGTTCCTGTTCCATGACACTCAACATATGCGGTCTGGTCAAAGTCAAGGCCGGCCGACTTGTACACGGTTCGGATGTTTGCCATCTGAGCCTCCTTACTGGGGAGAGTGATTCCTACCATTGTTAGTTCTGCCACGTAATGAACGGGTCACAGAAGAAACTTACCGGTCGTTCGACCATCTTGGTTAATTGAAGTGCCACGAATGACAGCTCGGATTGTGTCGTTATCTCGAAGAGCATCGGATAGGCGCTTCATGACAACAACACCGATACCTTCTCCGCGACCGTAACCGTTAGCTCGTTTGTCAAAAGTAAAGCACTTTCCATCTGGACTCAGGAAGTTCAAGGCAGTCATTGGCATCATGGTGCTTGGTGTGAGAATCATGCCCGCCCCTGCAGCTATGGCCTGGAGGATACGATCAGCATTTCGAAGACAGGACAAAGACTGATGGAGTACTTGGAGAACGCACAAGAGACGACTCCCTGTTGCGCAGGCTTTGGGCTCCCAGGTGGACAGATACTAAACTGCCACTGCAGCCAGTGTCGACTGTCACACTAGGTCCATGGAAGTTGAAGAAGTATGAAATCCGGTTTGCCATAATGGCAATGCCGTTGCCGGTGGCGGCATATTGTGGAGACCAATCCGGGTCTCGAAGACATACTTGTTCGTAGTCTTGACGGTGTTAGGATGCCGCGTTTGTTCATTGTTGGGACGGCCGGGGGGTTTACCGCTGTGACTTACCTTTGACAAACGATCCGACGTAAACGGAAGTATCGCTTCCGTAAACATCTTCCTTTTTCAGACCAGCTACGTTCAAATGAGTACTTTGTTTTAACAGATTGGAGGTAAGCTATACCGTTTTCGAGTGCCTCATACGAGACCTCCAACAGCATTCGTTGCTGAGGGTCGATTGCTCTGGCATCTTCCGAGGGAATTGAGAAGAACTAGGTGCGATTAGCCGCCCATTGGTCACCAAAATATACAGACAAACACGTTCAAGTACGTACAGTCGCGTCAAAGGCTCTGATGTCTCCTTTGAGAAGATGTGCTCCCTTGAACGAGATCTGCCGTTTAGTTAGCGCCTGCAAGACTTGGTCGAACAACATGATGGTCACTTACACTCCCTTGTCGATCTCCACTGGGATGATAATATCCATCAACATTTAGCCGCTCTTTAGGTATCTCGGACCACTGTGACTCTCCAGCCTCCAAAACCTTCCACAGGCTCTCCGGATTGGTGGCTTCCCCGGGGAAGCGAAGGCCAAGACCAATGACGGCTATGTCATCATCCATGATCTGGTGTGAAAGGACGGCTCCCGAAAGCGGGCCGTAAAAGAACAGAAGAAACTTCTTAAATGAGAGAAAGGAAGTTGAAGAGAGAATTTTGCCTTGGGCAACTGGTCAGGAGAAGGACGGAAAGAATACTTCCAGTTGCGGCTGGGGGACCTTGGGCCTTTTGAATCCAAACCATCCGGTGCTGTGAATCTGCTACCAACGCAGCTCTCTGCACAGAACCGCCGCTTCCAGTTCCGGAGGCCTATGAATATACGGAAGCCGTAGGGAAAACAAGCAACGTCAGAAAGGTCCTTGCATTTAACCCACCCCAGTGCATCACCCGGCTGAAGGGACAGACAGGACGACACAGACCAGAGGATCCGCACGGAACGGCAGGGAAATGGGTCTACAGCAAGTCTTCTTTCAGAATAAAGATGGTGGCAACGCAGTTTTTAATAATGGTTGCATGTAACCATAGTGGTCAAGTTTCAACGTATTGTGTTGTGGCATCTTATGCATCGTCTCTGCTTGAGTAAAGCAAAGACCAGTCATAATGGTGGTTCAGCCCACCCGGTCAAGTCCCAATACGTCAGCATCACCAGTAGAAGGCTCTGATATGACAGTCTCGAACGAACTCCACGGATCAAGAAGCCCAGCCACAATGTTGGGTGAAAGCGGGGACCGTAAGCCTTGGATCGAAGAGACTCTGTCATGTTGGGAAAGATTCTACCCGGAGTGAGCTCCAATTTTGACTTGGTTGTCCTTGCCTTCATCTTGTGAAAATGAGAAAGTGGACTGAGGTGATGTACACTTGTCCAATGAATGATAAAGCAAAGGATATAAAAGCCACGAGAAACTTGACCACAAGACATACGCAAGAGCGCGGTATAAGCCAGAGCTGCCACGCTTCCAGAACTGACGGTACAACCAACACAGTCCGGCGTTATCGGGTGTGGCAAAAGCCGATGTTAAGATTCGGGTCAGTGTGTAAGACCGAAGCTCTCAAGCTGAATGTCACAGTGCCTAGTAGGATTCTCACAACCACTCACGGCTTATCCCACAAGGTCCTTCTCCTTCATCTATCTTTCTGAATATCCTTACACTCTCGTGTGTTGGGCGTTCTTTGGCATCGCGCTGGTCAGCTCAGGACACGGACGATGCAAATATGCGCAATTTGGCCGACGTCAGTCAAATTGATTGAATGCATCGAGAATGCATGACAATAGCACAGCCATTGATGTGACCTAGCCACCAACCATTGCATGGGTCATTGCTCCATGTTCATTCACGACAGCTCAGCGCTAGGGAACTTCTCTTTAAAAACGCCCTGAACTCGTGGGGATACGATTTGCTTGGTTGGCTGACATAAGAGACTGAGAAATACAAGCATTTTCTGAGCTCCCCTCGAGACATGAACCCTCTAGCCACTGCGCTTGAGCTCATCTTCTAGTGCTCTACGCTTGTAGATGGAAACGTGCCAGGTAGCTACCGGGGGGGTTTTGGCGCCTTGGAGCTATGCTCATAGCTTCATGATCATGCATGCCACTGCATCATGATTACTGGGACATGGGGGCTGGTGATCCTAGTCTCGGATCACAAGGAACATTGAAGTGACAACGGGATGTGACTGCTGGATCGTGGTTGAAGACCAACAAGGGACAGTCAGCCATTGTCAATTCCCATGGCTGTTTAGGATACCCCACACTCGTCATCTTGTAAGTTGTAGCCTCGTTGCTGAATCAGATCAGGCACGTAATGTTGGAGTGAAGCACCCACCCCCCGGTTCAGGCAGAGTCGGGGTGCGCAGGTGGCGTTCAAGATGGTCGGCCAGTTTTCCAACTCTCATAGGTCCATCTACCCCATGATTTGAGCCGGCTGTAACCCCCTGGCTTTGGACTGTAGGACCGTCACAAGGTCTCATACATGCATGTATGCAGTCTGAGGCAAATCGGACGTCCGTTGTGATTGACATTGTGCCTCAACTTGACGTCGCTCACATCCGGTGCCATGACTGCAATGGCAGAGTGATACCAGTTTCAGTACATGCTCGGGGCTACTGGCGTGACTTGGCGGTTAGCCTAGGTTGGGCATTTCAACGTCGCAGATTGCGCAAATGCTGTGCTGACAGACTTGCCTGGGTAATCCGACTGGTCTGTGAAAGGGTCCGGTGAGCGCCAGCGTATTGGATTAGGCATTTGACCCCCCCGGGGCTGTCGGTATGAAGAAACCATGAAGCACCGCGTTGGTTCTTCTGTGACCAGTCGTAAATGCTCTGCGCAAGGGCGGACGACACGGTTCATTGTGCTCTCAATGGCATCAATACAAGGAAAAGAAGAAAAAGGAACGGACCCGGAAACGGAAACGGAAACGGAAGCGAAATGGTCGTCTTTTCTGCCGGGGGGGAAAAGCCCTCAAACAATTGGGTATCAGTTCTCACTGTACCAGTACGATGCTACTTTGGCCTCACTGCATTCTTTGATCAGGTCCATGCACAAACAATAGTTGGCAGTGTTGGGCATGGTCTGGTTTTGAGTCCTGAGTCCTCGGCCCCACGGCTGCAGTTTCCCGGGCTCTGCCAGAGACATGGCACATCATCCGATCCGGAATATGTGCACCATTTCCACACAGGAGAGGATGAGACCAAGTCAAAGTACCGTCGAAAAATTCTGGACTGGATCTGGCCTTTTTTTATTTGTTTCAAACCACGTCGACCCTAGAGGCGCGGTGCAAACGTGAACAATTCACTGTCCACAGGCTCGGTCACGCCGGTGCCCAGCAATTTTGTCCAACTAATGGACCAAGACAATGTTGTTTCTGTACGAGCCTGGTGTAATACTGTAATTGCAGCACTTGGGCTCCCCAATCGGTCATGGATGGTCGACAGAAACCCATATCTGTTCAATTGTTGGTGCGGCAGATGCTCGGCCGTGGCATGTCCAGGAATTGGCAGCAGCCACCTCACTCAAACGGGACTCATCCAGGCGAAAATGGTGTAGGGAATGGTTTGTTACACCGACCCGGTCGTTCCAATGAGTGGCCTCTTGTTACGGTAGACGCTTCTGAGAGCAAAAACCCGATGGAACTGTAACACATATAGCATACACATATCCGTCTCGGTCTGCTTTCTGTCTCAGTATTCTGTTGTATGCGAAGAATTTCAGACTGGAGCGTAGAAACTTGCTCTTACCCTGCAAGGTTGAAATCGGTTACTCTGGATCGAGACCAGGACCAAGTCTAGCCCTGTTTGACGGTCGTTTACCTGTGCAAACGTGAGATCGATTCTCCGTAGTCCTAGAAAAATGAAGTGAATATGAATGAGCCGGGGGACCAAACGCGCGTTTGTATGACCGGGCCCTGAACGGTTTTGCCGACACATTGGTTTGAAAGCCATAACATGTGAGGAGGAGCTGAATAACGTAATCAATCTCTACCCATGAGAAAGTTGTAGCTCCAAGTCGGAGCAGGAACGAGCAAGAGGGACCACGGCTCAAGTGCCTAGCTCCTTCCTGTCCAAAACACAGGCCGGCCCAACCTTGCGTCACACTTTGGCGAGCCTCGTCTGTTTCGGCTCATCATTCACTGCTTGCCACGGCTTGGCGAAGTTCACAGCGCCGCCCGGGCCGTCGGTATTCGTTTCTTCTCTGCACCTCTCCCAGCTTGAAGACTTGCTCTTCTTCCTTTCTTTGGGTATCCCTCTCCTCTGACATCAACCCGTAGGCGGCCAGACCAGGACGACCAACGACACCCGACTATACGCTCGTTTTCTTTTCATTTTGCGCTTTCTTGGACTTTTTTTCATCTTAGTAGCATCATGACGGGTGACTTCCAGATATCGCTTCCCTACCCTAACCCTTCTCTAAGTCAGATGCCGTCCATGCAGAATTTAGATAGATCCCTGGCCAACGGAACCACGCCTGCCCCGATCAGGAATCGCCATAATGTCAATGGAATTCGTCAGAAAATTCTTATGGCGGCGTAAGTGTTGTTCAAGTCTGGATGCTTTGTCGAGACAGGAGTCGACTGACCCTGTCTGTGAACAGCCTGCTTGTCGGTCTTCTGTTTTCCAGCCTGGATACTTCTATCGTCGCCACTTCTCTGGTTACCATCTCACATGAACTGGGTGACTTTGCTAGCGCTCCGTGGATTATCCTGGCCTATCTCTTGACTTACATGGGTAAGACGTCCTGGCAATCCACTCATTTACATAAAACTCCCCGCCGTTTTGCCATGTCGCTAACATTAATTAGGATTTGCCGTTTGCTTTTCGAAGCTGAGTGACATCTACGGCCGACGAAACATGCTCATTCTGTCCTGGATTATCTTCATCGCTTTTTCCATGGGGTGTGCAACTTCAAAGGGAATGATTATGCTGTATGAACCGAGATTCTAGTGCTTGTTGGTTCCGCAGCTGACCTCTACAGGATTTGCTGCAGGGCGTTTCAGGGTATCGGGGCATCTGGTCTTTATAGCCTCACTCAAATTGGACTAATTGAGGTCGGACCTGTTCATCGACCAAGTCTAATTGGAGCCATGATTGGGGCCACACTTGCTGCGGCGTTTGTTATGGGCCCTCTAGTTGGAGGTGTTATATCTCAACTTTCGGATTGGAGATGGTTGTTTAACCTCAAGTAAGCCGCTGAGCTCGTTAGGCGCTCTATTCAATGCTTACTATCTCAGTATTCCCTTCGGGCTCATAACGATTCTGATACTCACCAACTTTTGGCCTCATGAAGATGCCGCCGACCTACTTTCCTGGACAGCATTCAAGAGCATTGACTTCCTTGGTAGCGCCACTCTGCTCTGCGGCTCCGGCTTTCTGGTCTTTGCTATGCAGCAGGCTGGCTCACAAACTCTAGCTTGGCAGAGCCCAGCAATTGTGATCAGCTTCACTCTTTCCATATTGACCTGCATTGTTTTTGTTACGTGGGAGCTGCACTTGTCACGCAAACGACATCGCCATATCGAGCCGATATTCCCTATTGGACTGATGGGCAAGCGAGTGTACGCCGCCGCATTGCTGTGAGTTGAACCCAAAGTAATCAAACTCTATCGAGTAACACTGACCTGTTTGAACTATCCTCGCCATTGGTAGAGTCACACTATTCACTGGTTTCCCATATATTTGTTTCTCCATAATTCTTCCTGAGCGATTTCAGATGGTCAATAATCAAAACGCTCTCATGGCGGGAGTTCGGATTCTCCCCATGCTTAGTGCCTGCGCTGTTGGTTCCTTTCTTGGCGGTGCCATATCAAGCAAACGAAATAATACGTCTTACACCCTGGTCGCAGCTTCCTGTCTTCAGCTGCTCGGGGTTGGGCTTATGACTACTGTGTCTGGTGATTCCGAGGCGGCAGCAGCCCAGTATGGCTACCAAGCGATCTTCGGCTTGGGCGTTGGCTTGTCCTTTTCGGCAGCGACAATTATGACAAACATTTTGGCTACAGAGCCTAATGAGAGAGCTTCCGCCCAGGGCGCCGTTGCCCAGGCCAGGGTTCTTGGTGGTTGCATTGGATTGTCTTTATGCACGATCATTTTCAACACACATGCCAACAGTCTTCTGACTGGTCGTTTGACAGACCGAGAACTGGATATGCTACACCGGTCTCCCTTATCAGGGCTGCAGTTGCCAGGAAACTTGCGAATGCTAGTAAGGGAAGTCTACATTGGCGCCTTTGGAAGAGAAATTGAAGTTATCGGACTCGCTTGTGCAGTCACGGTCATCATATCTCTTTTCACTCTGGAAAAAAGCCCTACACCTATTGAACGAATAACGGCTCCGGTCAAGGACGAATCGTCATCGTATCGCAGGGGAAGTGACTCTGGGACGGAGATCAACGACGTCGCGCATGCTCGTCAAATGGCTTAACATGGGGAGTACAGCGGTCTGTTGGGCGCATGGCTAAGATTTTCTTGGCCGTTGCGGAATTTCCTTTAGCGAAACCAAATTACATAAAGTAGGCACGGACTGTTGGACCATGGAATCATGAAGTTCCGGGCGGTTTTCTTATATGTTGTGCGTGTATTTTTCTGGCCCAGTCTTTGATGTTTTTGCCTGTTATAAGATGAGGAGATGGTCTTTTATCAGTCGGTATTATCGCATTTATGCTGAACAAGAGCACATGGAGCCGTTGTTATATAGCGAAATTATACGCGCTTTCGCCGATGACGACGACGCACGTGTGTGTTTTGTCTTTTAAAGCCCACTTGTCCCAGACCAAAAGTCAGGAAAACTAAAATGTAGCGACAAGCGCTATGCTAGACAAAATAAAGCATGAGTTCATGGCTGATTTCATGTAGCATGAGACAAACCGCGGTATGTAGTCAATAGTACGGAGTAACCAACCCATTCAGTGGCCCAAGCCGGGGAGCCCAGGCGGTCCGCATTTCCGCATCGTCAACGCCTCCCCGAATGACCATTCGTAATGGCTTATCAACAGCCCGTAACTCCCAAGTAAGCCATGCCCCCGCCAACGACTTGATGCAAGTACTCCGAACTCAGTAGCCAAATGCATCTCCGGTCCAGCCTCACTTCGCCATGTCTTCGCCTCCGGCCACGCCGTATCACAACTTTCCAGCTGGACTGGGCTCCTTGACATGCTCAAAGACCCCCCCCCCCCTGTCCTACGCTTCACCCGGAGGACTGCCCAGCCTTTCGAACCCGCTATCCATGTCACTCAGGATTCAGCACCCGACGAGCCGGTCTTTCGGACACAATCGTCACATCTCCCTAGGGAACGGCTCAAAGCACTTCTGGGTTGTTTCTTGCCCCCACTCCCGAAAAACAGTCTCGCTCAGCCAGAGGAAACGATGAGGAATTCGTGGGTCAAGGTATGGCGAGACGTGGTAGAATTCATTGTGTACTGCCATCAAGCATCAAGAGGATACAACACCTAGCTAGAAGGTGATATGAGGGAAGGGACGAAGGCGGAGTGGTATATGACGAGGGTGTGGGCAGAGCAGTTTGCATTCCCGAGGTATCAGGAGTTGTGTGATTGTGATACGCGTAGACGACCACAGGAGGTCTTGAGACGTAGTTTTGGGACGTGGTAGGCCATCAAGACGGACGGGATAGAAGTGAGGGGTCCACATCTGGTGCATGCTGAACTGCCAATGTCGAAATCTGATCTGCGCGACTGTAAGACAGAAATTGAAATCTGTCAGGCTTCTCCGTAGTCTGTACAGGTGTGTACATGCGTTGAGGGGCGGACCATTAGATCCCTTCCTTGGCCTTGGCCCAGAAAAGACTGCATACGGCGCCACAACGATGCATAAACACGGCCCAAGGCATGGAGCCACTTGAGAAACGGAGCTGGGACCTGGTCTAGCTGGTTGTATAAAAACAAATTATACTAAGCCCCCTATGAGTTGAGGCTTAAAGAAGACCGTCATGATGCCTTCAAGGCCTAGTTCCTTGGCGGTAGCCTTGAGGTTCTTGTGCGCAGGGCAAGTCTCGTCGTAGTACTTCAGATGTTCCATGCTAGCAAACTCGGTTTTGCAGACAACGGTGTACCCTTGGGCGCGAGTATCTTCCTGAGCTACACCAACCGCCAGCGACAGGATATACGGCTTGCCGTCCTACGGTAAGGGGTGTTGTCAGTGCATTTCCGGTGATGGTGATTCTTCAGATGAACGGCTGTCCGTCGTGCTATTGGTGAGCTGGAAGAGCACAAGGCAATGATGAGCGATCTCGCTTGCTTCCGGGGAAAAGGGGGGGTGGTTGGGTAGAAACAGAGTGGCACAAGACGGTTCTCGTGGCGAGTGAGACAAATGGCAAACAACGAGATGGGAATACAAGAGGAGAGGGGAGGAAGAGGGGGTAGAAGAGGCATTTCGCGACGTGCGGAGTACTAGTAGTATTATTACCTTTTGGTTGGTTGCGTCGACAGTCTTGTACGCCTCGATGAGCTTCTGCTGGTCGGCTGGGTTGGGCAGCTTGAACATGGTGACACGGTGGACACGGTCTGCCATTTTGATGTTGATAGTTTTAAAACGGGGATGGCAGCGGTGTGTTTGATGAGCGGGAGTGGTCTCAATCTGTGGCGATGAAGAATTGACCGAGGGTTTAGGTGTGGACTCTGGAGACTCGGAGAGAGGATGGCTAGAAAAGAACGGAGCTATAGTGCCGAGAACCTAGGTGCCTAGGTACCTAGGTACTAAGAAGTAAGTATGCACGTACTACTTGAGCACTAATAACTTAGAAGTAAGTACTTGATTGAGTTGGGTAGGCGATACTTGATAGGTACTTACTCTGTACCTGACGCGGAGAATGGCGGCTCAGTGTCAAAGGATGCCCCGCCCCCTGCTGTTCAGGGTTGACGGGAGCTCCCCGGCGCCGTCTAGCAATTCACTGTTGTGATTTCCTTCTTTTCCACAAGCTGACCCCGGACGGCATCGGATGCACCAGAGGTCCAGAGCAGCTGCTGAAACAATCCCCTCATTCCTACAGAGTACTTCCACGAGGAAGGTGCAGGCTCTACCCGGGGACGCTTCTGCCTGTCTCGCCAAACAACAAACATCAATGAGCACGCATCTTCATCCCTTCTGCGCTTGAGCATTTCCAAATTGGCATCCTCACAACCATCGGCTGCCCACCTTCGTTTCCGGTATCAAATCAGTCCGTTTCCAGCATATTGGTCTCGTTACTTCTTCATTTACGCTCCAGCTGCGCACACCAACCACCATGCGGTGTCGTGGACGATGTTTCCGCGTCGGCCACGGCAATGCTCCAGCCAGCCCGGTTTGCCACGATCACCTGTCCTCCAAGGGCATGGCATAGTATTTCTGCCCCATCCATAGTCGATATCATGCATATCATCTTCTGAAGTGCTCTTATCAGCCTCGTTGCGGCGAGTGCGCCATCTTGTTTTTCAACAAGGCATCCCACGCTCATTGGGTGTCGGAGCTAGATGTCAACGCCATCATGTCCTCGCAGATTCATTTCATGGCCGAAATGGAGGAAGACATTGACGATCTCCTACAAGAAATCGAGCAAGCGCGAGGGGAGGCTGATGACTGGTGGCAAGATTTTCCCGACGTGCTCACGAGCCCCTTGGACCCTCCGCCTCGCATTGCTTCCGACGTGCTCGACGAGATACCAAGAGCTGATCTGACCTACACGCAACTGAGTACAACCCTCATCCCTCACCAAATATATCCAAATGTGAAGCTTCTGGAGTTCCGTACCTTCTCCGGCGCCATGGCATACCAGCCGTGCTGCAAGGACATCGACCTCATGGGGTTCTTCAAACCTCTCAGGCCCATTGAGCCAGGAGTCGACCGTCTATTCAAAGTTGCCAGGGCATGGTCTTGCATTATCCAATCTCTTGAGGGTCTTCCTAAAGACCTGCGCTGGGTTCTTGCAACGGTTTACAATTTCGCCAACGACATGCTGTGTACCAAACTAAGCGAGGACACCATGTAGCGAATGCGTCCGTGGCTCATGTACTGGTATGATGTAGCAGACGCGTTGTTGGAACTGTTCGATATATCAGCAAGTGCCCCAATCCCGGACTGGTTTTTACGACCTTCAGCTGATGCTGATACTGACGACGATGAATGTGAGCCTGAAGTTGCGGCCAGGTTGACGGTTTGCCGTACAAATTCAGTTTCATCCGACGGTAATATGACTGTGCTTCGCCATGATCCGTCCAGCCGAGAAAACTACCGGGCTCGCATTACTGCATCCGGTCATCAATCAGGTATCAGTGCTTGGATAAACGCGCAGCCTGATTGGGAGGTTGAGAGATTGTGCATTAAGCCAGCTTCAGAAGGAAGTCCATGGGAATTCAGAGACGTCAGCCCGCCGCCACTGTCAACACAATCCCAGATTTCCGCGGAAGCTGTCTTTCATTTCAACCCTGAAGCCATAGAGTTCGACCCTCACTCAAACCTAGCAACATCACCCGCGTCTGTCTCGTCCCGAAGCCCTTCGACCTGGTCAAGAGAGCCAACAGCAACCTCGGCAGACGATAAGAGCACTGCAGAAGCCTCAAAGCCCTTGGCGCCGACAAAATATTCTTCTGTTTCCTTGGAGACGCGGTCGGCGTCATTTCAAGCCGAACCTGGCCGGTGGTGGCTGACCAACAGTCTATAGATATGAGGAAGGCGTGGCCCGATCCTCCGTCATGTAGAGTCTGTATAGCGTTTTTGCGCAGTGCTTAATTCACCATAGATAGCGTAGCGAGAATAAGCGAATCAACGTGTTTTTGACTGTGATTTCCCAGTGTAGTCCAATCTAACATGGTCTAGTCATCACACATGGTAAACGTCGTGAACATATTAGTCTCTTGTCATCACACCGTCATCACGGGACAGTCAAGTACTCGAGCCCACCCGTCACAGGACGAAAAATCACTGCTTGGCAGCAATCATACTCATGTAGACCCCCCAACCCAGGCCTGCCACACAGCCCACCAGGTTCCTCCCCTCGACCGTCTTGACCAAGGTGAAGTTCACCAAGCTCACTGCAGGCCAAAGCTTCAAGCCCGCCAGCACAATGGTCCAAAACTCGGCGAGGGCCGCCCACCACACCGCAGCCACGTCGACGGACGAGAAGTCAATGGCCCCCGGAGACATCCAGTAGCCCGCGGCCTTGGTGAAGCTCGTGACGCGCGGCGCCTCAGGCATGGCCGAGTGAATCGAGTGCATGTACACGCTAAACAGGAGCGTATTGAACGCCGCCCCCGCCGTCTGGTCGAGCGCCAGCTTGAGCAGCGTGTTGCGCACGCTCAGCCGCTCCTCGCCCCTGCGCCGTCCGCGCGCCGGGAAAGAGGACTCCAGGAAATCCTGCCTGCGCGGACCCCGACGTGAGCCTGCCGACCCCGTCTCCGGGCTGGGGGGGGGAGGGGGGGACGGCTCACCATAGGAAGTTGGGCGGCGTGCTGACGACGCTGAACATGAGGAACTGGAAGACGGGGATCCAGTCGACCTCGGTGGCGGTCTGGCTCGTCAGCCTCTCCGTGCGCGGGCGGCCCTGGGGGAGGGAGGGATACGTGCCTGTTTCCTGTGTGCCTCGATGAGCTGCGCGAGGATGTTGGATGTGGCGCCGAGGAGGGCCGCTTGGAGGGTTGCCGAGAAGATTGGGCTTCGGGCCATTTTTTTTCAAACCGTCCCCCTCGTGCGGCGGATATTTGCCTGCCGGCCTTTTAGGTGTCGACTGGGGGATTGAGGATTGAAAACAAACGTGCGCAGAATATGTGTGCTGAGTGAAGGGGCTGGTCTGGAGTCTGGACTGCGTAGGCGTTCACGAGGTGAAGTTGTCGTCACGTGGTGGAGATGCAGGGACCGAAGTGTCCAACACGGAGCGGGTTTGGGGATGGCATTTCGAAACGGGCGCTTCCCACGGTTAAGATGGGCGATTTGGAGGACTAGTTGTTTCAGTCTTGGGGATTCGGAGAGGTTGGGATGGTCGGCATGGTAGGATGGATGTTTGGGTATCATGGGCCAGATTGAGTACGTGAGTGGAGAGCTCGGATGTACCATACTATTATCATTTTTTGGTAGTATTGTGTCATCTTTATGTGTTAAATTTGCAGCGTAGTCTTGTCTCGCCTCGTTTCGCGTTACGCCTCCACGTCTGGTCGTTGGCTTCTGGCCCATGCTGGCTTGACTTCCTCGTCTGCCGAGGAACAGAGCACAAAGGATGCTTCACCACAATTCTGGGCCATCTACACCTGTGGGTGCGCCTTGAACAGGCACTGCTGTAAAGAACTTTTCCGGCTCCAACGTGGCTTCCCTTTGCGTGGCTCCTCCGTCGCCTCATTGCTTTTGTCCCCCAACCTGACGCCTTCAAAACTCCCGACAGATGACCGCGCTCAGATTCCCATGGTGAGAAGCCACATGAAGAAGAGCTGAACAATGTACGAGTAGAAAAAGAGGAACTGAGTGCGCTGGTTACGCTTTGCGCGGGAGTCGGTCTGCATAGGACCGCCAGTGTTGCTCGACGTCTCGGGCAGGAGAACGTATCTCAACGATCGCATCTGAGTGACGCATTAGATTGAGATGTCGCCATCGCAGGGCGCATGGGAGACGGTAGAAGACTCACCAAGAACAGCGAATTGGCCAAAAAAGTGTAAAGGAACACGGCCCAGCCAATCCACCCACCGGTACCCTTGCCGCCGTTGAGGATCTCAGCGACAACGATGGTTACAATGATTCCCACAAACTTGTAGCCAGAGTAGGCAATCAAGTCAAGAAGTTGAGACTGGCTTGAGATGCTCAACAGGTAGCATCCCAACTTCAGGGCGACTATCTCAACGATGACTACTACCATGCCAGTCGTGGCCGTGTATCCCAACAACTCGGGTTTGAATTGGCCCTTGAGACCAGCAATCAATGTTGAGAGGAGAATATATGTGACGAGGGCCATGACTGTAAGGTACGTTGGCTTGATGTTTGGTTTGTTTGTTTGTTTCCAAGTATACAGCGACGAGGGAGGGGTCTAACCTGGGATATACATATCGGGGCTGTTGACGTCTTCGCGAGGCGGCAAGTACCATCCTTCCTGCCCGCTTGCTCCTGCGGCTTGTTTGCGTGCCCAAGGCTTGTGTCTCCAAGGGAATAGGACAAGGAACAGTTTGTTGACGACGTATGAGTTGGAGACGTTGAAGTAGTGTTTTAACGCAGAGACGTTGACGAATCGGCCAATCTATCATGACAGTTAGCACAAATGACGTCCCTCCGCATATATTACGAGCTCCCGGGAGGACATACATTCTGCTCGACATATTCCTGGCCGTGCTTGAAAGCAGTTTGGCCAAACTGCGCAGCGACCTGCGCTGTTGGATCGTTCATGAATTGTCCGTAGGCACCAAAGACGTTGCCGCTGTTACCGCCCTGCTGCTGATACGGAGTAGCCGCTCCCCCGTAGGTCTGCCCCATTGATTGCGCAGAACCGGGTGGCGGAGGCGGTGATCTGAGCTGCGGAACTGTAGAAACATGCTGCGGAACGGGGTGGTGCAACGGGGGCGACTGCCCATATGTCCCCCGTTGCATGGCGGCGATGTTGTTTCGGGGTGTTCTGGAGGTTGGAGCGCCCACGGACCAGGTCAGAGAGTGGTAGACCACAAATGCAGAGCGTCGCGACGGACGTTTTGCACGTATGGAAGGGCTGCTCTGGGCTGCAATGTAGCCAAAACACGGGCGGCCGCCAAGACTTGGTTGGTGTTTGTTGAGGCTGAGATGAGGAAATGTGGTCGTTGGAGCGCCGCGACGTCCCGCCGCCGTACTGTGTGGCTGAGCAAAGGTCTTCAGCTTCGGGGCGTGGCTGTGCCGGGCTCCTGCGCTGCACTGGTAATAGACCCAACTACTAGCAGGAGCGGAGAGTTGAACTTGCCCAACTAAGCACGGCCCTCGACCCTCTCAAACGTGATCCGTCATTTCTGGCCGTGGAGAAATGAACTGGCCCAACACCGCCTGGGGCATATTTCCTTCTCTCGTTTTGCTTTCTCTTTTCCTATCTGCATACATCGTCTTATTGCTTGGCTTTTCTCAGCGCCAGAGTTGTCAGTCCTGCAAGGTTGGAGACCTGGCGCCGCATCGCCATCATGTTAGACACTTTCGAAATCATCACCACCAACGGCGTCGTCCTTTGGTCCAGAAAATACGCCCCCGTCAATTCCTCCATTGTGAACAGCTTCATCTGCGACACATTTATCGAGGAAAAGAATGGTAGCTCGGCATTGAGGGACCCGCAATCAGCCGCAACAAATCCCCCGTACAAGAGCGACCAGCACACGTTGAAATGGACCACGGTCAAGGAGCTTGGTGTCATCTTTGTGGTGCGCGACCTGCTACCCCAGTACAGTCGACCTTGACTGCATTGCTTTTCCGCTGACATGTGATTGCTTGCAGGCTGTCTACCGATCACTCCTACATCTGTCTTGGGTCGACAGATTGGTGGACAATATCAAGACCATCTTCGTCAACCTGTACGGTGAACAGCTGAAGAAACCACATACGACCATCGTTGAATGTACCGGGTTCGACGACTACTTTGATCAGCAACTACATGAGCTTGATACGTCGACTGCATCGGATCCGACACCGCAACCGGTCCGCCCTGTCGACGACAGCCCGTCTGCTCCAGGTCTAACCTACCGAGGTCGCAATGTCAATGGTGGACAGGACGAGGGGATTTCACACGACCCGAGCCCCGTCCTCACACCAAATACTTCGAGACCGTCTACTCCAGGTACCGGAAATCTGTTGACGGCCAAAGCTGGACCTGTCGCCAAGATGTCAAGACGAGCCCGCAAAGCCAAAAACTCGACATCCGCGCCGGCGTCATCGGGAGACGAGGCGGCGGGTAAACAAAAGAAGGCAGGCAGGGGGCCCAAGAAGGGACGAAAATGGGATGCAGACGGCTTTGCCGACGAGGACGATGCAGATGTGCAGCTCGACTATTCTGCCAATCCCACGGGCGATCTCGAAGCCGATACTATCGGTCGGTCAAGTGCTTTGGATGCTGTCGACGAATCAACATGGGGAACCTCTACCAAAGGCAAATTTGTCCTCAGGGACCTGGGCGACGAAGTTCACAACATGCTTTCCTCTGCTGAAGCCGAAAAGGCCGCGGCGGAAACCAAGTCAAAAGCGAAATCCGGTCTCCTGGGCACGGGAGTCAATGCCCTTGGCGGCATGTTCCGCAACGTCGTTGGAGGCAAGATTCTGACCAAGGAGGATCTTGAGAAGGCCATGAAGGGGATGGAGGAGCATCTACTACGCAAAAATGTAGCACGGGAAGCTGCGGTTCGTCTCTGCGAAGGTGTCGAAAAGGAGCTCATCGGCGTCAAGACGGGCAACTTCGAAAGTATCAACACCAAGATCCAAACCGCCATGGAATCCTCCCTGACCAAAATGCTCACGCCCACCTCGTCCCTCGACCTCCTCCGCGAAATCGACTCCATCACGGCGCCGCCCGCTACTTCACTCCGCCAAACCCGGCCCTATGTCATTTCCATTGTCGGCGTCAACGGCGTCGGCAAATCAACCAATCTTTCCAAGATTTGCTTCTTCCTCCTCCAAAACAAGTACAGGGTCCTCATCGCAGCAGGCGACACGTTCCGGTCAGGAGCAGTCGAGCAACTCGCAGTTCACGTCCGCAATCTGAAGGAATTGACCGCCCGAGAAGGCGGGCAGGTCGAGTTGTATCAAAAGGGCTACGGCAAGGACGCGGCCACGGTAGCCAGGGACGCAGTATCTCATGCTGCGCAGGAAGGCTTCGACGTTGTGCTCATTGATACGGCCGGCCGACGGCACAATGACCAGCGGCTAATGTCTTCCCTGGAGAAGTTCGCCAAGTTTGCCCAGCCAGACAAGATTCTCATGGTTGGCGAGGTACTTTGCTCCGCCAAGCTACTCTCCGGTGATGTCGTGCTCCGTGCTGACTTGTATGCAGGCCCTCGTCGGGACAGACTCTGTCGCGCAGGCGCGCAACTTCAACGCCGCGTTCGGATCCGTCCGCACCCTCGACGGCTTCATCATCTCCAAGTGCGACACCGTGGGCGACATGGTCGGAACTCTGGTCAGCCTCGTCCACGCCACCAACGTGCCTGTCCTGTTTGTCGGCGTAGGACAGCACTACTCAGACTTGAGAAACTTTAGTGTCAAGTGGGCTGTGGAGAAGTTGCTGAGTAGTAATTAACGATATCGTTCAATGGATACACCGTGCCCCCAGTAAATAAATACTCTTGGTACGCTCGACATGAGAATGCCACAACACGGTCATACACCCATCCAGAGACGTACGTACAAATGACTTGTGAACAACCGTGATTTCACCGCCCATGGCACGAGTACGGGTTGCATTTCTCGAGTGTAGATTATTACTATTTATTTACTGGCGCCCAGCCACGGTCCGTCTCGTAACGAGGAACCATTCTCTTTTTCTCAGCCTACCACATTCGCTATGCATAAAGAAACAGACAGAGGAAACGAAAAATAATTTCAAAGCTCCAGAAGAGGTAGCTTGTTTACGATGGTATAATAAAGCCAAATCAAGCAAAACTAAACGACCTTGCCACCCCAGACGATATAGAATGCCATCCCCTCTTCACGTTTTCCTTCTTTTAGTCTTCCGGTCTCTTCTGTTTTTTTTTTTCTCAGTTTCAAATAGTTCTCGTCTGCGGCCGGCCGTTTTTCTTTGCAACACGCGAATCGACCAAAAAAATCCAAAGGGGGTATCTTTCTAGGGGAGAGGTAGGATTCGCAGTCTGGTGTATTGTGCATGTGTCAAAACAGGGGCGTTGAAATCAAGCAAGCGCAAAATGAGCAAGTCATTTCGCCTTGTCGGGAAACAAAAAAAAAAGACAAAGGAAAACTGCAAATTATAAAAGCAGCGTTCGCTGCTGTGCATCATATGATCACAGTTGCTCTCGGCATTCATTCCGATATGCTTTTATCCGCCAGTCATCACCAAGGAATATGAACTCAGTCGTCTTCGAAGAAATCGTGATCGTCAAAGTCCCCAGGTTGAGCATCGGAATCGTATCCGCTCTGGCGAATCATAGGCGGCGTTCTGGGTTGTTCAGCACGCTCCTTGTGACGTGGCGGTGTATTGGGGGAAGCCGTCACTTTCTCTGACCTTCGAGAGCTGTTGGACCCTCTTCGGTCACGGGCCATGGAGCTGCTTCCTCGTGAGGTATAGCGACGGCCTGTGCTTGAGAAAGCTGTGGGTTGCGGCCTGTTGTCCGACGTTGGCGCTTGGCGCAGACCCGAGGCGGGCGGTGTCAGAAGTCCGCTGAGCAAACTGCTCTGGGAAGAAGGGCCACGCCTGCTCTTAGAAGGTGTCGAGTGCCCCCCGTTTACAGGAGAGCTTAGAACTCCAGAGATGGTGCGGAAGCTTGGCTGACTTGACTTGCGCCAGTTGCCCCAGGCAGCGGCAATCGGACCAATGGTCTGAGCAACACGAGGCGTGGCAGCTTGGATACTCTGAGCAATGTTGGGCAAGCTGATAGCTGAGCCTCCATTCAAAGCTCTCTCACGCTCCTGTTCCTCCATCTGTAGGTTAGCCCGGAGTCTGATGGCTGCGTCCTTCAGGGTATCGCGGTCGTAGTGGTCGCGGGACAGGGCGGAAATAATATCTTGAAGATCGCCGTGCCTTACGGCGAGTAGCTCGCGCAGCCAGCTGATTTCATCATCGCGCTTTGAAATTTTGGCAGCAGCGTCAGGATCAACTTTGGAGAGGGACTGCTCAAGCTCCTCTACTCTCTGTTCACGTGCCTGAAGCTGCTCCTGAAGAACCATGATGGACTCTCGAAGAGCCTGAGGCGAGATCTTGTCAGGAGGTCCGAGAGACTTCAACGCCTGTGGAGGTTGGGAGACGACAGGTGCAGCGCCAGATTCGACTCCAGCCGTCTTTGCTGCCTGAACGGCGGCGGCGGCAGCTTCCTTGGCGATTTCCAACTTTTCTTCAAGATGTATGATGCGGTCCTGGAGGTGCTCGATCTTGGATGATGAGAGACTGAGCCTTTCGAGGAGTTGCTGCTCAGTGCGTGAAGCATCTTCAGTAGCGTTGTTGACTCGGCGTTCGTAGCGGGCTTGCATGTCCTCAATCTCATTCTGATACTTGCGCTCGGCCGCCTCCAGCTCCACGGCCTTTGTAGAATGAGCCTCCTCGAGCAGCATCTCATTCTGGGCCCTGGCAGTATCAGCTTCGAGTTTGACGTTGTCGAGCTCGGTTCGAAGCTTGGAGTTCTGTTCCTCTAATTCCTCACGAATGACATTGACCTGGTTGTTGGCTGCATCGATTTCGGTTTGCAGAGACATTCGGGTCCGCTTGACTTCGCTGGCGCCAGACTCTCGTGCTTCTTCAAACTCGCGCTGGTAGCGTGAGGCAGCTTGTTGGAGCTTGTGGTTGTCGGTCCGTAGCTCGCTCAGCAAGCCCTCAAGTCGCTTGCATTCGTTGATGGCTCGCATGCCAGCTCTCTCATTCTTCTGTAAACGTTCCATTTCTACCTCGAGACGCTCACGGGTCTTTGCTTCAGCCTGCAATCTGGCCTCGAGGACTTCTTGTCTGGCACACATAGCCTGGTCTCCCTTGATGTGGCGAGCATTTTCCTCGGCCACCTCGCGGGCAGCATTGCCCATGTCGTCCTGTAGGGACAGAAACTTGGATCGCCAGGATTCACGAAGCCTCTCATTCTCCTCAAGCTGAGCAGTCAGAGTGTTAAGCGACTTCTGCAGGTGCTTGTTCTCATTCAGAGCATGTGCAAGCTCTCCAGCAGTTCGTCGTGCAGTCTCATCGGCCCTCTCGGCTTCTGACCTCCAGTGGTGGTTGTCCTGGCGAACAGCCTTCAAATCAGCATCTAGGGCGTTGAACTTATTCGTCATTTCGGTCTGAGACTTGGTCGAATTGGTCTGGGCGGCCTCCAAAAGGGTCATGCGCATCGCGTTCTTGCCCCCAGACTGTTCGAGACTTTTGATTCTTAGGTCCTTGTCATCCAGAACATCGCGGAGCCGGCCTTCTTCTTCGGAAGATATTCGAAGAAGTCGCTGCACCTCGGCGAGTCTATCTTCGGCCGCACGTCGAGCCTTTACTTCTTCTTCAGTCTTATCCTCTTGAAGTCTCAGACGCTCTTCCAGATCAGCAACCCGCTGATCAAAAACACTGCGGTTAATGATTTCCACCTCGACACGAGTTTCAGCGGCTTGGAGCTTCCTGTTCATCTCAGCACCAGCATCTTCGGCCGCACGGCGTTCGGCGATTTCCTTCTCCGTCTTCTTTTGCTCGTTGGAGAGTCGTTCTGCGAGGTCCATCATCATGGCCTGAAGCTCGTTGATCTTGTTCTGGGCATGGTCCTCGGGCCCGGGGGTGAGTAGGTCTCGGCCTCGTACCTCACCCTCCTTCTCTTCATCTGGCAGAGAGGAAGTCTTCAGACTGGCTGTGAGGTGCTCCTTCATTTCCTCCAGGGCTTTCAAGATGGCAGAGTCATCATACACGGGTGCTTCTCTTTCCATAACTGGGGCGATAGGCTGGTTGCGTTGGTGTGCTGCGAAGGCCTCTGTAACAGCGAGTCTAATATGTTCCATCCTGCGATCACGGCGCGGGCTAATGGAACGCTGAGGAGCAGGTTCGTCGTCTTCGTCGTCCGCGTCGCTCTCCTTCATTTCAGATGACGTACTACGCGTTTCACGGCGCGTCGACGTATTGCGACGGCTTCTAAGAGCCTCTTGAATGGAAGCAAGTGTCTTCTCCAGGGGATCTAGCCGAGAAGCCAACAGAGAGCCAACAACCTCATTGACACGGCCGTCAAAGAACTGAGCGCGGCTCTCCAGCTTTTCATACTCATCTCCCGTGAACGCAGCCTCCCAATCACTAGCTGGTTCGCTTGCAATCTCGGGGTCGTCAGACTCGTTGGCGAGCTCAGGTGAGCGGGTGCTGATGGGCGGGTCCACAAATGGATCTTCTAACTCGGTACTCAACATTGGGGTAGTATTGGAGATGGCGTCGAACTGGCGGGGAGTAACACCGGTTTCGTCTCTAGAGAACCCATCGATAGGTGGCTGAAGAACCTCAGCAGGAGCATATTCCGGTGAATGATTAGGCTGCGGCTGCCAGTTCGGGGGCTGGGGCAACTTGTTGACTCCCATGGAGGGGTCTGTTTCCATTTGCTGCATCACTTCGTCAATCTCTTCGAATGTGGGCTCGCGATTGTCGCCAAGGTCGATCAAGCGCTTGTCCTGGGAGGCATTAGGAACAACTGCAAGTTCCGGCATTGAGAGCGTGACAGCTTCGTCCTCAATGGACTGGATAACATGAAGCTGCTGGACGAGATCAGGCGATTGGGGCCTCGCAAATCGGGATGCAGCAAGGCCCCTAGGCTTGGGCGTGAGCTTAACACGGGGAGCCTGAAGTGTAGACCCGGCGGCAGCTTCCTCTTGTGCAACTTCTTGAGCGGGATCTTCCTCCAGTTTACTGCTGCCGGGGCTTGGAAGGTAAGCAGCTGGCGATGCGCTACCAGGGATGAATGGCACAGCAGTGGCCGACGGGGACTTTCGTTCTTCGCTTCCTCTGGTCCTGTGTCCGGACAGGCCACTCGATGGCGAGACCCGCGTGGCAACTTCTGGTTCAAACTCCAAGTGGAGAGGGTTCCTGGCTGTCTCTTCGGTCTCTTCGGCAGTTGAGGTTTCAGATGGAGCTGCCGTCGTAGCCTTGGTGTCAACATGATCAGAAGTGATTACCGAAGACAATGAGGTATCCCCGAGCTGTGTCTGTTCCCCATACGTAGAGCCTTCTTCCGCATCACTATTATCATCCTTGACTTCACTCACGTGATCAGGCTTGACGTCTTCTTCCTCTTCTTCGGGGCGTTCAGCAAACGTAGGCAACATATCACCATCAGGTGCGGAACTCTTGGCACGCTTGACTCTGGATTCGTCCACCAGGTGGCCGTCGGGACCTTCGCGGAGATTATCGTCTTCAGAACGGGGAGATTGGGCAGAGGATCTGCTGGAAGGTCTGACAATGGGTATGGCCTTGGACTTCTTCGCTGGGCGCACAATGTCTCGCGCTGGAATGGTAACGTTGCCAAAGATGGAATCTTGACGAGCAGCGTGACCACGTCCACCTGCCGGGCTGGTGACCAACGGCTGGAAAGGTGTGAATGATGGGGCGTCGGGTCGAAACTTGGGCCCCGAGGTTGAAAAACTGAAAACGCCTCGTCCAGGAGAGAACGAGGGTGCACTGGCATGCATCTTGGATGTGCCGAACTGTGGGACAGGGTTGATTGGTTCCAGAGACGTAGGGACCTCCTTAACACCTGACTGGAAGGCTGCCGGCTGGAAGCCACCTGTGAAATTGTACATGCCACCCGGAGTAAAGGTGCTTTCAGGGTTGAACTTGAATTCAGGCGCCTGGACGTTGAGTTTCGATAAAGATGGCTTGCTACCGTGGCTGGATCGTCTGGTGCTAGCAGCACCGGAGTCTTGATCCTGCCATGGGTTACTGACAGTAGAAAACGTCTTTTGGTGTTGTCCAAAGGCGGCAGAGAAAGTAAAGTCCTGTACAGGGGTTCCCAAATCACTGGGATTTGTCTCGATCTCTTGGGCTTCATCCTCATCCTTTTGTGTCTCTGGTAGCTCCTTCAAAGAACCCAGCTTGCCCAGGCCTTGCTCGTCGATTTGCTCTTGAAAGAAGGTTTGTGTCAGTGAGTGTCCTCTAGAATGAGGTCTGGGATGGTGCAGCTCCATGGGTTTGCCAGGTTCATTAGCAAAACGCTCGGCGATCGTCAGTCCATGAGATGGCTTATTAAGACCTTGCATGGGAGCGAAGGGCTTCGTCACTGTAGACCGAGGGTTGTAGTCCTCGTGTTCGAGTTGATTGCGGAGTTGCTCCTCAAGATGATATTCAGCGTCGTCAATCTCTGCTTGCAGAGTGTCGCCACTATTGCGGGCAGTAGGTTCTGGGGTCTTGGAGGGACTTTTGCTCAAATCATCCTCATCATCCTCGCGTACATCCTGTAGCCGCGGGGACGCAATGGATGCCATCTGCTGAGGGAAGTATTGCAAAGACTGGTGACGCTGGTGAGGATTGAAGACAGGACTTGCAGATTGTTGAAGGCCATCGAAGCCATACGGTGACTGCGGAGACAAAATTCCATTCAGGCTTGCAAGAGGCGAGTCATTACGATTCAACCCCTGCAAAATACCAGCTGGGTTGGACCAGCCCTGTGGCTGATGAGCAAGCTGGAAGGGTGAATTACCAGTTGGTAAAGAGATCGACTGGCGAGGATTAAACTTCCCGGGAGCAAAGGACACCGGGGACGCGCCAGACGGTGCGCCGGGGCTTGTAGAAGCCGGCAAGAGTTGCGCAGGGAATGGATAACCCGGAAGCCCGTGAGTGCTAGACGTTGACGACGTGGGGATCGGGGGAGAAAAGGGCAGAGACGGATACATCGCTGAAGCCTGTCTGGACGGGTTGGTCGTTGGTGGAGAGACGGAAGATTCTGGGGGCTCCTCCTCAGCGAACGAAACACCCAATGCTCGCAGCTTGGCTTCTTGAAGCTCGTCAACGTAATTTTTCCATGCTGTGCAGACGTTAGCAGCTGTAACCGACCACATGCAGAGAGTTTGGGGGCTATACCGTTCAAGTCTGGTAACAAGACTTTATAACTTCTTTCTGATCGCTCCCGGGCCATGTCATTATCCGTGGGCCAATCTTGTCGGCTCTGGGAGTCATCGGTGCCGAGAGGTTGATATCCTTCCACGAAAAGGTCAAATCCATTCACGCTGTAACCTAGCTCCCTCCACGATGAAAACATTCTTTCCACTTCTTCAGGTCGGAGTGGCATAGGGGCACCTCCCGCGAAGCCACGTTGCTCGTCGCGGGGAACCAGGACCATGATATTCTTGCCTCTCCACGGCACCTTCTTCTTAATTCGCGGAGTCATCAAAGGCTCCATAGGCAACGGTTTTTCCTTGTTCTTCATGGGTGTGATGGGGGTCTCGGGCTCTCTACTTGGGTCGTGACCGCTGCTGTTTATGCTCTTTTCGGCAACCTCAGCTGTAGGGATATCAGCTCGGGGCTCAACTGGAGATGAACCCTCTTGTGTGAGATTGACCTCACGGGAGGTCTTCTGCAGCTCTACGTCGGACATGTTGCTGGGTTGTCTACCCGTTGCTACCTCGGGAAGCTCTTCGGGTTTCAGCGTTTCAACACTTGATCGTCGTCGGAGGTGAGTGGGAGACGGCTTGCGCGACGCAGGCTTCGGTCTTTGGGTAGCACGCGGGGTACGGGGATCGCTGTCGTCGAACCAAGCCGACTGCGAGCCGCTCAGTGAAGAGTGCTCGCTGTCGCTTCCGTCACTGAACCAGTGTCGTGGTTCGGCGTTGACCACACCAGTAGTGTGGGTGCGAATCCAATCCTCGGTGAGGCCCCTGTGTTGCCTCCTGGCACGATTGGCAAGAACCGCGGCGGCAGCACTGATAGTTGCCTGTGGCTGTCGTCGCTCGTCGTGATTTTCGCCCGGCTGCGGACGCAGGAAGGGCGTCTCAATGTTCAAGTGGTGAATTGGCGAGTCGTCCGAGGGCTCGCTGCTAAAGCTCTGCCGGCGAAGGTTATGATCTGTTCGCGGATAAGGGGAACCCCAGCTAGCAGTGCCAAAATGAGTATCTTCACTAATCTCAGAAGGCGGAGTTCTCAAAAGTTGCGCAACCCGGCCTGGCAACTCGGGTGCGGGCAGCGGAGGGAGGGCCGGAGATGACTCGATGTCTTCTTCTTCACCATCAGCCGTAGACGTGATCGACAGGGCCGGGGAGCTCGGCGACGGAAGTCGAGACCGAGATTCTCCGGTGCCGTCCTGTGCCGACGCACCAGGAGCAGGAGTCGCCGAAGAGATTGATGGCGACGTCTTCACGAGAGCCTGCTTCCAGAAGATGCGGTCCAATAGTTAGCCCGTGGGACATGGCGAAAAGCTTCAGCACACGAAAGCGGATTATGGTGATGAAAGAGGGACTTTGATTGAGACAGAGCACAAAGGCTCCAGCCTCCTGCATCAACCGTCCCCAAGACCCTCCTATTCCCAATGCATGCTGAGAAACAGACGAGAAAAATGGGGAGTCTCACCAAGTGAGATTCAGCGCAGACGAGGAATGTGTCGCCTGCTGCTGATTCTCTTCTATATTTTCCCTCACGGATTCGACCGCAAAACTTGCACGTTCCCGATGGCAGGTATCGCAGCCGCCGAGTTCGTGAGTCGTCGGCGAGTCAGCGAGTCAGCGAGTCAGCGAGAGAGCACAAGGTACTCCGTAACGCGACGCGTTTTGCCGCTAGGATTCCACCCCAAGGAAAGGGGGCGGGTCAACGGCACCCAAGCCAAGGGCCACGGTGCAGCTTTGTGGCGGCTCGCGGGCGGGAAATTGTGTGCAGTGCTGTGCTGCCTCCGCAAATGTTTCTACTCAACAGCACAGCGCAAGGCGACAGCATCAGAGAAGAACGACACAGGGACAAACACAGGGACGTGGCGATGCCGCCGGACACATTGGAGGGTCCCAAGTCGTCGGTCCGAGTCGTCAGGGAGCCCGATGGCGGGAGCAGGGCGAGAGAGCCAGAAACAAAACAGAAAGACGACACTGAGGATGGTGCAGAGAAGACTCCGAAACGAAAACACTTGGCCAAAAGGGAAGCTGGGGGCTGGGGGCGGCCACCCAGGTACGTACGGTACGTACTCCGGAGTCCGTACAATGGTGGTGACTCTGGTGAGTCGTGACTAGCTCCAGCCGGCTCGGTCAGCGTTTTCAGGCTTGGGCTTGGCCTTGCGGCTTGGGTGCTGCAAGTCTGGTGCCGCATCAACTGCACAGCTTCTGAACTACATACTTCATTGTCCTCCAAAGTTATTTGCATCTTCACCACTGAGTCTAAATTGGAGCGAGGCATCGACCCGGCCAGGTCTTGCACTGCAGGTCCAAGCGACACAGGCTGCGACGTGGGTCGATTCTGTCAGGTCTGTCTGTCTGTCTGTCTAACCAAGTTTGGTTCTCGTGGGGCCGCTCTTCTCTTCAGTCCATCCTCACTTCTTGTCGTAGCTAATCAGCACATTCCTACTCAAGTGCTTAAGCATCGACCCAAGGACAGCTCGCAAAGCAAAACGTCCCTACCTCCCTACCCTCTGATAGCTAGAGCCTGATGATGCTTGCTCTTGTTGTTCTTCGTCCTGCCGACATTCCGCCTCCTCCTTGGCACTTGCAGGCGGTTGACGACACGGGAACAGGACGCCCAGCCCGAACGCTTTGATGAACCGACCGACCCGCCCTGGCTTGCGCATTGCGGAGTACGAGTTAGGCACATGGCGCCGAGTCGCGACGTAATCTCGCTACAGGGGAGAGTGATGAATAGTGCAGCGAGGCCAGGGTTTGGCACGGTTTCATTGGCAGACTGACCCAGAATTTCAAAGGTACGTACTCCCAAACAATCATCAGGTCGTGGATCCGACAACGTTGAACCACCAAAAGTGCTCCGTACCTCCGTCCGGTTTGATTTGTGCCAGAATGCTATCAGTCCATGTCCCGTCCTCATATTCTCCAAGGTCTGCAAGAAACAGATTTATGTCAAAGCAACAGCAACAGTGCGGAGCAACGCCCACCCCAACTCCCACGATCTATGGGGTGCGCGCGAAATGCCGAGGGACGGACGGGCACATGCTCTTCTTGCTGGCTTGCGTAATTCTATGTACTTACTTACTTAGTAAGTACGAGAGAGTACTAGGAACTCTAGGGTCCACGGCCCTCCTCCCTCTTTGGCGTGGCCGTCTACTCCGTATGTGCTCCGTACTCCCAGCACTTTGCCCACCGCCTTTCTCGGGGAAGTGGGCCAGTCCACAGAAATGTCAGGCACCACAGCCGGGAACTACGTATTAGTCTGCCCGACCGAGTCCAAGTTCACCGCCCACCACTCACACTCACGGCTTACTAGCCACGAATTTTGAGCCCATCGCGTCGGTCCCTGTGGCGTAGCCTTCTCTCTCTCTCTTTTTTTTTTTTGTTTTCGCGTTTTACAAGCAACTCGCATGTCCAGAAACACGCCCCTTTGCGTGTGGCCTACAACAGGCCCGTACATCCACGTAAATTTTCCCGGTTGTGCGCACATCTTTTCTAGAGCTTTCGTGAATCAAGTTCGCAGAGACTCAAAGCCACAAAAATCCTGCATCTAGTGCCGGAGGCACGGGCCATGACCCACGTCGAATTGTTGAGGCGGCGCGTCTTGATTGGCTGGGAGCCCGTTTGTTAGCAACCTGGTCTTCGAAGCTTCAACCCAACCGCTCGTCTGCGCCTTCTCCAGTCGCTTACGGAGTAACTACTTAAGTAGTTTTAGACCACAGACAGACTCTGCACATGAAGCACTGCAACTTTGAAGTTTTAAAAAAGATGCGTGGTCCATGGCTTTGCTTTTTTCGTAAAGCCTCCCTTTATTGTCAGCCGCCACCAGATCGGCCCTCTTGTTCCCGTTGTTACATTCCGAGAGAGCCTGGCTGCGTGTTCATTTCTGTCCGCCGACTCTGAATCTGCTGCCAGCACGTACGGTTGGTACCCTTTGCGAAATGATCGTTGCTTATTAATTAGGGTGTCTATATGAAGTGTAGCTTTTGAGTCAAGTTCGCTATGCAATTGCCGAACACTATAGGCTAATTTTATACCATTCACCAACTGCCTTTCCTCCTACAACAGACATGTAGCATCTGTCTCCTTGGTTTCGTGAGCCGACACGTCCCGAATTATCAGTTTGTCGGCAGCTGCACAGAAATAGCTACGTACCAGCTCCTGAAGCCTCCGCGCCGTCCAAAAAGGTAAATGAAAGTGAACAAATATCAGCTTTGCCTATTTACGCATTGGGGCTATGCGTAAGAAAATTCCTAAACGCCACGTGGTAAACAATTGCCTCGACTGCCGTCAATGCCACTTGTAGCCGCAATTAAAAGTTGGCAGATGCATTGACCTGGCCAGGCTGATGGTAGTTTTCCAGAGTAGACTGGAAAGGGTTGCGTTGAGTATGAGCGCCTCCAGCACTACTGCCTCGCTCAGACTTTTCCACGCCTCTGGTTGCAGACATGTCAAAGGCCATGAGGCCGTCGTCCTCCTCACTATGCTTCTTGCGTCCCCAGATGCGCCAGGCTACCAATCCGAGAGCACCTAGAACGATGGCACCACCAACACCGACAACGACGCCGATGACAGTGTTTCGAGTCTTGGTGGGCATGCCGGTAGTCTCGCCATCCCCAGACGTGAGGCCAGGCGTAGAAGTCGTCTTCATGGTTGAGGAGAAAGTTGTTTTGGAACCGTCGGCATCAGTCTTGGTGAATACTCCGACAGAAGTTTGAACAACAGGGGTGGGAGTGCTCGAGGTCGGTTTGCTGCTCGAGCTCGTGGTTTGTGCTGGGGTAAAGCTGGAGCTTGGAGCAGCTGAAGACGAGGTTGACTCGGGAGTGGCAGACGGGGTAGCACTGGCTGGAGTAGACGACGGGGTGCTTGAAGAACTAGTTGTCGTAGTAGAGGAAGAGGCGGATGATGTAGACGTCGACGAGCTGGATGGAGCGCTCGTCGGGGAAGGCGTAGATTCCGAAGTAGGAGTAGTAGGGGTGCTTTGAGCCGTCCTTTCACTTGCTGAGCTTCCTCCGACCAGGTCGCTACGTTGGCGTGCAGCCAGGCCAGCAACGTCTAACTTATCCAGATGTTGCCATGTTGACTGAGCCACAGAGACGATTGCGGCGGCAACAAGCAGTTGCTGCAGAATCTGTTTCGAGTGCATATCGATCGGTCTTCTGGGGGAGCGAGCAGCGTCGAGGAGTTCCACGAATCAAAATACCCCTAAGGAGTAGGAGTACACGTCGGGAAGAATGTCGGGTGTCGTCTTTCTCCAAAGTGAGTGAAATGTTGTGCAACGAGCGTTTAAAGGCCCTCGGAAAACGACCAACATACAGATGCCCACTTTGGTCTTTCAAGACTGCGGTGATGCGAGATTGATAGTCATGTGGTGCGTGGACTGGGATGTCGTCGGGATAGTGAAATGAAAGCAGGTGGAGTTTCTTTCGCTGCAAGGGAAGACGCGGTGATTCGAGATTCTGGTGGAGCGGGTTCCAGCGGCGAAAAAAAAATTTTGAGAGGAAAGATGTTGGGAGCGTTTCGCTATTGTTAGCTTGGCAATGATGAAAGGGATCAGAAAAAAGAAAGGACCATCGACTGTACTAAGTACGTAGGGAGAATGTACTCACAGCCTCACAGAGAGGTGGGAAAAAAAAAAGGCAGGTGGGTGAGAGGAAGAAGTCACGCGGGCCAACCGTGAATCGGTGCGAAAGCCAGCGCCAGGGTGCCAAGGAGGGCGGTGGGCGGTGCGTGAAACTTCGTATTCCCTGGTTGGACAAGGACTGGCATCCAACCATGCATCCATCCATCCACAAACGTGGCACACCACAATTGTGCTCCGTGCAGACCATTCACAGGCAGCCAGTCGCAGTCGCAGTCGCAGTCGCAGTCGCAGTCGCAGCCGTCAAGGCTCGAGGTTAGAGACCATCACAGAGTTTTCGCTTGGGAAGCAGCGTGGCACACTCGGACCGTCTAAAACACCGGCATTTGAGAAAAGAAGGGGATTTCTCCCGACACTTGGTGCACCGACGACACGTAATCATCGGGGATGGCATGAGACGAGGGCTATTGGCCGCCGGCTGGTGGCCCCTGGCGGCTATTCTGGGCACGTTTATTGACGGGTCCCAGAATTAGAAGAGACCCTACACAGTCTCACGAGTGGCCGACCGACAGGACAGAAAACGGTTGGCAGGGACCCCCTTCACTAGCCCATGCCATGGACAAGCCCGTCCTGTGTCCGCTGTCAGGATGGCAACTTTCAGCCAAAGGTAAAGTAGGTAGCTCACGAGTACGGAGTACGGAGTACTTTGGGCTCCTTTGCATCAGCTTACTTTTACTCTCCAAGGTGCCTGACCTTGTCAGGTACCAGGGTACCTCGTCCTGTCGGGCGGGATTTTTGGTGGGGTGGAATCGCAACCGGCCATGGCGCCACTAGTTCCAGTATTTGCGAGGCGCAGCAGCCCTTGTGCGATGGAATTCTAAAAAACAGGCGTGGCTTGCCAGGTCAACGTAGGTACGGAATACCGGATGATTGTTTTTTCCACAATCACCAGCCTTTGTCACTCCATGACCGCGCCGTAATGTCGTTCTACTCATTAACGTTATTAAATGTCCTTCTGCTCGTTATTACATCTGTGTTGGTGAGATGGACTGCACAACGCGGATCATCTGCCCGTGTATCCGTGTAGCCTTGTGCGCCTGCAAACTCAATCTGATCCAGCGTACGGAGCACTCTGTAGATGCGGCAATTCGCAATCACTTCGTGACGGCGCTCCTGAAACCCATCAGCAACGCTTTGGCGTACGCACATCCCTGATATCAGTTTTGCTTTGATGACCTTTTTGGGTGGCAAATCTGGAATTTGCTTGAGAAGGGCAAAAAAAAAAAAAGACGAGCAGTGAGTTCCAGCCTAAACCAGAGTCACTGTTTGCCGGCCAGACATTGTATCCCCAACGCAACGTCGTGCAGATCACTCTATACTGATCCTGGTCCGCGGCAAAGAACTGGCGTATCAGGTTGTTACTGACCCTTTTTATTAGTTTTGAGTTTAGCCGGCCACGTTATTTATCTTGAGACGGGTGAAACACCATCTGGCATTTGATTCCTTCCTACCCGGCACCTCCCATCCTTGAGAAAACTTTCGAGAGATGTCACCAGCACCAACCACCCGTAGATTAGTTCAACCCACCAAGAAATACACACAGGACAACGGCAATCTCTTAAAAGATGCAAGGTTCTCATAGCCAAGTCAACTTATCCAGAACCTTGGGAGCTCGTCCATAATTGCGCCAATCACCAAAGTCGCGTGCGTGGTGTTGGGAGCTTGCTCAACTCGCACATCTCCAGGATGCAACATCAAGACGGCCGGCGGCCCCCTTTCCCGTCTCTGGGATCACGTTCCAAGCCATAAACGGTCTGGTCAAATCAACTGGCCTGTGTTCCTGGCAGCCGAGGGGATTGCTCGTCTCTCCCTTGACCGCATCGGCATCGGCATGGCATGGCACGCGCCGCACTGCAACACAGCGTCACATTGCTCGTCACGCTCGCCACGCCGTGTCTTCCCTTTCCCTTTCCCTTGGGGAGTCCCATTCACGCCCGCAAGCCCAGGCCTGTCATCAGTCCTCGTCAATGGTCACGGGGTCATCTCTCGTTCCCCGCATTGCAACACTGCAACCCTACCGTCGTGCTCGCTGGCACCATCATCAAGCTCGCGCGTGTGTGTATCTGAATAGCCGTGGCATTCAAGTGAGGAGACAATGGCCATTGTCCGCCGTCGTGTCTCCCTTCCCTTCCTCTTGGCCCATCAACGTAGAGCTCATTGTGAAAGAGGCCCGAGATAGACAGGAGCTTCAACGTCAGCAATGAAGCCATCAGGAGTTCTTGGTGCTGTCGCACTCCCGCTCTGCCGCGCCCTCAGTCTGGGCGGCCGTCCGTACCAATTCATCCACGAGGCAGATGGGCGTTCTGGCGCTCTCCAGGATTTTGTTACCTGGGATGAGCACTCGCTCCTTATTCGCGGCGAACGCGCCGTCATGTTCTCGGGCGAGTTCCATCCGTTCCGCCTCCCCGTGCCGTCGCTGTACTTGGATGTTTTCGAGAAGATCAAGGCGCTCGGCTTCAACATGGTTTCGTTCTATGTTGACTGGGCGCTGCTGGAGGGGAAAAAGGGCGAGTTTCGCGCAGACGGGATATTCGCTCTGGAGCCCTTCTTTGAGGCGGCCACCGAGGCGGGCATCTATCTGCTCGCGAGGCCCGGTCCGTATATCAACGCAGAGGTTAGCGGCGGTGGTTTTCCGGGATATTTGCAGCAGGTAAAGGGGACTCTGAGGTCGCAGGCGCCGGACTACTTGAATTCGACGGACAAGTAAGTTTTCTCGCATCAGGCAGGGTTGTGCGGGCTGTCGTGGCAAGAGGAAGGGTGTGTGCGTGTGTGCCGGCGTCGTTGGTGTTTACCGCGAGGCCACGTCTGTTGTCTGTTATCTGTTGTTGGGGGAAAAGAAAAAAAAGAAGGGAAAAACTGACTGGCATGGCACGTGGAACGCAAATAACTGATAAACCGGAAATACCAGCTACATGGCCCATGTGTGTGGTATAATCGCCAAGTACCAAATCACAAACGGCGGACCAGTCGTCCTCTTCCAGCCCGAGAACGAGTATTCCTCAGGACACAACATCCCCTTCCCCAACGGGCAGTACATGCAATATGTCATCGACCAGGCGCGAAGCGCAGGCATCTCGGTGCCCATGGTCAACAACGACGTTGGGCCGGCGGGAAATTATGCTCCTGGCAAGGGCGTCGGAAGTGTGGACATTTATGTGAGTCTAGAACCAGCCCATGGGCCATGGTCATTGATGGAGACGTGTCAACATGTCGACTGACGTGCTTGCGCGCGTAGGGACACGACAGCTACCCCCTGGGCTTCGATTGCGTAAGTCGACGTGTCGTCTGGTGTAAACCGCGGAGAAGAGAGCAGTCCAGCTAAGATGCTCAGGGCAATCCTACCGTCTGGCCACCGGATGGTCTTCCGACAACCTTTCACCGGCTCCATGAGAAGCAGAGCCCCAAGACTCCGTACTCCGTCATCGAGGTATGTTGCCAACACACCACGTAGCAGTAGCCCAGGTGAATTTGAGAGACGGGGGCTGACGGGGAAAACACCAGTTTCAAGGAGGCGCGTTTGATCCCTGGGGCGGCTGGGGATTCGAAAAGTGCGCGGCCCTCGTGAACCACGAATTCGCGCGTGTCTTCTACAAGAACAACTTGGCGGCCGGCGTGACCATTTTCAACATTTACATGGTACTTACCTCAAGCTGTCTCCGGCCTCTGCAAGAGCGTGTACTCATGAATCCTGCAGATCTACGGCGGAACAAACTGGGGCAATCTCGGCCACCCAGGCGGCTACACGTCCTACGATTATGGCGCAGTACGCTTGTTCCCCCGTCACTTTTCCTCCACCAACGGTTGAGCGAGACACTGAATGCTCTTCAAAAGTGCATTCGAGAAAATAGAGTCATAGACCGTGAGAAATACTCCGAAGTGAAGCTCGAAGCCCAGTTCATCAGAGTATCGCCCGGCTACATCACCGCCGCCGTTGGGCCGGCCTCGACGACGGCATATTCCAACAACCCGGGCATCACCGTCACGCCCTTGACATCCAACAAGACGGGCAATTTCTTCGTCGCCCGCCAGACCGACTACGCCGCCACGGGGAGCGTCTCCTACACCCTCGCCCTGCCTACTTCCGACGGAACCATCATTGTCCCTCAGCGCGGAGGGAGCCTGTCCCTGCACGGGCGGGATTCCAAGGTGCATCTGACGGATTATCCGGTGGGCGACTACACGCTGCTGTACACCACGGCCGAGGTATTCACCTGGAACAGGTACGCCGACAAGAAGGTCCTGGTCTTGTACGGTGGCCCCGACGAGCTACACGAGTTTGCGGTGAAGGCCCCTTCTGCAGCTCAAGTCATGCACGTCGAGGGGAGCAGCATCTCGCCCCACGAGCAGGCTCTGTCGACAGTTGTGCAGTGGAAGACGTCGTCAGAGAGGCAATACATTCAGGTTGACAACCTGGCCATCTACCTCGTCGGTAGGCTACCTCTCCAACTCCCCCTCTCCCCCTTCAAACCACGCTTCTTCAGTCTCCCCCCATGCTCTAACAAAAGACGTAGATCGCAACGCGGCATACAACCTTTGGGTGCCCGTCCTCCCGGGCGCCAACTCGTCCCGATACGGCACATCGCTCATGAACCCAGACGCAGCCATCGTCAACGGCGGCTACCTCGTCCGCTCGGCCTCCGTCAGCGGCAGCACGCTCTCGCTCCGCGCCGACTTCAACGCCTCGACGGCCCTCGAGGTCATCGGCATCCCCGACGGCGTCACCGCGCTGTCCGTCAACGGCAAGCCGCTCAAACACACCACCTCCTCAACAGGAAGCTGGCTCGCCCAGCCGGCCATCACCATCCCGACCCTCCAGCTCCCGTCCCTCCCGGACCTGACCTGGTACGCCGTCGACTCCCTGCCCGAGATACACCCTCAGTACGACGACTCTTGCTGGCGCACCGCCTCCCAAAGCCCGAGCCCGAGCCCCAGACCCGGAGCGCACCACGAAAGCCTCGATGCGACCGCCCTCGCGGACCCGTCCCGCGTGTCCCTCCACGGCTCAGATTACGGCTTCAACACGGGCACTCTCCTCTTCAGAGGGCACTTCACCGCCTCGGGGCACGAATCGTCCTTCGGAGCATGGACGTCCGGCGGCACGGCATACGCCAGCGCCGCCTGGCTCGACGACCGCTTCCTCGGGTCCTTCAAGGGCAGCGACGCGGTCGAGAGCCAAAACTCGACCTACGCCCTCCCCCGCCTGACCGCCGGCGAGGCGTACACCGTGACCGTCATCGTCGACACCATGGGCCTCAACGAGAACCTGAACCCGGGCCACGAAGACATGAAGGTCCCGCGGGGCATCTTCTCCCACGCGCTGCTGTCCCGCCCAGGCGCGCCCGCAACAAACATGACGACGTGGAAACTCACCGGCAACCTCGGCGGCCAAGACCACGCAGACAAGTTCCGCGGGCCCCTCAACGAAGGGGGCCTCTTCTTCGAGCGCCAGGGGTACCACCAGCCCTGGCCGCCCCTGGACGCGTTCACCCGCGGCCCTTCTCCCTACGAGGGCCTCGACCGCGCCGGCGTCGCCTTTTACGCCGCCCGGATGCCGCTGGACCTCCCTGCGCACGAGTACGACATTCCGCTGTCGTTTGTCTTTGCCAACGACACCCGGCGGCGGCGGCGGCAGGGGGGCGACTACAGGGCCCTCCTGTACGTCAACGGCTTCCAGTTCGGCAAGTACCTCAGCAGCATCGGCCCGCAGACCGAGTTCCCCGTGCCCGAGGGCGTCCTCGACTACAACGGCGACAACTGGATCGGCCTCGCCGTGTGGGCACTGGACGCCGCCGGCGCAAGAGTGCCCGGCTTCACGCTCACGTCCGGCACGCCCGTCCAGTCTTCGCGCAACAAGGTCCGTCTCGTCGCGGGGCCTTCTTACTCCAGGCGCAAGGGGGCATACTAGCGCTTCCGCCCTCCCCTTCTCCCCTGCGTGACTTGATTGACGGCGCTGTCGCTCGGAGATGGTGGTAATAACGGGCGGCTTTTGCCCTGCGTGGTTGAAAACTTGTCACCGTTCGGGGCCACGCTCGGCTCTCCGACGTGGCACTTCGATATTCTAAATGCATGCTTTGACTTCCCGAAACGTCCCGACAACCAGTACGTGCTACACTGTGCTCTATTTGGGTATTATGCTATTATACTATTTGCCAGCCGGTGGCTCACAAAACGCCGGTTTATGAAATGAGTGAATGAGTTCGACGCGGCCAGCCACCACAGCAACCCGTAATTACATTTGTAAAGCGCAAAGCAGACATTACTTCTTGTTCCCGCGTGCGTGCCTTGCCCTCACCAGACGACGATGAATCTGCAATCATCTCCCATGGGATCAACTGTCTTGACAAGTGCGGCGGTTTATGCCCAGATGGGAATATTCTTATACGCCGGCGAGTTATAGCTGTGGAGGACCCGGTAGGGCGGCCGAGGTTCTTCCTTTGGATGTGGACGTTCCACCGAGGCAATTGCCAGAGATTCAGAAAAGGCCGGCCGATGGGCCAGAGCAGAGTGCCGACGCCGTGACATGAACACCGAGATGTAGTCTTGGACTACCTGAGTCTGTTCTGGGCTCATGGCAGTCGTAGTTTGGCTTCGTACCTGATCATGGTGACACTCGTAGCTCCGTTCATTCTCTTGATTGCTGCTTTGGAGGCCGCTCCGTGCTGCCAGTCGCCTCTGCTGCCACGGTCGTTTCGAAAAGGAACTGCGCAAAATTTCCTCGCGCGGCGGCTCTGGTGGCAGCTCTTTGGTCAGATCCGCAACTGTCAGTCTGCGCCCGCGTCTGGGAACAGCTTCCGTTTTGGATGACAAGGAGTACAGAAGGTTCGGCGCCGAGGCGGTTGCCTTGCCACTGTAGGCGTCCAACCCAGCGCCGAGTTGGGTTCGCCTCGTCAGGCTGGCAGGAAGCACACCTTCGTCTCTCACAAATTGACTATCCTGGGCCCGCAATGCAGCCGAGGTTTCATCTGGTGCCGAATCCTCGATCATGATTTGGCTGGTCGGAAGCATGCTCTGACGACTACTCACTTGTCGGCTGATGCGAAATGGGTTTCGAGGAGGAGGTACAGGCTTATCGCCGATGGACACGTCCTGGAGCGCCTCGTTGGCGGGCAGGACAGGGCGGATGGCAGTGAGGGGAGGAGTAGTACGTTGAACATGACCCTCATCACCATTGGCTCTCTCGAGTTCAGAGCCGTCCGGTAATGCTTCACTGTCAAGCATCTTGGTGTCATTTGCCCCGGTGGCAGACGAGTTACTCTTGGTGCTCTGCAAACTCGAGAGACTTTTGACTGCCCCAGAACTTGCAAGACTGTACAGGCTTTTGGGGCTGTCCAGACTGTTGATGTTCATACGGCCCTTGTAAGCTGCATCCGTCTTGGGGCTGTTTTCGAGACGGCAGGTCCTACGACAATGATCGTCCTGGCTGTAATTGCTTTCGCTATACGCGGCGGCACTGTCGACGCTGACGATGGTCTTGAGCGACTCGGTGCTCCGCTTAGAGTGTCTCGTAAGCTTTTTCGGTGACGTTGGAAATACTCTGTTGTGCTCGCTCAGCCGTTCCTCTACGTCCACTGGTACCGTGGGCACAGTCTTGAGGTCATGCGAGGCAAATCCAGTCGACAAATCATCCTCTTTCTGATGTGCAAACAACCGCTGCAGCTTTCCGGCTAATTGGGGACCGCTGTTTGATCTGACCCTCGGATTAACGGCACTTTCCTGACTCACAGAGCTGTCCCTAGGCTGCGAAGTATCGTTAATGCTGCTTGGTCTCTTTGAATTGAGGTGACTGTCATCATCGTCATCATCGTCTATCCCTGAAATACAAAGACCATGCCGCGGTCGTATTAGAGTTGACAATAGCCGCATACTGCCTCTTGACAACGAGATAATCGAATCGTCCGTGGTCTGATGACCAACGATTCCGACCCTGTCGTCACTCTCGTTCTTTGCGTCGCGTTCCGACAAGCCTTCAAGAGCGACTTTATCGGGAAATCCAGAATCTGCAACCGCCCTTTTTGATTGAATTGGGGAGGAGGAGCTATAACCGCTGTCCGTTTGTGAGAGTGAGCCTGGCGAACTGTGAGAAGAACTGGGTGACACAACGCCGCTATCCAGCCCCGATATATCCTTGATCTCTGAGCCCTCCGAGACACGATTCACACTGGGGTCATCGCTCGTGTCAATGATGTCGTCTGCGCAAGCTTTCGATGCTGCATTGTACTGCGTATGAGTATTTTGTCTTTGCTGTTGGCTCCATGAATCGTCTTTTAATACTTGAGAATGTGATGACGAAACTTCGCGCATCAAATCATAATCATCAAGAGGCTCTTCTATGAGCTCCCTGAGGATTGACAGCCGCTTTCTGTTACACGCAGTCCCCGGTCTGTCACCGAAAGAGAAACGTTCTTGACGTTTAGCCTTGATCGGAATGGACAAATTGTCCTTTAAGGCGTCTTGCGTGCCATGAAGTGCGAGACTGGCCGACGACAACGTGGGATCGGGGACATTTGAAATTGCCATGGAAGTTGGTCGGCGGCGACCTGTATCTCGACTTCTGATGCCATTCTTCGACAAGATTGTCGTGAATTGTGTTTGATTGCCTCCTTTACCACGGCGCTTATATCCTGCGACGGGAGAAAAGTTTGCAATTCGCTGTGTTCCCAGCTTCATCTCCCCAAGCTGCTGATGACCGGGTTCGCTCAGTGGGCCGAATCGGTCCTGCTCCGCCTTCAATTGCAGAGCAGAAAAGGACAGGCGCGCCCCAGTCTTTCGTTTTTCGCTGCTGCCAACGCCCTTGTCCGTCTCGGCACCTGTGGACGCTGCATTTGCTAGAACCGATGTGAGCGATGTTGAAGATCCGAAGGTATTACGGCCCTCGGGTAGGGAATAAGGAGACGGCGTCTTTGTCGCGAGACCAGAACTCTTACTCAAGGGACGTCGACGCATTGGGGTAAATGACAAGGTCGGTCTAGAACCAGCACCTGCAAACACTGGCCGTACAACAGGCGATTGGGGCCGAGTCGAGTAAGAGCCAGGGTCCTCGGAACCATGTCGATCGGATGTATCGGCGGGAGTAGTAGAGACTTGGTGCAGGTCAACAAAATCGAGATTTAACGGAGATAGTGGTATCACATCCAGCTTGATGAAGCCGGGCTTTGCTGATGAGCTTCGCCGTTCTTGGCTGTCCGCAATATCAAACGCATGTGAGAAATGTATCCCCAAACAAACTGCTGACAATTTTCAAGGACTTACCCAACTTTCCGTGGTGACGGCGGATTGACCAGCCTGCTTGCGCTGAAACCGCCGACTACAATCGCCTCGCTGACAGGCTTTGGTTGAGGAGCAATTGTTGTGAGAGTATTTGTATGCGTGTATGTCCTTGGTAAAGTCGCGTGTTGTAGTGCGAGATCAGGCCTGCGCCTCCCGACAGTAGAGTTGGTCGAGTTGCGAGGTGCCGATGGCGTCGAGCTCTGTAATTGATGTTCAGGCCTAGTGCTGTGGATTGCCAAGTTGCCTGGTTTGCGGTTTTCGGGGTCCTGCGACTGCATCTGAACATTTCGAGGGTAAAGGGGGTGTTTTCGAAGACCAGACTCGACGGAATCCCGGTTCGCGAGTCTACTCTGGTAGTCTCGAGAGGGCGAGCTCCCAAGATTAAGCTGGGAATATGGCCGCGAAGCCGGCGGGGATTTCTCTTGGGACGACATGTACGGCGTGAGCGAGGAGGGTCGATTGGGAATCGCGGCACGACCAATGTCCTTGTCATCGGCCCTAGATTGCCCCCGGGCTCGCCTGCGATGGAACAACATAGGTCCCAAGAGCCGTGAGAGGCCGGCGTGAAAGGGTCATATAATAACGGTGTAGGCCAAGCCGGGGTCCCTCCTCGAGAGGAAAAAGCGGGCACATCCTATGTCGAGGCGGAAAGAATGGCCGAACATGTATTGTATCATGTATTGTATCATGTATGTAGGCTTGCAGGCCAAGACTCAAGACTCGAGAGCAAGTCGTGTGGCGGGGGATTTAACATTACTACGGATCAGGGGGGGCCGTCCGTGAGCACCAAGGTTTATCTTGTTGGTGTTTGGAACTAGGAGGGATGGGATCCAAGTCAGCACGCGAAGGAATTGCCGCAGCCTGGACCTCGCGGCTGGCGGCTGGCGGCTGTGTCTGTGTACGGAGGACATACCTGGGAACTGGGCAACGGTACAACTCGGGCGACGAGGACACGACGGCATTGTGTGCAGAGTGCTCCATGCGGATGAGAGGCGCCGCCAGATAGATGTAGGTGGTGATTTACAATGAACCCAACGCCGGCCGATTGACGCCAGAGGATCAATGATGGACTGACGGACGGACGGACGGACGGACGGACGGATTGACGTTTGTCTGAAACACTCGACCCGTGCAGATGCAGCTAGAAAGAATTGGCCATTGGCCATTGCATTGGCATTTGGCCACGGCCACGCCAGCTGGTCGATTTGTCTCTCGAAAAGGGCAAGGGATTAGTCACTTTTCATGGCCGACAACTGGCCCAGAGCATCGCGAGTTGTGGGGAGGAGGAGGATCAGAGCCAAAAGCAGGGAGGCCCGAGCTCCAGGCAACCTGGGAATACACCAGGTACGTACCTGCCTCCAGTAGATACTTGGGTGGGCATCTAGCTACCAAGTACGGAGTAGTTACTTGAGGTAGAGAGATGTCGGCGGGGAAAAGATGAAAATATAAATAAAAATTAGAAACTATTTAGAAACTAATTAAAAACTCAAAACACAAAAGGCTTTTCCAAATTCCAACGCAAGGCATCGCATAGTATGTTGCAATAGGGTCATGGCTCAAGTAAATTCCATCTACCGGCCTCTGGTCCATTCACTTCACAGCTGGGCTTCGCGTTCGCGGTCTGAGCAACATGGCGCTACGCTACTGCTTCAGTGTCCGGGGCCGATTCAGGCCGCAACTTGAAACGCCCCGTCCGGGCGACCGTTGGAATTGGGATGGGAAAGAGTCTGTCTGGCTGGTTTCCGCTCGATTCGGGATTCCACTCGCTTCTGGCCTTCCCCGCGCGTCTGGGGTAATCGACAAAAGCAAGCACCTGCGTCATCGTGGATCGGTGTTTTTAAAGCCTGGCTCACGTGAACATGGCCCCCGTCATTCTCGGCCTGGCTTCGATGTGTGATGTTTCAGACCCCCACCGCTCACCTCACCTCGGAACCGACAAAAGTCTGGCCCAGACTTTCCCTTGACGACGCTAGTGCCGGTAGCGAAACACCCCAATCTCGTATTCCAAAGTATGACATGAACCGTGTTTGGTGTTTATATCACGGCAGTGCTGCGACGTTTTGAGGTGATGGACCCTTTTGGCATGCACACAATGTCTCAACTTTCAAGGTTGGAGGCGTCACAAGCTTTGACGGGTGCAGGGCTGTATGTATGATATACCCGTCGTGTTGATTACCGAGTACTGAGTATCAGTTCAACTACTAGGCATTTACTGGCGACAACGCACACCAAGTCGGTGGCTGACGTGGCGTACTCGTTGCAGCGAGGTTCTCAAGAGAACACATCTCCTTGGACACCGGCCAATGGCGCCGAGAGAAGGCCACACCATTCTCCAACGTCATACAATAAATAGTACATGATGATTGCGTAATCCCTTTCCCGCAAAGAGAAGAATAGAGTTTATGTGCAGATGCAGCAACTAGTACTCGGCGCACTAGCTTGAAGTGTTTTCGCCATGTGGCCAACTGCCAGGGTCCCTTATTGCCGGCCCTAAACCTACTCAAGGGCCGCAGTGACTTCACCGTCAAGGATATTCCTCGATCCGTCGACTAATCGTGTAGTTCGTGCGAGGCGGACGGGTGGCCGCGGACACAGCACGAGCTTGGAGGTGTGTCAACTCGGATAGGAGCAGGTTTTGGACAAGACATGGCGGTCACTGTTTCAGGTAAGTATGCTGGAGCAGGCCTGGTTGCCGATGCACATTGCTGAGAACCGTAGAAATGGCGAATGAATCGGATGACCGTGGCGGGGTATGAGAGCTTCACCAGTTCGTTTCGAGCATGATTCCATTGAATCTGGAGCAACCTTCGGCATCCGTCTGCCTCGACCGGGGTCCTACTAATCGTCAACCGCGTTGAACTCTGACGAGGGCATGTGCAGGTGGGCCAAGAAATAATTTGTCTTGCCGCAGCCATATAAGCATCCCGGGTGAATGCCGTGTTGGATGAGGTGTGTAGTACTTTGTCTAGACAGCAAGCTTTTCGATGCATTGGCTACAAATGACTCTTGCGTCCTTGTCGGCGCAGGTGAATGCATAGACCACACATTCCAGTTCTTCCAAGACACATCTCCCTCCTTCCTAGCGAGAAATTTTAGTTTTGAAGTCGTCAGATAACGTGGTGAGTGTAGATGGTGACAGAGCACGAGCCGCCGGTACAGTTCTCCAATGCGTCCTCATCGAGCAAAGAAATCGATTCGAAGTAAAATGCATAACTGAGGCTACTGAGCGAGACTGGATAGGCGGCTGAAATTGAATATCGACTCTGACCATGGTTCTGCGGATTCTTCCGCTGCTGCCCAACGACTATTGAGCTTGGCGCAGACATACGAGCAAAGAAGCTGGAAAACAAGACAAGACCGAAGGAGGGGACCATGAATATAGTTGACAATGGTGCTGAACGATGTGACAAGTTGTTTAAAGGAGTCGTCTCGCTGGCTTCTTCAAATGACCAAGGCTGCCTTTCACGGATACAGTCGAAAGGTCTGCATCAGTTTGTTTTAGTTGGTGCAACCTTGATTGCTGAGCCTGATCTCCTAGAATGTTTGACTGAAGGTGACTAGACAAATTAAAGACGTGCCTTGGAGCAAAATGGGCTTTGTCTGCTGTAAAGACATCGTTTGTGTTTGGCTGCAGCTTCTCATGCTGAGACTTGTTGCAGGGGCTGGGTTGGTCTTCATCGTCAGTCGTGGTCCTTGACGCAAGTAATGTTGCCCCGGGCATCTATTGCGCGGGTCACAGACGTCGCGACGCCAACTTCTGAATAGAGAAGCCTTTCTGTACGGCCAATACATCCAATCCTAGCAATAATGACAAGGTGTTGCGCGTTTGCCCTCAACCCAGATGGCGCCAGGACTAGAGTCTGGGGCACATTCATTCCCCAACGACATACGTACAGCCTTGGCCACCCATCCAAACCTCATGAACCCTACCAGCATCGACATCTACTCTGGATCCAACACCATACGAAACCTTCTCCCTTTCGGCCTCATTTGGATACCAGAGTGTCATCTCGCCAGCGACGACAAGATGGGTGGTGCGCCCGGAGTGAGAGTGAGGAGGATAATGCATGTTGCTGTTGCAGTACGACGTCAGTCCCTGGGTCCAAGAGTCTGCTCACTCCCCGACAAGGAAACAGCAGCCTCGAGATAAAACTTGGCGATCGCGGCAGGACTTGGCGGACAAGTCGTGGAAAAGCAGCGCGGCCGTCCAGCAGCAGGCTTGACCTACGGTGCATCGCTCCAGGTAAAGACGTGGCTGAAGCCCCAGGAACGCACTTGCGTCTCGTGCTCTCGGCCCATGATGAAAGCGGTCGTCAATAGCTTGAGTAAGGTCTTGTAGGAGCTCGAATTCGAACGGATATATTGGTCATTATCCAGCGAACAGTTTCTGTTGGTGAGGTGAATGAAGGGAGATTGGCGGAAGCACTGATTGGTCCTGGACGGATCCACGTTCTGCACACTCGATGGCCTTATCATTCGCGGCAAAGATGGGGTAGACTAGAGCAATTCATTAGGGGTGGGTTTATTCTTTATCCCCTCTGGCGCTTCTAGACTGTATATTACAGTAACTAGTCGTAGGATTAAAAATTACCCGGGAAAATATATACAGACAAGTCGAAGTCAATTCTAAGCAAAATAGTAGTATATAATAATTTTCAACACTACAGAGTACTACTAGAATATTCTACGACTACTAAAATATACTACAAATACTACTATAAAATACTACTACTATAATATACTCTATGTATTACTACTATTTTATTATAGACTAGCTCTAAAGAGCTACAATAAGTGCTAGCTGTAGTTATTTAGCCAAAGAATTTTTGAACCTGTAGAGGTTGGTTGAAGACGTGTCCCCGCCGCGTCGCCCCTTTCCGCGGTCAGCCGCACAATAGTTCAAACGCGAGAGTGAGGCGTAGCTCAGCTATTAGGATGCAACGAAACGAGCAACAACGAGCTAGTTTGTGGACGAGGAATGACTCCTCAGATGACGACGAGGTAGTACTAGCTAGGAGTTGGACGTCGGCACTTGATCGCATATTGGTCCAGGCAGCAGTCAACCATGGCCCCATGAGATTTGTTCCTGCAGGACTGGCCGGGCCGCGCCTGCCTTGGGAGACCAAGATCCCTTGGCCAAATCCCGGACCAATTTGGACTCGTCTACTCCGTACTCCGTACGCCGCATCGCGAGGGCTTCCTTTGCTGGCCCTTGCTCAGATTTTGCAGGAGAATGCAAGGACTCTTCATTTCCCAAAGCGTAGACGACTCGCGTTCGTCATCATGCATTAACAGGACCACAATATCTTCCTCCTTCTTAGCCGCATGCGATGGCATTCAACGTCACGGATGCCGCAGTCTTACCCTTCTCGCTGCGCCTCATATTCACACAACAATGTTGTCGTACTACTCACTCAGCCCTGTGTCGTTTGGTGCTTGTCGTCATTTACCAACCAATCCATCTTGGTTTCCGGGCACCAATCAGATTCCCTTTACGTACTACTACGTACCTCCGGGAGCCGTGTCTCATCCACAGCCTCAATGGCTCTCTCATCGAAGAGCTGATGCTCCCAAGCACGAAGGACGGAATGTCCCCTCATCAACCTTGATAGCCTGCAGGGCTGTATACATGGGCTGAAGCCACTCCACTACCTGCCCCCAACGAGGCGCGGTGCGCGTGGTGGAAACCCGCAGATGCTGACAGGGAGAGAAGACGGACGACAGACAGGGACAGGTTGACAAACATACAGCAAGCAGGAACCACCAGGATGGGATGGGATGCTACGCTGAATGCCCGCCCTTGCGCTCCCTTGCTGACATTCCCAGCTGTGATTCGAGCTGGACCCCAAATCCAGTCAGCACGAGAACTTCTCTCATTCCATCCGCCGGAGAGCTTCAAACATCCTTTGGGTCCGTGGCGACTATTCTCGTCTTGTTTGGTGATATTTGCTTCGCCATGTGCACAGATCGCGCAGTATATGCCTACCCCTAAGTCATCGAAAGCTCTCGGATACGACCCTTGGCTGTCGCATTTGCCTCTGAATAAGCAGCGCGGCCGACATGGCTTTTCTTTGCGGGTTTCCGCCGGTAAGTCTCAATGCCTCACACACACACACACATATAGTGTTTCAATATCATATGAAGGCCTTTCACCGACTCTAAATTTGCTCAAACTGATTTTACCACCTTCCAGCGTCGCCGTTTCTTAAGCCGCAAGCGTGACGATCCGGATTTTCCAAAGCGATCTCGAACAATATCCATTTTCGGAAGCTCAAATAAGAATGCACGTCAAGCGCTGCGCAGCTTGGTCGGAGTCTCAACGTTAATACCACCTGATAAATCAGCGCCACTGTCACCAAACGACCCAATCGAAATCAAGACGCCTATTGGCAACAGGTTCCACGATATAGTTGATGAGCTCTACGATGGATTGAAGGGGGACGAAGATTTATTATCAAGGGAGAAGCTCTACGTCTTCCTCAAAGACGTTCAGTGCGAGCCCATTATTAAGAATCTCGACAAGGAGCAGTATACAGCGGGCGAATTCCGTCGCGTGTTGGTGGAAGGCTATGACGTGAATGCAATTGGGCCGCCTCCAGAGAAGGATCTCTCGAGACCTCTGACCAATTATTTCATCAGCAGTAGCCATAATACATACCTGGATGGTAATCAACTTTCATCGACCAGTACTCCAGAAGCCTACAGAAACGTTAGTATTTCCGTCATCATTGACTTGGCAAATCTGGACATATTTGAGCTAACAAGGAAAACATGCTCAGGTTCTCTCTCGAGATTGCCGCTGTATCGAGATCGATGTCTGGAATGGAAACCCTTCTCCAAGTCGAGAGAGATCAAAATCCCCTGTTGGAGGACACAGTAGAGGTCCATCCAGGACGACCCTGACCAACGTAGCTCCTGTAACTGCACCGGGGAACGTGGATCAAAAGGTCAAGGTGGCGGTCAACCATCTTCTAGGAGAAAAGTCTTCTCTTCACTCACGAAGCCCGAGTGCGCACAGCCGCACTGTGGTGGAAGACTTATCCCCAAGGACAAGCCTTCTGAACCTATCAGATACGAAGGAGTCAAATGATAGACTAGAGGTCTTCCAGGCGCATTCTCCAAGATCTCCTCGACAACTTCAACCGCACCAATCGCCCCGGCAACCTCGACAGCACAGTCCTCCTCGAGGCGAACCAATTGTGACCCACGGACACACCTTGACAGTTCCCTGCGGTTTTAGAGAAGTATGTAAGGCTATTAAGGAGTCCGCATTTGAGAACAATGACTTGCCAGTCATCATTAGCTTGGAGGTCCACGCGGATCATGAACAACAAGAGGTGATGGTGAGGATCATGAAAGAGGAGTGGCAAGGCTTCCTTGTGACTGAGGCACACGAAGATTTTGATCCAAGATTCCGTCTTCCCAAATTGCAGGACCTGAAACGCAAAATTTTGGTCAAGGTGAAGAAAGCTACCGTCACAATGGAGCCAGTTAGTTCTCAGAATCCGTTAGACAGCGCAGCGCAGGTCGTCTCTCAAACCACTTCGCTGACCGCCTCGCAAGTCACCGGGAATAACATGACAAAGTGCTCCTCCCAAAGCACTTGGGAAAACGCACCCGATCGACTTGTCGCAGGTCCAGGAGACTCAGATACAATCTCATCAGAAAACAATGCAAGCCACAACTATTTCTCGGAGACGCCAGCAAAACGCGCCTCTGCGACAGCCGTTCCAGTTGCATCCCCTGACAAGGTCAACACGGGCCGCATATGCCAAAGCTTGGGTGATTTGGCAGTATACACGCGAAGCGAACACTTCAGGACCTTTGAAGCAAAGGAAGCAAAGCGGCCTGCCCATGTATTCTCGATTAGCGAGAAGCGTATCCTAGAGCTTTATCAGAGACACCGACGCGATGTGTTCTCACACAACAAGAATTATTTCATGAGGGCCTATCCCGATAAGATGCGATGGGACAGTTCCAACCCTGACCCCAGCCTGTTTTGGAGACGCGGAGTACAAATGGTGGCCATGAATTGGCAAAAGACGGATACGGGCATGATGATCAACGAAGGCATGTTTGCAGGCGAGAATGGCTGGGTCCTCAAACCTCCTGGATACCAAAGCTCGGACAAGTCGTCTGAATCCCACGACGAGGCAACGCCTGGACGCACATTAAACCTTCGCCTCACCATATTCGCAGGTCAAAATATTCCCACGCAAAGCGACGATTCGGGGGACGAACCCAGAAGCGGAAGCGCCATTCGTCCCTACGTCAAGGTCACGCTTCATGTAGAGAAGTCTGAGCTGGCCACGGGCAAGGAAATAAACGAAAGCAACTACAAGAAGAGAACAGGTGCAGGGGCAACGAATAACCCCAAGTTCCCCGAGTCTAGGAGACAGCTTGAATTCGCCGGCATAACCAACGTCGTCCCTGAGCTCAGTTTCGTCCGGTAAGCTCCCCCCTCCACAGTGCGGTTCACCGACCTTCCCGCCGTGCATCGTGACTAAGAACGCATTTTGATTAGTTTCCGGATCGGTGACGATACCCGCTTGAGCACATCAATACTGGCATGGGCATGTATCCGTCTCGACCGTCTCCGGCCGGGATACCGCTACATTCCGCTGATGGACATGGAAGGCACTCCTATACCCCACGGGGCACTATATGTCAAAATCGAGAAATCCACGGTATAAGCTACCTTCAAGAGGCCGGGGCGGTGCACGGTCATGTGGTTCAATCATCTCCGGAACTCATCGCTATTTCGAACCCCTGCCGTGAGGAGTGGTATATTGAGAAACTCACACAGAAGAGTCACACAGCCACATTTTACAAACCAACTTCATCACTAGATCCGTCCTCCGAGGCCAACATACAGGTCGTTTTTCTTTTCTGTTTCTCCTGTATGCTTTTGAAGGGTCGACTCGCCGGGGGACTGGACTTGGCAGATAGACAGAGGCTGCGGAACAGGTTGACAGCCATGCGTTTTCCTCAGTTCGCATTCCACTTCATGGGCTCGGTAGGGAGTACATGTAACGGATACAGCCAGCCACAAGCGGAAAGAGAGCTCGTTCCATTTGAAATCGCGGTCCCTCGCAGGGATTCTTCAACCGCGGATTCCCATCAAGATGATGCACATTGAATAGTAATCGCAGCCCCCCCGGTCACGCCAGTGTCTTCAGCTCCGAGAAGACCAGCCTCGATACACCAGGGTGGGAGAGATGGCGTATTCCATCACTGTTCTGTATCTCGCCTTGTTTTCATGACTCCTTTTTTTTGCTTTTGCACAACAGCCACAACTCACCCTTGTACTCTCAGCAGCCTGTCAAAGGGGGAAAAGTAGGCGGTAGGTTGAACACGGCTTCCCTCATTGTCTCTCCCCGTCGAAGAAAAAAAAGTCTCAGCAAGGGAAAGCCAGGGTCTTTGTTTCAAATGCACTTTGTGGTATTTCCGAGGCGCGATCGCCCAACCAGGTTCGGTTCCAGCCCCTTGGATTCGATCAAACTGGCAGTTCCCGAAGATTATCGCGGCGGCCTCAAATTTTGTGTTACCGCGGGGGTGTCTAGAAGGGTCTTGTAGAACCAGCAGAGGCCCAGAATGCGAGTACGCCAGAAGCCGTCAACTGTCTGTCTCGTGAAAAGGGCACAAAAAAAAAGGGGGGGCGTATGCAATGCCGTCCATGCTGTGCGACCAGGTCGATCCCGAGTCCTTGGTCTCGGTGCCCGTTGACGCGTCCCTCCCCCGGGTATTGCTTGTAATGTCTGACGTCTGATACCCTGTTCCCTCTTGTGTTTCCTGATGTTCATCACCCCCTGTGGACCAAATCCCCAACTATCATCAATTTGTGACCGTGGTGGGCTACCTGTTTACGTATCCCGGTTCCCGGGTTGAACCGTAGGTCAACGGCCCCAATGACCTGAGCCCAATGTAGTTCTTCGTTGTACCTGACCAGGGGCTTTCTCCCGAGTACTCCCTGTCCCGATGGTCGCTTTGGCTCTTGTCCTAAGCGAGTGGACTACTAGACGTGGTTGGTATCAGAGCCATCCGTCGCACTAGTTACAGACGAGGGTGATCGAAAGTGCACACGAAAGTACACTCAAGACCGTGCCACTCGACGGCTGCACGGCTGCGGGAGGGAGTTTGATGTCAAGAATGCTGAGGAGAGATAGTTACATGATGCACCATTGGGGGTGGGCGTCGTGGCCCTTGGTCGTGTTGAGAACAAAAGACCCTTCCCAAGGAGAGACAGTTGCCAGTTTGCCCCCTTGCTTAGCGTTGGAAATGTCTTGAATGCAAGATCCTTACAGACTTTCTCATTGTTTCCATATCATTTCGCGGGACCGCCCGTACAAATACGGTTGCTTTGCGCAGTATCACGGCCGTCGGCCACTGCGTAATTGTGTGGCCACGTCCGTAAACTTGGCAGAAACGACGAGCCATTCAAGGACCGGCTCTCCGGCCGAGTTTCACCGCAGGTGCCGGCTCCGGTATTCGGCAGCCGTCCGCAGAGAATCATGTGGTTAGAATTCTGTACCAATGTCGGCAGGACGTCCTCCTCAAGCAAGAATCAAGGTCGACGAGGCGGTGCGGCTTGGTATGCCCTGTTCTAGCTGGACGTCAATGAGTCGCACCCGGCATGCTCTCAGTCCCCCACGGACCAAATGCCTTGTTTATTGTAGCGTTGAAATCATGCCAAGAGGATCCAATGACGTGGCCTAGTCCGATCGAGGTGCAAGTTCGAGCAAGTCATGAGTGGCTCCACCACACATCTGATACATGTTCAGCCCTCCCTTTGAATCCTGCATCTAGTTTGCCACCATGTCTGAGAGGACTATAAACCGGTGAGGCGGAAAGGATGGACGGCTGTTGAGTGGTGCCTTGGATGCCTGTCTCGTAGCACATGGAGCGCTCAACAAATATAATGCGACTGCGTATTTGGTGTATATGTGTGACGGGCTTGACGTCTAAACGTGCCGAGCTTCATGACGGAACGACAACAGTAACCCCCCCCGGCCCGACTAGGGCGGTGAGAAGATGCCTTCAGCCTGGCATCATGCTGATTCTCAGTCTGCATGAGACAAGATGGGACAACAGGTGTTTATGCATGCCTCGGTACGGAGTACATATCTGAATATATCGGCAGCTCCACATATTCAACAACTCCCCCCTACTACTGCCTCAGGCCATGTTGGCGACTTGGATTCCCGTGCAGGGTGAAGGGAAAGCTGTTCATAAATGTCGTGATAATTGGGTTTGGGTGTCAAGGGTGGGGTGGGGTTTGGTCCTGGTTGACACTCCCAGGAATGCTTCAGATATACTAGTAGACCGTAGTGAACTTATTTATTAGTCTCCTGGCATGGGGGTCAATGGGGGGTTCGACGCAATTTGCTGGCATGCGAGTGACAACTTGACCGGGCCCTTCGAGACTGCCGAGTGTACGTATGTAGTTGTGAAGAGCCGGGTTGAAATGTCAATAGCTTGCCTGAAGCCATTGTTGATTCGCTCACGTCTTGCGTCTTGCGTCTTGCTGCTGCGGGCGAGGGAGCATCCATCTGCCACGGTCACACTGCCGTCTGACTGGTACATTGCCGGTTGCATATGCTCCCAGCTCCATCTGGAAACCGAGATGCCGTTCGAGCATGCCACATTGAGCGGTTTGTGGGACTGAACTTGCAGCGTAGGCATTCGACGGTCAGTAGATACACGGCAAATGGCCGGTCCATCAAGGGAGAGACGGGCTATTCCGGCATGATGTATCCCACGGTGGCAGGTCCAGGGACTTGGAGTCGTCAATTCCGCTTCACCTCCTCCCGCTTCAGCTGCTGGCAGTCAGTCCTCGGCTCCTTGGTTGCTCGCATCTTCAAGAGACACATTGGTCCTGTCCCATTTGCAAGGACCAGCCACCACACGTCGTCCGGCCCTTGTTTTGTTCGAAGGTAACAAGACGCCCAGATTTTCCAGCACAACTGCCAGGGGGGTGGGCTTGAAGTCTGACAATCTGACAGATCAGCTGCAAACACACCACCCCCCCACGACTCCATCTTCCCAAACATTGCTACCCCAGCATGCGGCCTGACCCATGTGAGCCGTGGTCGTCCTGCGTGTATGACCAATCTTACCGATCTCTTGTTGCGCAGATTCGTCGTCTCTGTGCGGGAGAATGCTCGCTTGGTGAAGACGTCGAACGACACGAGCCGAGCCGTCTCCTGCTGGCGGCCAAGGTTGTTTGTTCATCGACTTCGAACAACGGCACCTCCTGGCAAAGGCGCGACTGATGAACGAATCAAATCTTCCAGTCTGCCATATCCATCCACTTATTACGTTTGCCCTTGAACTGATCAGCGCACAAATGCTACGCGATGTTTTATGCACACGTCTCTGCTATTTGTGACATTCTTCCGGTCCCTTGACAATTGATAAATCCTTGTCAAGTACTCCGTATACGCGCGCGATTCAAATCCCCCGCCGAGGTGGTAAGAAATGAGACGAGTGCATCTGTTGTCCCATTTGGCAATTAGCTGAGCGGTTCCCATGGGGGCAGGGGGTGATGATTTGGATTACATCGACATTTTAACAAAGATGAAGACCCTGGCGGCGAATTTTTCTTCCAGTCACCGATGACTTTCGGCCTTCTTCGACCGCAGCATTTCCAAGCCACATCTGACCATGGACATCACAATCCCAACTTTTCAATCACCATGAGAAGATCCATCTCAAATCGTTGGTCACTACCGCACTCGACTGTCAACAAAAATGCTCTGCGACTTAACCGCCAATCGGCACGATAATTCGCATCTTCCATTTTTGACATTGTCGTGGAACTACATCAGCAGTGCGCACTAGAGTGCAAATCGTGTGAGACCGTTTTGCGACAGACCAGATGCCCGCTTGTCCCTATTTTGACTAGTACGGCTGTCGGAGACTTACCACTCTGCTGGGAGCAAGCTACATCAACGACAAACATCTTGACGCAACTCGCAGAGCAAAATGCTCCGACGTTGAAACAGTGAACTTCAGCGACGCCGCCGATCGCGTTAAGATGCCTAACAACAAACAATCGCTAATTCCGCAACACATCGGTGGATAATGGCGAACGCCACACTCCCCCCATGATGACAATGGGATTTGTCCTCGAGGTGGTTGAAATGCTATGTTTCCGTCCTACTTCTGGTATGGCAATCTGGAGACTCGAGATCAGCTTGTAGGCCTGTCAAAAGTGCAGAAAGCGCTTTTGTTGACCCAAGATATCATGTTTCTTGGGGAGGGCACAGAGCTCTGAGAACCGTAGCCCGGAAAGGGCACGAGCATTTCCGTGTTGCAGCATGCGCAAAGACTCTTGTTTATATGTAAATCAACGTTCTTTGGGTTCCGGGATACGACTTCCGAGTTGCTGACTTCCCGACATGCCATCGGTGAAAAGCTCCGCCCCTATGTAGTTTGGGGGGGGGGGGTTTAATGTTTGACCCCTAGGACGCCTCTCGGACGTTGACAGAGTCATCAAATCCTTATGACAACAGTCTGTATTTTATTAGTACTACCCAAAATGGCCCAAGACTGCTGTGTTTCCAAATGACGACCTTTCGGCTCAAGACACGCTACACCAAACGTGTCGAGATTTGCCAGCAAGAAAGCCAACATCTGAGGTCTGTCTTTTGTGGATACCGGCTCGGCAAACAAGAAGAATCACTAATCAAGG